AGCATACTCGTACACCTAAACTTTTTGTTCCACCATTGACATCGTACTTTGCTCGTGTGAATCTTTAGGAGGTGTCGACGGGGGGCTTCATTAGTCAAAGTGATTAGTTCTCAAAGCTTTAATGTTTCAATGTGATGAATAATCGTGGGCTACAGTGACAAATGTGATGGCTGCGCCCGCGCACCTCCGCCACGGCTTTCAAAACACCGCTCCATCACGAACCAACATCTTCACGAGAATGAAGACGTATATATATTTTAGTTATTCTACTATCAGTTACATATATTTGTCAAAATTATATACATTTGAAAAGTTGGGTCTAAAAGGAAATGCCTCTGTAAAGCACATTACTAACTTTTTTATTACTTAAGTATACCCTAGTTCTACGATGTGTAATAAGATTATTTTTTATCAACACAACTTTAATAAATACTAGAGAAACTCGTGTAAGTTAAAGGTTAAAAAGGAATAGTCCATTCCGATCTAGGATCATCCCGTTCACAGCTATGGAGGTTATTAAAACGTTTTTTTTAATACGTATTCGCTGTCGCAGTGTACTCATGTCAATATATTTCACTGGTATGATTGAACATTGATTGGGTCCTTTGAGTTGCGCCGACGTCTCCGTAAGATTTACAACTGATGTAATAACCACTGACTTCTGTTATTGCAGAACATTACAATTCCACTGCTTGCTCCAATATTTTTTTATTTAGACTGTCAGAAAATTTATTTATTAATTTATTTTAGAACTAACCATTTTATTTGTGGTTTTGAAAAGTACTTTCCAAATCACATTTAGATTATCTCTTGATCATCCAAATAAGTATCTAAGAACATACCAGTATATCTATTTTAATGATTTTAAATACAAGATTGATATTCCGACGACTGATATTGATAGTGGAATCAAAATAATAAAAAAGGATATAAAATTATATATAAGTATAAAACATACGTCAGGTATCAGAGAGGAGAGACAGACCGGCATCAAGCAAGGCCGGCTCCATAAATCATACATTCGTACTGTGATTAATCAAACTTGGAAACTCCTTAGGTTTAACTTTAACACCTGTCAAGCATAGGTAATTAGAATGCTTCAACGGGATTGTTTAAAAAAATCTGTTTAGAAACATGCAGTCTATGTAACCTTAATAACATATGTAGGTATATAAATTAAATAATATTAAAACTTCACTGTATTAGATACTCGTGTTTGTTTCATTAAATCATTTTTTTCAGCTTAATCGTTAAATAATAAAGTACTTAAAATGCTTTCATAATCATTAAACACATTAAGTTATTCAGATTACAGTGACCAAAGGCCACACAGCACGGTGACGGTGCATTTTTTAGGTGCCGGTCTCATTTGTAATATTTTATACCTTTTTTAAATCTATAAATATTTTTATGATACATTCCACACAGCCGTTCGATTGATAGTAATCAGATTATTCATCTTGAGCTCGTGCTGCCATTTATATGAAAATATGGACGACGTCATGCCAATTCATTAAAACTGTATGTTTTTAAGATAACTACCATTTTATTGTGAGGAAACTTTTTGATTGAAAGTTGATATAAATGATATATCTTTGAATATAATAATTCTTACGTTATCTTAAAGTGCACTCTAACACCGGCGTCTCACTAATTTGTTCATAAAATCATATCATATAACTGAAAAAGTACAATTTTATTATAAATTAACATGTTTATATTGAGACTCATTTGGTTCGAGATGTTATCCGAAGCTTTTTTGCCTTGCGATTAATATCCATTTGAATGAATATTTTATTTATATAATATTAAAGTTTATATTGGAATGTACGTTGTTTAATTCCAAGTTAGGTCTGTACAGACTGAATGTCAAAGTTATGACGTGTTAGATTGATTATCGGATGGATGTTAAAATACGTTTTATGAGTCTTAAGGCGAACTTTCTGTGTACCTATAACCATCTTAACAGATTCGTTTGTGGCTGGATTGGTTATGCTCGGCTTGATGACCGATGCTTTTGTTGTTTTGGATTTAAAAATAAATTCAATTACAACATTTATACTGTAACTAAATGAATTGATTTTATTTTAATTATTGAATAAAAACTCCTAAAAACGAACCGGTTGATTATCATTTTTGTTTACGTTAATATAATGATTTAGAAACAAATAAAAAATATGAAATCAATGGTCTCAAATGATATATAATTTACTTATTAGAAGTCGTCAATAGATACCTTGTGTTTTTTTACACCTTATTTAAATAATCATAAATTTATTTGGATTTCACTCTTTTCTGTTGTAATTTTACTAGATGACTTAAATTTTGTTAAATATAACTTTTATAAAGTACAGCGTTTCAACGCTAAGGTTTAGATTCATTTACATACACAGAAAGAATTAACAGCTTTAGGTAGCAGCTTTAATGTCATGTAAGGTATGAAAATGTATAATTGGATTTCTTCTATGGCAATAGGTGAAAACACTTAATAAGAAATTTTTCACACTCAAAGGATAACAAACATTGACCTCAACTATACTAAATCCTATCACCATACCAATGAAACAAACATTTGGAGATTTTTTTATGTGACAATAAAATATGTATAAATAATAATGCAATGATAATGTGTTGGTCACCCAAAGCCATTTGTTTATCGGACCATGACACGGCCGAAAGTGACGGAGTGATTCGGGCCGTGGATGTAGGCTGCGCGGGCGCATAATATCGCTGCTCCACAGAGAATTACTTCCGGATCCGATATTTTGATATGAAATATAATTAATTATACGTATATACATACATATATCTTCTTTTGTAATATTCTTTGTTTAAACTTCTTAATGTCACTTGTGTTAGAGTGACTGCGCTTAGAGTAAATAATACTATAGTTATAATTGTATTAAAAATATTGTATTTTTCACTATGTTTATCGGAATTTACTGAAGTTTTACATAAAAATTATATTAGAAATAGTAGAGTAATAAATAAGGATAAAAACAATTATAAGTAGCAGGTAGTGAAAAATTTAATATCAGCATGGGAATGTTTTGGCGTCACGGCTGCTGAGCGGTCAATGACCTCTGGTCCGGATGTCACAGGTCCCGACGTGACACTGCAGTCATACGACATGCGTACTCATATTAACTTGATTATTTATATCATCTTATTAATCGTACGATAAAGTCATGATCTACTAGATTGTCATTAATATAGTATACTTATGAGATCTAAGACTTTCACGAGCATTCTTTTGACAAAAAAAAACTCATATTTTCGGATGTACTACGCTTTTTTTACTATTTCAACTGACATTCTTTGCGACAACCGTGATCGCGGGTGATCAAAAAAATTTCATCTCGTCTGCCCACGTCTGAACGTCCGGAGTATATAATTAAAATACAAAAAACTCGTACTACATCCGTAAATATTAGTTTTATTTAAAAATCGTATACTGTCATGATAGCTCCCTTTACCATTATTGACAAATATCAAAAACTAAGATATAAACCATATTCATTTCTCAATGGCTTGAACTTATTTTTTTTAATACGAAATAGAACATTCGCTTAGATTTCAAATCCGTTTTGTTAAATGATAACTTTTCTGTTAATAAATTGACCCGTAGGGACATGCCGGACATATTTTAAAAACGAATCTATGAATTAAAAGAAACTATCTAAAATATTTTCCTGTGTTAATAATGACTTATTAATCAATAAAATAATCAGTCACGAAATAAAACGGAATGATTTATACAATCAGCAATGAACAAACTCAGGCAAACATAATATGTACGAGGGTCCACTGAGAGTAGAGACGTAGCTCTAATGACATGTTCTAATGCAACCACGCGCGAGGCATCCCACAATTTACCTGTTATGAATTAGACGCAACCCATTATTTAAGTATCGGTAGCTAGCGTGCATCGTTACCGTAATTTTATTTCTTTTCACGAATTCTACGGCACCATTTGGCAGCTAATAGGCCCGTTAAGCCTCATAATAAAACGCAATCTTTCTTAAACTCAAAAAAAGACAACACACGTAACTGAACATGACTTAAACCGATATGACGTGAGCTTCGTGCAATTGGTTATTTCTCATAATGATAATTCGCGGCTTTAACCTCTAATAATATGTGAGAGCTTACGTAGTTAACAGAGTAAGGAGATACACGGTTCGCACTTATGGTAATTGTGAGATGAGTTTAGTTTAGTTTTTGGAAGTTTAATACTTAGACTGCGTTGGCGTTGTACCGCAAGCTTTAATTACTAATGTTGCCAGTCTCGTAATGCGATATGGACAGGCCGTAATTAACAGCGCTTTAATTATAGAAATTTGAAACAGCTGAGACTATATTGACAGTTGGTCTAGCTTTCGAATGCAAAAAATATACGAGAAAGCACTTATTAGTGTTGGATCCAACATGAAACTTGACGTATTAAGATACTTGGCAAAATGTAACAGATAATTATTACGTGTTGGATATCATATTGACGAAGACAAAACTATTAAGAGATAACTATATTCAATACATTTCTCTTTGTACCAAAGTGTTTTGATACTTCACAAAATATTTTTGTCTTCATTTAATTTTGTTTTTGTCAAAATATTTATTTTCGAATTTATTTTGGTTTCCACGTAATAAATGTTTATATAATATTTTAAAGTACTGCATGAATATATTGAGAGGAAGTAAATAATATACTGTGTCTAATATGAAAAATATTTTGACGAGCACTTATAAAATTCACATACAAACAGGGATCGAATTGTATGTAATATTTTATAGTAAGATTAAATTCTATAATACAGGTATTATTTTAATATAATCTCACAATTATCTTACTAATTCGACGATACCTGATTAACAAATATAGGGCTGTCAAAAATATAAAAGTCGAATGGAACAGTATGAATATTTTTTTAATAGAATTAACTTAAGCATGGCAGACAGCTAGTCTCGTGTGTCGATACATTGAAGTCAGGTAGGCATGAATGACCGGCGTCCCGCTGGTTATGAGTTATGCGGCTCCCGGGGCGCGACCGCTGCCTTCACACCTCCGCCCGCGTGTGGTCCGCGCTTTACGGCCGCGGCCGAGACACTGCGCGCGCGCATACGCTTTATTCACCAACACACCAACTAGTATTCATGTTTATTCAATATTGTTTTACAGCTATAGTCTTTTTTATATAGTCGATTAGTCTAATTGGTTTTGCATTGCTTACCAAAAGTAAGCATAAGAAATTATACACATTTTTGTCGCATAGAATTTGGTGCAATATTTTTTATAGATCATGCATATAAAATAATGGCTTAATTTAGTTACTGATATCTTGTAATCTATAAAATCTCCTTAAATTCTATACTCTCATTCTTATCGTTTGGTATAAAATATAATTTTTATATATAAATCTGTTTTGATCTCAGTTCGCGGTAACTTATGGCTCTGTGTGGCATAACACGAACGTGAGCCCACCTAAATCTTCCGGCGTTACTAGAGTAGATAGTCCGAACGCCGGCATTATAATATTAGTCATATTAGTGTGCGTAGTTCACTTGAAAATTATTTTATTTCTCAGACTTATTACGGCCTGCCGGTTTCCCTTCCAGATACGATACCGGCCGCCGTTTTTATTAGACAGGAAGGAAATTCTAACGTTTAATATATTATGAGTAAAATGTTCGGTTCATATTTTTACTGCAGCTGCATGAATCCGGTGTAGGTTGCATTGCTGTCTTGTATTTCAAGCGTTTTCTTTTCTGTTCGACGTTTAACCATTATATTTGTGTATGACACTTAATGTACTGCATTACTAGACACGTAATATTAGAAGTATTTCATATTAATTTGAAATCATTTTATATCAAATTGAAAAAATATGCCGTTAATATTAAATATTCTATGAATTAAAAACCCCCACCAAGGCAACAGAACCACAGAGGTGTAGAGGGTTGGAGCGCATTATAAGCTTTATTACGTGCGCCATAAAAACTACATATAAATTACATGTTCGCGACTGGACGTTAAGTCCAGTTATTTATCGCCGTCCTACTACCCAGCACCCAGAGATTTATACATGAAATCACAGCAGAGATTCTTTTATCTTAAACGTGTATATTTATTTGATGTTCTATAGAAGAATGGTTTTCTAGTCAGAGCTTTTTGTATTATCGATAAATAAATATTCATTTATATCTTTTGTATAGTAATAAAGTATTTTAATAGACCTACGTTCGTCCTTAAGGATTGAAGCCAGAGGAATGTCAAATTGAAATATGGTATAAAAATTACTGATACAAATACATGTTTTGCCGTTTAAGGAAAAACAATAATTCTAAAAAAAGTATATTTCCTTGATTTATTTTATTATAAGTATTAAAATACAGAAATAATAATTCCTAAAGTCATTTTTTATTATACATAAGTTCCCCACCTAATATGTAGAGGCCCTGCGGGGGCGCGAGTGCCAAAGATTTATTAAATGGCTACCGTGCTTACTTTATTTTCCTCGCAAACCGAGCAGTAAGCAGAATTTATTTCACGTTTAAAATAATTATCCACATAGTAAGTACAAAAACTCAAAGCAATGATTTCACTACCTTTTAATATTTTTCAAAATTAATAAATATTTCGCTTCACAAACGATTTATTTTATTTAACACATCATAAAAACTGAAGTCACAGATTATAGCTCGAAAAACATTCGTAATCTCGTAGAAAAAGTATGAGACTGAATGTTACCCGAATATAGCGAGCAAAAAGTAGGATGGCAGCAAGATTAAAGCTCGGAGATCCCATTTGCAGATTCATTTTCTTAGATTAAGTTACTTCTTCATTGTGGCATTTTCGGGAGAACTTTATTAAAGTCCTTCACATATTAAACTGGAGCCCGTGCGACCGTCTAGCGTCTAACTGGCCGCTGTGCCAGCTGATAAAATAATAAATAATATTAGCATACTACTTCAGCTCGTGCCATTTAAGTGTTTTGGCATGTATTGGCGATGCTTTAGACCTCCTTTTGATTATTTTGTATTTGGTATGAAAACAAAACATTTAGATACCGAATTTATTGTCTATTTAGTTCTTAACCATACTACCAATCAATCTGCCGTCTTGTACACATCACTATAGTAAATATTATAGCTCACAAGATGTATTAAGTACCTATATAATTTCTTAGTAAGATATACTTTAAGAACAATGCTGTACAGTAATCGAAATCTGTCCAATTCGAAGCGTAATATGTCACGAAATGATAAAGAATGGTACGAGTTTCACGTAAGCGCGGTAGGCTGCATAGTATCATGTTCCGCTACCGTACAAGATTTAAGGCTATAATCACATTCAGCGATTTTTAAGCTCGATGTAATTTAATCGCTCACCGTCCTTCTAAACAATATTGATTTATGATATAACAAAGACCAGGAAGTTTCTGTAACGGCGATACCTAACAATTTCTTCCAATCATTATTCAGAGTAAGATATAGTTTTACTCAATAGTATATATCTTCAACGTTGCGATACTATTCTTAAATTATTATTTCTTAATAGTAATCGGTGTTGAACAGGGTTTAAAGCAGTTAATGTGGTCGGGCCCTAAGGGTTGTATTGCAGGAGATGCAATCTTGACGCTTACAAATCGCGGCCAGCGGTGTAGGCGCGATTGAGTTATTATATCTTCCTGTTAGGCTACTTGTTTTTGTAGTCGGTGTGTGTTTTTATTAATTACGCGCTATAAATAATAAATATTTTATATGGAAGATGCTCGGGTTACTCAGATGAGGCGTTCCGATACGCCAGCCTGTGGTCGTTCAAGTTTTTACGATAGTTTTTTATTGTTTCTATTTAAATCATTTGTAATGAGTGTTTTATTTTTATTAGGTTATGTTTTTTTGTCAATAAATATATTGTCAAGCGTTCTGTTAAATGACAGCTAATTATATACATACAAATTAAGGGATTATGTGCTCATGTAAATGTCTGGCAGACAAGCAATGCTTCGTTAAGATACGTGACGAGGCAAGCGGAGGGCTCGTTACCCGGAACCTTTGCCCCGGCCAGCTCTCCACGTTCGATTGGTAAAATAAAACTGATATTATCATACATCATATATCAAGCGGATTGTTAAAATTCCTTTATTACCAAATAGTGTACCGAATTTAATGCCCTCAAGTTCATACAGTAGATTTATATATTTTTACTTTTAATGATTATATTGGATGTAAATTTTCGATTCGTAAGTTATTTAAGGTATGCGAAATATTCTGAATATATAAATTCCTCTTCAAAATTGAACCATTTAGCACATTCGAAAATATCTGCCGGCAGCGTCTCGAACACCTCACTAAATGTACAGATTATTTATTGTCATTATGTGCCATTACCGTCGCTAATAGTCCACGCCGCACGACACACCAAATTATTTAACGAACAACCGTTTAAATATATTGTTTATAACTTTTTAACATTCAGGAGCCGTGTACCTAGTCTTTACTTGCATTCCGTACGAAAAATATTTTCATATAGGTATTCTTCCATTATCAATCTGTCACAATATAATCGATATTATTTCGAATGATTATATTTAATCGATATTAAATTATGTCAAATCATAAACTTATTTATATTCATTTATAGAAATCATTTGTTGATGTTATATTATATAATGCGTCTCAGTCAAAGGGTCTTATTAGGCACGTCACATTAGGACGTAGGGGACGGAAATCACTACATCCATCATATCAAACATATGTTGATATCAATCAGCCGATTAATGAACCAACCATCCATTAGGACTCCAGATCGCTCTTTACAAACCAAACTCCTTTGATATTGGTTGGTAATTAGTGCTGTGACTTATTAACAAATTGCTACGTCACAAGGGTTATATTCGTACTAGCAAATGTTTAACAAGACGAAAACCATTTTTAAAGTATTGAATATTATTGAATTTAAATTATTTATAACACGTATCTTTTTTGTTTCAGATATATCAGCTGCTTACCTCGTCTTCATCACACCAATGAAAAAAATAATTAATTTAAATAAATCTACTATTAGTTTTTAAAACTGATTATTGTATTACTTTAAAATAATCCATTATGTAAGTAATATCCTGTTAATTTAAATAAAGAATATAAAACCAGCCAGCGTTTTTTTTTTCATTCATTACCGACCTATTATTACACGTAAAGTGTAAGAATGTAAATTCGTAGACATTTGAAACAAAACAACTCAGTCCAAGAAAAACATAATGCTTCGTCACCCCACAAGAGTCACGCAAGATGATGAAAACAAAATAATACTTTTTTTTTTGGTTTTTCGACACGCTTGTCAACGTCACTTTTATTTTAATAAATTTTTACTGGTTTGAAATTAAAAAAAAAAAATTAATAACAAATTTCACACGTGTGTTGTCTGTAGTTTTTGTGTTCCTTAATTGATCTCCGAGACCATACATATCAATATAACATCCTGTGTTTAAAATAATTTGAGGTCGATGTTAATTATAACTGTTCGTCTTTAAATATTTTTATGTCATCGTTAATTTATAAATTATTACTACACTTTTGACAAATATTATTAAAAAAAACCTGCTCATAATTATAGCTCATATGAGTATTAATGAAGTATATTACACAAATGTCGCGATCATTAAAAGAGTGAATTAAAAAGGCGTCGTAGGAAACACGACTCTAATTACTTACAAGCATCACCTTTGAAGCAAAAGTTTCGTTTGTTTCTTAAAGTTCCTGTAACGATATCTTATTCGATGTATTTAATACATTGCGTAAACATTTAAGAATGTTACATAAGAAATTGTATAAATCCATCGAGGGATATCAATTTAAATAAATGTAAGTTAATTACGAGTCGATACATTCTGAAGCATAAGTTCGCGTGTTCTTTTATTCAACATATGTCATGACCGCTGTCAGCTGGTTATAAGAACTACAAGTTAGATTGGAACCTTCAATAACATATGATGTTTAATATAAAAAAACTAAAGTAACTGACTATTGAACGCTCCACTAGACTCGGTACTAGACTTAGACATTTATTCCAAGTATGATAAGGGTTTATATCTTAATACACAAGATTTTTCCTTAGGATGTGTGTTACATATATTTCGATCTGCCCCAAAATATAGGTCAAGGCGTTGTCCTTCAGAGCTTCAGATATAGTTTCTTATAAATACAAGCAAAGCAAAAAAAATCAAGAAACAACGAACACTCATTGCGTCTAATTCTATCCCTACTAATATTATACATAAATGCGAAAGTAACTCTGTCTGTCTGTTACTCTATCACGCCTAAACCACTGAACTGATTTTAATGAAATTTGGTACAGAGATAGCGTTGACCTTGGGAAAGAACATAGGATAGTTTATATCCCAGACTTTTGAAACGCGATATAACTGAACTCCACGCGGGCGAAAAGCTAGTATGTATATATATAACCTAGAGAAATGCTACAAATTATTAAGTTTTGGAACGCTATTAATAAACTAATCTATGCAGATACTAACTAACTAAGTACATAAGTTGTAGTTAGTTAGTATCTACGTATCGGTATACTTTCAAACTCCGTGTCAACTCAAGATAACTGCCGCAATGGACGTTGTTATTCAATTGTCGCCGTGAACGAATTCATTTCACAAAACTCATCTTGCGGACAGCGGGTGACGACATACAGATGTACATTCACTTGGTCTACATAGAAGTGACTAGATCATTAGGATTCAAATATACATATATAAAGTATTCCTATATTATAAGTAGAACGATATTGCCACTAACACTGCTTTAATGTCCTTTTAATTGTTTACCCTACTTAGACGAGATTTTTTCGTTGACGTTTGTATATTTTACTACTTTTAAAACTATATATTGTATTTTTTTTTACTTGTCACCGTATTCGACCTTCAAAACCTGTAAAGGATATAAACTAAGTATGACTAATGACTATTCTAGATAACACAGGTCGCTGGCAGCAACGGCAGCGACGCGTGCCCGGAAGCGTCACGGCCGCGTGAAGACCGGAAATGGGCAGGATGACCGGATCCTATCTCCGCTCCTGTCTACCTGCCGCCATGTTGTGACGTCACTTGCGCCCACTGACAATATCACCAGATTGTATTAAAAATATTTGGGAAAGATGTTAATGTTTTCTTTTATTTACTAAACCTACATGTAACAGAAATTTACATACAAAATTCAAGCAATTATAACATAAAACATAATCCATAAGTGAATAACCAGAAACCCAGAATAAAAATGATATATAAAAGTAGCACACATTTAAATGGCATAAAATGCTAACGGAAGCTTCCAAGTTTTTAAAAGCGATGTTCTATAAAATCTTCTAAATCGCGAATCTCCGTCAGTTTGCCGAAGCTGGAGCATCCACGGTTATCATTGCGAGAGTATATAATTGTTGGCAATTTTATGTCTCCATTCAACTCATGAATGGGAACCATTAGGCACAGCTCTCAACGCGCCCTCCTCAGCTAATAAGTGCATTTCGCTTTACAGGACTCCTTAGTGCCATTTTTAAAAACCCGTAGTTTTTTAAAAATGGCCAGAGAGACCATTCTGTCGTTCCGAGCCGGTTATAATGGAAATTGTTGTTTAATTGACGCTTTTAAGCAATTTCGTTAAGTAATTAATAAGATGCGACTAAGGCTTTCTCGCGGAAGGCTGAGAGGTTACGAAAGAAGGTCTTAATAAGGGGTTACAAGAATTTTTATACTTTAATTTTCTCTGCAACTAATTATTTTCACATTGTCAATTTGAGTACAACATGATATGACATCAAAAATAGTTGGAACAGGTTCTAATACAAGAATAAGCAAACATTTAGCATGTAAGCTACTTGTTTTTAATTATGTACGATGAACAACCCAGATAAGGTGGAAGTAAGATGTATTTTCAGAAGGTATATAATTAAAATATGGGTCGTCCTTGGTGTGTCGTTCCGCCCTACATTTGTGGCTTTCATGGTTTCTCGCAGGCCATCTGCTCGACACAATATGTACCGTAAGATATAACAAATTATAGTAATATTATCTACATGGTGGGTACATTCCGCAATTATATTAATACCTACACATATATTTGCTTGCCTTTATAATGTAATATGTATTAGTAACCAAAAACAATTTGTGTAGAACTCAAGTCACACATATGGATTTATTTGAAGAAAAAGAACTATTGAGGTTGATATTCTCACAGGTTGTCAAGGGAAGAAAAGAGAGCCTCACCTAATTTTCGTAGGGTAGGTGTAAGAACCCAGCAAAAGCCTGAAATCTTTATATTTTGACCATTGCAATTGACTATTCCTAATTTAATTTTAAAATAATTATTATGTGTTAAAAGATGACCACTAAACTAAAACAAACACTAAAAGCTACCAAAACCTATATCAATATTGATTCATATCTGAAAAATTCTTCCTCAACTCATTCATCCTGCTCAAAGCAAAATTGGCTGAACTAATACATCTTTTGGCTGTGAAAACAAAATCGTCTCCAAATTTATGTTGAAAATATTTAAAAAAATGCGAATTTACATATATGGCAATGACACGATGACACTTTAAAGGTTTTGTCAAAAAAAGAGTATTTATCAAAAGAGTTATTATTTTTTATTCATTACTATACTTGTAAGTTGTAGGTTAAGCAGATATGCATACCAAATTCCTAAGTAGAATAGTCTTATTTGAGTTTGAAATTAAAACTTATTTTATTCCTAGGGCCAGGATAGCAATTAATAAAAATAGGTAAATTTTATAATATTCATTAACTGTCAATAAATTTTCTAGTAATCGTGACAATAACCAAAGGTGAAAACAATCTATGTCCAAGTTATTATTATCATTGGACAGAAGTTTATTGAATGTAATGCACTAGTAATTAATTACTAAAAACCTAAAATGGTTGGATACGTAGAGAGATATTATGTTCTTATCCAGTTAAAGATTAAACCATACTAACGAAAAAAAGCAGATGTTCTATGTAACTTTAAAATCACTCGACTTACGTTGTTTTGTCATTGAGACATTGCTATTACATAATGAAAGGCGCAATTGAAAATAAATCACCATACATGAAACATTTTAAATTCAAATACCATATTTTTTTTGTGAATGTATGTGAAGTATGTAGTAATCGTTGAGCGTGTATGGTGCCCGTCTTTTTAAATATTGCGTGGTACAGATTGTGCCTAATTGGCATTTAGCTCACATTGTATGCCACCACTTAAGCCATATTCCTCATTATTTCAATGAATATCCCCTGACAATGGTCCAGACGAGGTAAGTCACGACTTGGCATCCCGCGGGCGCCCACCTGTGTTCCTGTGTCCAAAATATATGTAAATGGTTCATTTTTAATAATTCCGAGTCATTACCAAACCGCAGGGTGATCGTGTAAGCGACTGTAATTGTAACGTTCATAACATGTATTATGCGCTTTGATAATATTAACAAAAACTATTAATACAAGAAAAAAAAATATAAGCATTTAATTTTAAAGAAAATGTTGTAAGTACAGTCAGTACGGCATATTTTATTATAATTTTCAACATTAAATCAGATAGAATGAAATAATCTATACTAAAGTGATACGTTCCGATACATTCACTTGCTCCTGTACTTCGGCGTGTACTTCAGAGATACTCCTCAATTCGTTTTCTTCTAACTTTACCACCTCGCTGCGTACTAGCACTATTACGTAACACTGCGTTGCTATTTGAAAACAAAAGGAGTCATTATAATTCCTGTCATACTTTAAATTAATGAATATTATGTAGAGATTTATATTACCTTCGACGAACAAACTGATGAATACATCCAAAAACATTTCTTTAAATATTAAAATTGAAATCGGAATCAGTGCAGCAAGCATTGCGGCAATAGCGTAATAAATGTACAGCCGCAACATCGATATATCTTTCTAAAAACAATATTAAAATTTTATATCGAGTATTCATTCGTATAAATTAATATTTAAACAATATTAAACAGACCTGGTAACCTCCAACAAGGAGCAAAAAGTTCAAAATTACTCCCATACCAAGAAGGCTGTATAGAACACTAGATGTCATTATGCTTATGGAATCATCCGGTGTGATGGACGACCGGTGTAGCTCAGTGGTGATCAGCAAGCATATCAACGAAAGCACCGATAATAACTATGGATATATACAAAAAACATAATAAAATATAACCACAAATAAACTAGTGAAACACACAAAAATTTATTATCAAATCCATACTAACTATATTGATGTAAGCAAATAAAATAATCCCAGGCCGAAGAGGTATAAACCAGCAACATCGATTTACAGCCGGCACTTTCACTTGCATCTTTTAGACTCACAATCAATTACGACTTATCAGACATATGACCTAAGAAATAATGAAAACTGCACAATGTTTTTTGCTGTTCCAATGCAAATATTATTTTTAGCGTGCTACGTAGGTACTATTTACGATAAGTGTTATTAATCCGTTGCTTTTTAAGTAAATTAAGAAATCTAAACAATAATCACCAATTTTTTTAATTTGACTGATTGGACAAAGAATTTTTATCCTTAAATAAAATGACATCATCTTTTACAATTAACGTTTTGACTTTTACCCTTAAAAGCTTATTGGATATCTTCTAGCTTAGGTTCTTTATGATAAATACCTTTTTAATAACTAAGAGCTATTAGCATTGTCACTTCAAAATATTAAGACCAAACATATAAATCCTGAAATTCCTGAACTAAAAAAGCTTTTTAATTTTATTAAGATTTATTTTATTCATCAATTAAGTCCCAATATTCTGTCATACATATAATAAGAAAATTTAAATTTCAAGTCCATAAGTTTCAAAAATAAGTAAATCACTCGATCAAATAATTGAAGTTCAATAAAATCATTAATAAAATCCGTTATCATTTTTGACCTCGAACGTCAAATCACTGTCAGATATTATCTGTTTTCAACATAGGTATAAATGCATCATGACAACAAATTTAAAAACAAATATTGCGTTCCTTGACCTATATGACTGCATGACAGCACCAGCAATCGCTCACAACTACTTAATAATCGCTAATGGTATTAAAGCGTCATCTTTACAAACTCAATGATTTGGTTATTGGAAGTTATTGCATAATTGAGCCACCCGGGCGACCCTCAGCAGAGTCGAACCGATTATCCCCTCAACATTTGTTTATTTTTCGTTAAATTGCCATCTGATTCCCGTCAACAGTGTTTACTAATCTGGATAATAAATAGTGCATCGTCTTTCGTACTTATTTTTTTTATTATATCGCACTAAATTTATCCCACAGTTTAGATCAAGTGTCAGTAATTAACAATAGAGCTCTAAGTGTTCTTTCAGCTCATTAGGAACGAAACTTGTATTAGGAACTTGGAGTTTAAGTAAATTATAACAAACACACGTAAACTTTTGTATTTATAATGATTTTCGTGTGTATGCATTTAAATGAAACTAAGGTTTTCGGATACAACGCGTTTTTTATTGTTTTAGATAAAAATGGGAGCGAAAGGTATAACAGCTTAGTATCTCTATAAGCTACTAAAAGATCTGGTCTTGTCCAGAACTAACATCAATTCATTCTTAGAACATCTCGACTGCCCGTGATCACGGTTGCTGTAAAGTAACCGAAACGTCGGGAGTAGGTATGTAGTTTATAATAAAAAATCGCGTAGTCCATCCGAAAAATATTAGTTTCATTTAAAAATCTTAGATCTCATCGTTCTTAGAAGATTTGAAAGTTAGCCCTGGTAGGTTTATTTCAAATTTGGTCAGGTAGAGCGAGGAGCTTGACCAGTGGAGGTGAGCGTTTAACGCGCTTTGGATAAGGGGCCCCTTATACAAACTCCTGGGTCGTAAGTCCCAGGTACCGTTGAAGCTCCTCTCCCTGCAATACGATGGCCCCGGCACCTACAGGCGGAATGCTGAGAAGTTTTATTTCTATATTTATATTTTTGTTTTTATAATGAAATTGATATGAAGCTTGAGTTAATTTTAAACAAATCTACAAAATCATTCGATACATGTTATTAGTGTATACTTAAATTTAAAATATTCATTTTATATAAAATTTCATACAAAAAGTAAATAATATTTTATATACTTACCAATTGAATGGAAAATAATAAATGCATGATATATGGAACTAAATCTAAGTTTTACGGTAAGCATTAATCATTGTTACGTTTATTTTAATCAAAAGTAGTAAAAAATATTTATTAAGAGATAGCATCATATTTTGATGAAAAAAAAATGGGTCTTCAGATGAAGAATGAGATTATTTATTTGGTTTTGCATATTTTTCTGTAAATATAGGAAGAGTTGAAGTAACATTAAGGCATTTTATATCTTGTTACTTAAAAAAAATAACAATAAACCTCTTTTTAAATTAATAACAATAGCCATAGTGGCTTAAAAAAATAAACGTTGATACATCTTTTCACATGACTGTCATGTCAAACTGTTAAGATTTTTTTATTTATCTGTATTCAAGTAAGAATTCTATATAACAAAAAATCACATAGTCTGTGGTTGTAGCCTGAATTCCTAAGTCTCAATTCTTACGTGAGCTTCAGTTTTTAATATTTTACACTGAGAATATATAGAATCAAACCTTAAACAAGAGTTTTTTTCTCTTTTTAGGATATTGAAGGTAATTTTTCTCATGATACATATGCATAAGAGTATTAGAGTGATAAACAATTTTAGGTTATGCCGTAAATTTGTTTTATATAAAAAACTACTATACTAATAATTACATAATTAATTACCCTTCATAATCATATTTATGTATCAGCAACTTTTTATATATAAGGCCTAATACATACTGTGTTATGAAAGCTGATTTATTAGTGATGCAAGAGTTCTAGGCGGCGTGAATGTGATAATGCTGCAAGGAATATAACTATTATTCAAATATTTACATTTATTTGAATTGTTTTTCAGAAATGGCTGCACAACTTTTCAATCGCATCGGCCAATTGGGCTTAGGAGTTGCACTTGTAGGAGGAGTTGTGAACTCTGCTCTTTATAACGGTATGATTAGCAATCATTAAGATTATGAATACGTAAAGACCTTAATATGTTTTAAGTATAATTTCACGTAAACATTAAGCTGAAATCCTACACGAAATATTAAAGTAAAGGAAGCATCTTACAAGCTTCTATTTAAAATAAACCTTAAAATTATTTAATACTAATTTACTATTACAGTTGATGGTGGTCATCGCGCAGTTATATTCGATAGGTTTGCTGGAGTCAAAAACCTAGTTGTTGGGGAAGGGACCCATTTCTTTATTCCATGGGTACAAAAACCTATTATATTTGATATCAGATCCAGACCCAGAAATGTTCCTACTGTCACTGGAAGTAAAGGTAAAGTAAAAGATTTGATTTTCTCTATAACTTTTATGAATGCAACATATCACTTTAATTTACAAGTAAAATAAAGCGATCATGAATATAAATCATAAAACTTCCTGTGACCTAAAATTTTTATAGTGTTACCTTGATCATCTATGACTAACCATTATATTTACATAATAGTACACACTCCATAGTAAGTCATACATTTTTAAAGACATTGATAAATTCTTAAATATATTTCAGATCTTCAAAATGTAAACATAACACTTCGTATTCTGTTCCGTCCGGTACCCGATCAACTTCCCAGAATCTACACCATCCTTGGTGTGGACTACGATGAAAGGGTATTGCCGTCAATCACATCAGAAGTACTTAAAGCAGTCGTAGCACAGTTTGATGCCGGAGAATTGATCACACAGAGAGAGGTAGGTTTTGGTAAATTTGATTTGATACATTGATTTTGCTAGCGCTAAAATACTAATTATAATCATTGGTACTATTGTTTATATAGATAAAGATAATTTCCATGTTTTTCATGTCATAACTAGAAAGAATCCTAGTAATTTTACTACAATAAAGAATTGTTATATATCAATTAACAACTAAATAAGGTTGTTGTCGTCTATTCCCTCCAACTTGGTCGGAGTCTGTGTTCGCTAGTTCTATTGCATACGTTAGGGCCTTCCTTTCTTCATTCCATGTCTTTCTTCCTACTAAATAAAGTTACACATGAATGACTTAAGTTTTATTTTAATTCTGTTCTAGATTGTCTCCCAAAAGGTGAATGAAAGCCTAACTGAGAGAGCTGGACAGTTTGGTTTAATCTTAGATGACATTTCAATCACACATCTGACCTTTGGCAAGGAGTTTACACAGGCTGTTGAATTAAAACAAGTTGCGCAACAAGAGGCGGAAAAAGCCAGATTTGTTGTAGAAAAGGCTGAACAGCAGAAGAAAGCAGCCATCATTTCCGCTGAGGGAGATGCTCAAGCAGCAGTTCTTTTAGCAAAATCCTTTGGAAATGCTGGAGAGGGTCTGGTGGAACTCCGACGTATTGAAGCCGCTGAAGACATAGCCTACCAACTATCCAAATCACGAAATGTGACCTATCTTCCTCAAGGCCAAAATGTATTGTTAAACCTGCCCACACAAAACTAAAGTTCAATAGGTGTTACTGGTAGTTTCATAAGTTTTTGTTTACTGTGCATTTGCATTGTAACTACAATTAATGGTAAGAGATGTTGCATTTTAAAGACTATTGGTATAGCATCTGTATGAGTGTAGTCCTGAGTTAGCTTTATGGAAATGTAATTAAACAATAATAAAACTATACTTTGTTCTATTTGTTTTTCTTTTAATAGCATGAAATGTTTTAAAATACTATCCTGATGTCTCAAGGTGTTTTTCCTTATATTTGACAAATAAAAAACATTCTTGTTTGTCATGAGAGGGGTTACTGAGATTTAATTCATAAATGTCAATGTAACAAGTATTATATGAATAAATCTATTTTGGATTCTAAAGGCACTGTATCCTCTTCTTTATCCAACAAGTAGTCTTTTTGTAATTTATTGCAATACAATTTCTCTCTGATACAAACTTCCTTAATGTATCCAATCTCAGCTGCATTAAGACCAGGAGGCAGAGTAAGCTTACAAAGATTTTCATTTTCCTTGAAATTTTTTATTAAACTATCTACTTCATCTTTAAAATGCTCACTTGCACTAGTGTTAGAATTCCTTGAAACAGTACTATCTATAAGACGGCTTTGATTCAAAGAATCTCTAGTCTTTTGAATCAAATTCAATTCCTCTAAAATTCTATCATTGTCAGGAGAGAAACGTAAGGCTCGTCTAAGTTTCTTCTCAGCAGCATCAAATTGTCCAATCATCCTTAATGCCTTAGCATTTTGATATAAGACCTTTTCATTATTCCATAGATTTCTTAACCTATTTAGTTCATTACAAACTATACATGTTTTCAATGGTTGCTTAACTTCATTATAGCAAACTGCTAAATTTATATATAATTTTTTAAGGAATTTCTCTTGTACAGCTTCCTCACTTTCATTGGCAAGACGACATCTATGCAACATATTAACAGCCTTCCTGAAAGATTGTATTGCAGCAATAAAATTTCTTGATTTATGCAATACGACTCCTGTGCTGTACAATAGTTTCACTTCATGCAGAACTCTTTCAAATATATTTGGTTCTGAAAAGTCAATTTTCCTAAAAAAAATTAATATAAAATTAATACTGGTCATTTATAAATACAACAAATATATTAAAGGAATGTGTTTTACCCTTCTTTAGGTGTAATAATGCTTTTTATAAGTTTCAAATAGAAGACACAGTTAGCTTTTGGTTTGATTTTTGGTGGAACACCCATCTCGCCATACATAACTTCATAAGATAACAAAAATACTGACATTTCACCAACTAACATAGATTCAATGGCAATTTGAACACCTGGTAAAAGTCCATTGTCATTTAAATTTACTACCTAGGAATAATCATTAGATATAAAATTTTGTTTAGACAAGGAAATGATTTCATAATATAGAATATTTTTTTAAACATACCAATGGTTTATCAAGTTTAGTGAAATCATAAGGTTCAAATTCGTTTTCCCAATATCCTGCATATGCAACACTGACGGTACATTCTTTGTTTAAAGCCAAACCTCCTCCTTCTTCTAAAATCTTTTTCTGAACAAGGCCAAGTGTGTCTACAGGTAGAAGTTCTTTCTCAAATATATCAAAAGACTCTATTGGTTCTCCAATATAATCATTCCCCTTAAAAGGTTTAGATTCAAATGTGTAACATTCTTGATCATCATAATCTGCATTTATATGAAGTACGGACCCAGTTGTGACAAGTTTACTGTATAAATATTAAGAAAATACATTAATGTTCATACATAAAATTCCAAATATTTTAAAACAGTGTAATAAATATGAAAACAATTGAATTTAAAATGAAAACAAACCTAAGGTCCAGTCCATTTTCCAAAGCTATATTAGGACAACTAACATCCATTTTAAAATATTTCTATAAAAAAAAATAAGGTAAATACTGTTTTTCTGAAGATATATCTAATTCCTTTATGAGTATTTTAATTAAAGTGCTGTCTTGTGTAAGTACTATTTTCAATTATACTTTTTAAATAGTTCGGAGTAAAGCCTTAGGAAATGAGTTTTGACTTATAACTACAGAGTACCAAATACCTATATAATTTACTGTGACAAGTGACAGCACAGATATTTAATAGGAACTTTTGATTTTAGTGCCTACTTCAAATTGAGTAACATAATAAACATTATTTTAATAAACTATTTATTTTCTTACGATAAAAGTTTATTAATCTGTTGAAAATTGTAACGTTTCATCACGCTTGACTAGTTTATAAAATATTGGACTCAAGATATTTTAATAAAATATTTCGATATTAGGTAATGTAGGTAATCTAAACCAATATTATAAAGTACTTCTAATAAATAAACTGAATTAATTGTTTTTTCAGGACCAGTCATAATAATGCAAATTATAATAATTCTTTGAAGGTCAAATATCTTGAAGCGAAAGTTAGAGATTTTCTTTATAATTTACAAATTGGTTTATCAAAACACAGTAAATAAATAAAAGTTCTTATAAAAATATCTTTTATTATTACAAATAAATGCAGTCTAATACAAAATTATTACAAAACAAATAACAACTTAAATATTATTACATAAATGACAGAAACAAATTATACATATTATGCTTTAGTTTGGTTTCTTATTAAGTGATTGCCGAAGGATAGCGATGTACGACGATATCAAGTCATCCATTTTATAGCCAAGAGACGTCTCGCACAAAATTTTCGTACCACGAAGAAAACCTCCCATTGTCATATGGAAGAACGTATTTCCCGAAGACCAATTTGATAATTGAGAAAAAGGATATGTAACAAGTAAATCCTAAAATTGAAATATTAATTAAAAATACAAATAAAATTAAAAGTATTTTATTGTTTTTAATAAACAATATGTCATTCTAAAACGTGAAGACCTATTCATTTTAGCAGTCCTACATTTTAGCCATTTAGGTATAAAAAATGTAAATAAAAAATAAATATCTAAATATCAAATAGTAATGAATTAGCTTACTCGGCTCTGTGGATGAATTACGCTAACACCATTTTTATTAATTCCTATAACGACCATCTCTGGGTACGACGGGTCAGACGTTTGTTTAACTTCAAAAAAAGCTGTACCAAATGTCGGTAATTGGTAAATTCTATTCAAAAACTTTTCTTTGGCTTCTTCTTCAGTCATCACCCCATGTTTATTGTAAGCCGAAGTAATGGCAGATTTCCATTGAGAATTCGACTGAATCTTTATCATATCTGATGGAATAAATTCTTCTAAAATCTGCGTAATTTGAGGTAAAACTGTTTGATCATTACCAAATCGGGCTCTATATATCAATGCCGCCAGTTCAATCAAATCTTGTTTTGACGTTTTATGATATCCTCGTAAATATTTTGGTAGTTCCTGGGGGAAATAAAATATTTGATCCGCATTCTTATCCTTTCCTGGAATAGTGCTTATCCACAGCTTTTTCATGAAAAATATCTGATAATTCATTTGTAATTGATTGCCGGCTGAAATAAGAATGATTATTAAGTAATACTTTAAGTTATAAAACGTATAGAGATATGAAAAATTCATACCTGAACGATTAGGACGTGTTTGTTTCATCCACTCGACTAATTCATGAATAAAGTCAAAGAAGTAATATGTTTCGGGTACGGAAAATACTTTATCAACAATTTTTACAAAGAGGCTGAAACCGTCACTGTTCTTCAGATTTAATCGTCCAGTTATCTGTTCACAGAGTTCTCTGGCTTTCGTAGAAGAATCAACTTCGAAAGCTTCGTCTGTGTCATCAGGGAAATATACTTTATGATATATCTGCATACTTCTATGTTGTATTGCTTCAACTTCGACCACGTAAGGCGCATACATTCTCGGACCACCTTTTTGAATTTTAAATATTCGCTTTAGGCAATCCTTGGCTACAGGATGTGGTCTTGTTTTTACAAATTCCACTATTTCTTTCATCAGACCAGGACTGCAAGCAAAAACGCCTGTTGCTAACCACAACAATTCCCATCCCCTTTCTTCACTTAACTGAATTCTATTATTTGTCAACTGCTTTAGTATCTGGCAATAAATTTCGTCTCTTAAAATGGGCTCTAATAATCCTGGTCTAAATATTTCATCAGTATATTCGGTAACGGATCTAGGTTTAGCAGTTGGCAAATCTCCCATATACTTCAGCATTGCATAGAAAGAGGCAACCGCTAACTTGGATAATTGTTCGTCGCCTAATATTTTTTTAAGTAAGGGCTGTCGTATTGGTTCACGAGTGTGAGCCCACAATTCACCCATAACTGCCCTCTTAGCTGAAGTTAAAGTTGACTGTCTCGATATCGTTGTATTAATATCATAATTTTCTCTAAAGTGTTCTTTCGCATATTTTTCTAGAGTGTGCATTTTCTGTCGCTGTATCGTACTGTATTTGGATTTAAGTATGTTTTCATTGCTAATGTTGCCTTTCTTGAAAACTTCGAGAATAGATGCCGGAGGAATCAATAACGTTGGGAGTATATAAACTTGATCCGTTGGGAAAAGTCCTTGTTGGCCGTTACATTCACCGTGTCCCCAGGTTGCCCCCATCAACGTTTCACCCGTCGAATCATTTAAAAGCGTAATAAGTTCGCCTTTCTTGTATTGCAAGAATGATGCTGCATCGCTATAACCCTGAGAATCGCATTGAGTTATAACATATATAGATCGTCTTTTTAACCCATCCATCAGATAAATGATAAGCGAACTCATTTCACTTGCATCAGCACTTTGGAACACAAACTCTTCTTGCTGTATCGTTCGAATTGTTATCCTCCCAACTCTATCAAATTCCTTGTCATCATCGTAGGCAACATAAGTTACTTCTACAAATGATATTTCTAATAGTATGTGTTCTGATTGGTCAACAATATATATACCGGTCCAGTTAACAGCTACAATTATAATCTCTTTGTTAATTGTATCTCCCTTGAGCTTAATTGCTTCGAAGAACCTGGAGAACATCATAGGCCACTTTAATTTGGCAAATATCACAATATCTTCCTTACATCTTAATGGGTCAACTGCTGATTGAATACTTGGTGATGATTCAAAAGCCTTCGTTACAAGATGTTCCCATTTAGTTAAGGCGACATCATTGGATTGAATAAATTGATTTGGTATGTAATTGACTATAACTTTTCTTAATATATTCGGATCTATTTTTGGTCCATACTCAATATAATGCTGTTGCGCAGCAATCATTGCTAGATCTTTTTCAGAGTTACAGCGATACTCTCCAAACTTAACGCCTTTTGCAATTTGATAATAGATTAAATTAGTTGCTACCGGATCATCTGCTGGGTTGTGCCAAGGTGTGAATACTTCTTTTCTATAAAATAATCTCCATGGGGCACTTTTCTCAGGGGTTCCTTGTTCTTTTGCGAACTGCTCACATTGAGATATAGCATCCATAATATGTTCTCCTTCGCTTCCCAATGATAGAACCTTGTCGTATAAAGTTATATACAATGAAAATCCATACGTATCAGTGAGCTGAATGTTATCAGCTATTTGCTGACACACTTCTTCCGCTGTTGTCGCTGAGTCGGACTGTACAGTTTTCATTGATTCGTCCATTAAAGTGACCGTCAGTAAAATAGGCTTTTTAGTTTTAGTTGCTTGCAGTTCTAGCCAACTCGGTGGTTGTGTTCGAGGACCGTTCTTGAATGTTCTTAAAAGTCTACCCTCACAATAAGGGGCATAGCCAGGTGGGCCTTGTCGTATAAAAGAACGTAAATATTTAAGAAAACGTTCTGATGGTGGGAAACAACAAACACAAAGCGACATCAGTATCCATCCTCTAGCAAATGACGCTTTTGATGGATTATTCGTCAGTTGTTTGCACAGTTGAGAATAGATTTCATCTCTGAAATAAGTAAGAATTATTAATATTATTGTTGGTAGTTATTTAGTTGTGTGATAATCATAATTACCTCAATTCTTTTCTAATAATACCATGCCCTATAATGAAATGAAGTTTTTCCAAATTTGAACTTCTCTTTGAATTTAACCACGTGCTGTACATTTCATTTGTCGTTTCATCGTTAACAAGGTGTTTTAGAATCTCTTCGTTAAGTTTTGTTTGACGCTTTAATGTCCTGTGTAGCATTTTACTTTTTCCTTCATATTCTTTCGGTATTAAATCCTACGTCATAGAAAATCATATTACACTATTGAAATATTCTGTTCATATTGCAAAATAAAGTTTACTTACTGCATATTCTTTAGTTTTCTGAAAAGCTCGTCCTACGGTATCGTAAAGTTTTGACATAACCGGTGTGTTATCTACTTTGTCGTCTACATATTTAGGTTCAGACAAATCCCCCATGAATCTTAAGATTGTGATCCATATAGCTTGGGATGCAATTTTGTCTATAGGGGATGGTAAATCTAGTAATGAATGTTTTAAAGGTTTTCTAGAGTACTGATGGCTGGTGTTCCCCAAAAAATAGGTGGCAGCAAACTTTTTGAAATTAAACTCATCGAACGGTTCCTCTTCTGGCTCCTTTAATAATGGTATGACGGTTGACATTTCAGGCTTAGTTGTGGATGTCTACAAAAGAAATGTAAGGCTGATTTTTAAAATATATCCATATAAATAAATTGTAAAGTTATGGTTAGAACATTATTTTACCATTCCAAATCCCGTCCCCCTTATTGTTCCCGCAGGAGTGGCCGTGTCTTTCAGGAAACCGAACACGTCGTCAACATATCTATCGTCTATAGCAGTATTATTCTGTGCGTTATTATCAGCTGTTTCGTCTTTGGAGATCCAAATCGAAGACATAACCTCCTTGTATTTCTTTTCGAAATCATTTTCAGCTGAATTTATGTCACCCGAATACGAATCTTTATCTTTTCTCAATTGCGCTAATTTAGTTTTAATAACATTACCCTTTTCTGTAATTAATTTTCTTATAAGGTAACCTCTACTAGCAGCCTGAAACTTTATAATGAATTTTCTCAGATTTATAAATGTGCGTCTAAGTTCTCTTGATTTTATAACCGCCTGCATACGCAAATAGCCTCTTCTCATCTGTAAGAATCTTCGTCTAAAGCCGCGAGCTCGGAAATTCTTTTGGATATTAATGGCAGCAACTTTAAGTCGCAGATATCTCTTCCTGTAAATAAATCTTCTCGCGTTAGCTTGAACTTTAATTACGGCCGTTATAAGAATTTTGTGACGAAGTTCTTCGAGGAGGGCGTCGTGGTGATCTTTGAGGAAAATTTTTGTATGACCCAATTTATAATCATCATCTTGTAAAACTTGACTGCATATAGTTTTACCAGCCGCTTTACAGTCAGTTTTCTCCGCTGGTGGTATTCCGGGGACCACGAGTCTGTACCGGTGGACAAATTCTGAGTAAGTATAACGAATTGGATACCCAGCCTGTCTTATTTTAGCTGTCTCCATGAGACCGGCATATCGAAGTTGGCGGACGCATAAAGCACGATCGAAGATCTGAAATTTTAAATATAAATGTATTAACTTTTTAGTAATATTTCAGTTGTATCCCTACTAATATGTATTATAAATGGGAAAGTAACTCTGTCTGTCTGTAACGCTTTCACGCCTAAACCACTGTACTGATTTTAATGAAATTTGTTACAGAGATAGCGTTGACCTCGAGAAAGAACATAGGATAGTTTTTATCCCAGACTTTTGAAAGGTTCTCTTGGAAACGTGATATAACCGAAATCCACGCGGGCGAAGCTGCGGGCAGAAAGCTAGTTTATAATAATTCTCAATTACATTTTTATGACTACATGAATAGCATCTTTTCGATTTCACACAAAAAAAAGCTGTATACGTCGATAGAGGAAAATTAAAATGTAAACAATGTAATAACGCTAGACTTAATTCGAAAACCTTTTTTATTTAAATAATTAAAACTTAACTTACTCGTGGCTTTTTAACTTCATTAGGCTTAATACATCTTACAAAAAAGGGATGACACGCATATAAAGTTTTCATAAGTGACTCCAGAGATGTCTTGAATTGATAACTTAAAGATATAACTTTTCGGCTCCCACTTTGGCTTTGGTTTTCTACAAAACTTGTTGCAAATAACCGTTTGAAGAACGCATTGTTAGAGTCGTATATCATGTCCTTTACATCAACAGTGAGCATGTCCCTATTTTTGTCCAAGAAACCTAAAAAAAAAAAACATTAAAATGGATGAAAGGTCATATGGAAAATATCGCCATTTATCCATTTTACTCTAATACTGACCTTTAACTTCATACAAGACATCACCAGCAAAGTGCTTGACACCAAACCGATGTTCGTGGGTAGATTTAGGAGTAGTATAATACTGTTTATTGCTATGGTTACTGTTCAGTTTTGAGAGCAGCGTCAAGTCTGTTCCTTTAGGAAATTTTGATTCCTCATCAATCAAGGCTAAAAGGTTCATTGGCTTTTGACCTATCAAATCTAATATTTCCTGATTATCCACATAGTTTATGTTAGTCCACGTAATACCTTCCTTTCGGTATTGCTCTTCTTCTAATTTAAAAATATGCTTAACGAAAAATTGTTGTAAGTTCTCATTAGCATAATTAATGCAAAGTTGTTCAAAACTATTTGAATCGAATTTCTCAAAACCAAAAATATCAAGAATTCCGACGGACCCGAGACTCGTAAGTTTCTGATCCTTATGTAATGTTTTGTTTATCATCTCAACAATGAATTCAAATATATGTCCGTATATTGCTTTAACGAGAGCGTCGCGCCCATCGACTGCCGTACTGGCTGAGAGATTAGAAATTATTTTCTCACCGTGAGCAATAAGTGATTTTCTTGTCAGTGCTTCACATAATTTATTTTTAGTCACCCCTAGCAAAGAGGCAATTCTATTTGCATTTATTGAATCTGTAACTTCTGATGAATCCATATTGTTTACATTGAAGGATTTAAATTTCAAATTTCCTAAATGTAATATAGCAGCCAGAAGACTGAATAGATCGTTTACATCGTTGTCGTCAAAATTTAGTACTTTAAAGGCTGATTTTATGTCCGAAAACTCCAAAGCATCATTGCGACCATCACAAGTTAACATGTTACCAGAATTTAAATACTCATAATCAGCAGGACGTCCAAGTTCTAGTTTCTTTTTTTCGTCAGCAGAGAGACCGGTAACAAGTGAGTAAAAAATGTGATAGTTCCTCTCGCCCTTATTTTGCATTACTATTCTAGATTTCTCCAACAAATATTGTTCAATGTTGCCACCTTCTATAACTCCATTTTGATTAAAATAAATATTTATATACTTTCCAAATCTGGACGAGTTGTCGTTTTTAACTGTCTTCGCATTACCAAATGCTTCTAAAATTGGATTAGTCTCTTGAATTTGTTGTTCGATCCATGAATGTTTACCGCTAGCCGCAGCTAAATATTGTAATAGTAATTTGGTACTTTCTGTTTTACCAGCACCACTTTCTCCACTGAAATACAAGTATAGAAGAATTTTATTTGTTGATACGATTTCTAATTAATTAAAAAACAAACTTTCATTGAAACTCACCTTATAACAATACATTGATTAGCCGATGTTTCTAATAGTTCCTTGTATGCATTATTTCCAATAGCAAATATATGGGGAGGTATGTCTCCAATATTATTGTCTTGATAAAAATGTATTTGATCCATTGTGTAAATTGGTAATATTTCGTACGGGTTAATAGCTATTAACATCGAACCTGTGTAGGTCTAGAATTAAAGAATTATTAGTAGGTAACATTGTTTCATTTACCTAAGTCCATTGAGCTGACGTAATTGTATGATAAACTAAATTACATCTATGAGTAGGTGCTTGTAAAGTGCATTCGATAAAATTAATAGATGCTGAAGGGTTTATAAATTCATACATTATATATAGAGAATTTTTCATTTCAACTTACGTAAATAAGTTGTTGTTTGTATCTTATGTGTAAATTGCGGAGTATTGTATATTCTTGTAGTTCGCCTAACGTTATCATGTCTTCAACGCTAGTTAGCGAGGTCGCATGGAGAGGTTTTATAACATTCGTTATGGACGTAGAAAATACATCGTCATTATCATCTTTAACTTGTATCCTACCACCGGAACTGTTAAGAATCTTCACAGCTATTGGGACATCGAATTCGGTTTTGTTTTCTGGATTCAACCAGACATAATCCTATAATAACAAAAAAACTATACTTAGTATATCTCTTTGATTAAGAAACTAAAGTCTTAAGGATTACTTACAGATATTTGTATTCGGTCCGCCATTTTATATAAATTTTGAGATTCTTACAAGTTCACATTAAAATTTACGATCACATCTGTTGTGCAACAACATTAAATGAAGACTGTAATATGCTTATCATTATTCCTGATTATTTATCATTATTATATTGATATATCAATCTTATCATAAATTTTTAAGATAGTGAAATAACTTACATATGTAATACAAAACTGGACTGTGTATATAGAGATTATATTTTTAATTTTAGCTATTAAAAACATGTGTGATACTAATAATGATTTAACTCAAATGATAATAATATACAAATTTAATTAGTTAATACAATTTATTTTAATAATTCAGCATTACAAACAACTTAATCTAATGATGATTCTAATTATTTTTTCTTTTCATCCTTATCTTTCTTATCTTTTGCTTTATCGTCGGTCTTCTTGTCTTCTTTGTCATCTTTTTTTTCTTTCTTGTCTTTGGATTCCTCTTTCTTGCCTTCCTCGGCATCTCTGTTTGTTATTTTGTTATTAATGAGGTTGTGTAATGCTATAATAGATCTCACTAGAGCAGCCAGATAAACAACCAGAGATTGATCGTTGGTTTTAATATAGAGATTATCAGCAAAATTGTCACTGAATATATCTGGGAGGAGGTTGAAAATGTCTTGGAGCTGGTAAATGATTTGGTGGTTCATTGGTAAGGATCCTTGATTTACTTGGATCAGATAATCTCTTATTTCACTAAGCTGAGAGTGTAATCCTCTTAGTCCAAGCAATTGGTTTGTTATACGCTGGGAGAGACTGCCGACTGTTGTATCCTTGATGTCTCTCAATAGATGTTCAACACCGACCTCCTCAGCTTCTTCGGCACCAATTTCACTTGGTACATGTTCAAATGTTCTGGTGGTAGGGCTGCCATCGTCATGGACTTCCTCAACAGCCTGATAGGCTTCAGTTGGTAAGCCTAAATCTTTTGGTTTAGCATCAATAATTACGAGCACTGAATTTGGACAGTAACGTCTTATTAATTCATTGATGGCAACATCATTTTGATGCAATTTAGGTCCTGTGTGGTACCAACCAACTACCTTTTCTCGGGCATTAACTTTCTTGAACATACCATACATGTTCTCCAAGTAATCGTGGTCGAGGAACCACACTGATTTGTCTTTATCATCTTCATCAAATGGAACTGGAAAACCATACATATAAATTAAATAATGATACTGGTATTTTCTATAAAGTCAAAGTTAGGTCATTGACACATTAAATTAATTTATAAACAAGAGCTATTCCCAGCAACTAATGAAATTTAAACAATATTGTATATAAGGACCTAGTCAAAACATGGTTTAAACAAAATTAGTAGATATTATTAATTTAAAATCAGTACACACAATATTTTATTTCTTCAATAGGCCGAATTAATTTTAAAGTTAATTATAAAAATAAGTAAAATATAAAGCGTTATGAACTTAACGGTATCGAAATAATATCACATAACAACTAACCAGCGAAACTGTTTGATACATCCAAAACGCCTTTAGCCCTCCAGCAGCCGAGAAGAACACCAACAACCCGCTTTTGATTGCCGATTTTACCCATTCGGTTGAAATGGTCAACCACACTGAGAAGAACAAGCGGATGGACCACCACTTTCGTGGTTACAAGATCTTGACTAGGCATTGTTAGTTATTACTTCTGGAACTTATTAGATTTTTAAATATAAAAAGTTGTGGTATCAACTAAAAGTTGACTATTCGAATGACAAATCACAAAGCCACAAAACTAAAATTTGATTTTGACAGTCATTCCATGATACACAAAGTTGAGATGAAGGTTAAATTATAAATCTACAGATAAAAAAGTTGTAGTTAGTACTTAATTCCTTTATATACTTAATTGTATAGGAAATTTATTTATATTCTAATTGTAATAAAAGTATTATTAGACCACTCATTTTATTTTAAGTTTTAGAAAAATTTTGTTATCAAGAGTCAGATGTGCTCTTAAAAATATTGGAATCTACTTCATCAACCATGCTATTATGACATAAGAATTTTTGCTGTTATTGTTATTATTTACTTAATAGTAACAATTAGTTAGAAAACGAATAGTTAGGAAACAATAAAAATGAATCAAAGGGGTCTAGTTTTCGTCACTGGTAATTTAAAAAAATTGGAAGAGGTGAAATCTATTTTGGGCCATAACTTTCCATTAGAAGTTACAAATTATAGGTTAGATTTGCCTGAACTCCAGGGAGAGTTGAATGAGGTATCTATCAGAAAATGTCAAGAAGCAGCTCGACGTATAAAAAAGCCGGTATTCATAGAAGATACTTGCCTTTGTTTTAATGCATTGGAAGGTTTGCCTGGGCCTTATATAAAATGGTTTTTAGAAAAGTTAAAACCAGAGGGTCTATATAAATTACTTGATGGCTGGACAGATAAATCTGCAGAAGCAGTTTGTACATTCGCCTATAGTCCAGGAAGTGATAAGGAATCGGACATTGTATTATTTCAAGGAATAACAAAAGGAACAATTGTACCTCCGAGAGGTTCAAGAGATTTTGGATGGGATTGTATTTTCCAACCACTGGGCTATGATAAAACTTATGGTGAACTCCCTAAAGAAGAAAAGAATAAAATATCACATAGGTACAGAGCTCTTGACAAGTTGCGTAATTATTTTATAGAGAAAAACAATTGTTAGTTTCATAAATGTATATATATTAAATAAAGATTAAGATTAAAGCTATATAAGTATATTTATTTCTATAACCATATATTAATTTAAATTGTTTAATACAGTCATGGTAATTGTTAATATAAATGTTTGTTGATAGCGAATAAGTTTACAGCTACTTGAAGTTTGAATGACTGGATCAATATATGGGTCTATATTTGTTTTATTGTAATTCTTATAATACCAGTCGTTGTCGTCATTTGACTTCACCTTATTATGAGTACTAGCTACCTCAAAAAATTGTGTTTTAGCTTCCCTATTCATAACCGGTGCATAATTGTGTCTCAGATCGTAATGCTCGGCATGAGGTAAAACCACTTTAGTTATGGTTGCCGTTCGACTATGATTTTTGGTAAAATCTTCAAAGTTAGAGTCTAGAGTGGATGAAAGAGCAGTGGGTTCACTATCCATATGTTTAATTATTGGTAATGACGGAGTAGTTGTTGTAGATGGTGGCATGCTACTGGTTTCCATCCATGTCTGTAGTGACAAATCTGTGTCTATTACGTCAGTAGTTATGATCATTTCCTTCTCTGTAACTTGTGTAACCGTCATGTTTGTTTCCATAAGATTATATTTACTTATATTTATTGGAGTAATATCTTGTTCTTCAAAGTTTTTAGTTCTGTTATAAGCTATATGTGTCTTGTTATCATCATTATGGTATGCTTTGAGCTCATGAATTTCACTCTTAATTTTCTTGAGACTTGTATTGTTAAAAACTTTTCCCATAGGTGATAAGTTATTTAAAGCTTTGTTGTTTTGGTCGACTTTTACAATACTATGCTCAGTCATTTGAGATACATTTAAAGCTGGGTTTGGTATTGGCTTGAAACCTGCCGAAGTGGTTGGGAGCATGGGGGAAAAACCTCCAGTTTCGAATCTAGGAGCTTCTGTCACTTGATAATTTTTCATGTGTTTCTGACTGTTCTTATTTTCAAACAAATCAATTTTCCGACCAGTATTTAAGAGCTTATTCATATCGAGAGAAGGAAGTGGAAGACCAAAGAAAGTGAATCCACTTGTAGGGAGTTTAACAGCTACTCCACTTTTAAGGTTTGTTCTATTAATTGTTCCAATTTGGTTTGAAGGTGTACTAGTTGCGATTTCCATTGATTTATTCGTTATTTTGAATTCATTGTTTATATTCTCAAGCAATGTCTCATTATAAGGATAATCTACGTATTCATCGTAAAAGTATTCGGATTCCTCTGGTAACGGACGATTACTTAATTTATTCCCATTGTAGTTGTGTTTGATATGTGTACCATAATCTTTAATTTTATCCAATGACGAGAAAACTTGAGATGTTTGAAGATTAGGCAATAATGCCTCATTTTCATATGACAGACAAGAGTTCGGGTCTTGAGTTTGAGTTGGAATATTGTCGCAGTCATTTTTGGAAAATGGCATTTCTTTGACGTAGGTACCATCTGAACATTTTGGTCCTATTGAAGTTGATTCTGTAAGCCAGGACTTCAGCCAAATTATTGCACAATTACAAACCAGTGGATTGCCTGAAAGAAAAATTGGCGTACATAAATCGATACAAATGTTTTTGAATATTTAAAATGTTAATTTGAAACTATTTACCGTCAATATCTAAGATAGCAATATTACTTCTTAACTTTGCAAAATTATTCTCATAAACAGAATGCAACTTGTTATTGCGCAGTGACAGAACTTTTAAGCGCGGCATATAATCAAATGGTTGGTTAAATATGTAACATATTTTATTGTTATCTAGATTAAGTTCGACCAACCACTCCATATATTTAAAAGATTCTTTTGTGATTCTTGTTATCCTGTTAAAACTCAGATCTAATACTTCTAAGGACATAAGTGGTCTAATTCCTAAATTTTCCAAAGTAGTTATCTGATTATTACTCAAGTTTAAATACTGCACCAATGGTATACTATCGAATGCTCTCATTGATATGAACTGCAGTCTGTTTCCTTGTAAATCAATCACACGTAATTTTGGCAAATTGGAAAATGCTCGATCAGGAATATCTATAATGTGGTTATTGCTCAAATAGATTGACACTAAGTTTGGAAGGCTAGCGATAGCAAGAGAATGGATCGCCTCCAATTGGTTATTTTCCAAATCAATGGTTCCTAGGTTTATTAAGTCTCTAAAGGTACCTGGTCGTAGTTCTACGATTCTATTTCTGTGCATTTTAATTGTTTCAAGAGTATGTATGGCATTGATAATATTGCCATCAAAACTTTTGATGAAGTTGTTACTTAAATCTAATGTTTTGAGTGTTGACAACATATTAAGATTGCCGGGAAGTTCATGCAGATTGTTCATAGAAATATTCAATATTTCTACTTTCAAACCCTTGTTCATTGTAACAGGGTTAATGCTTTTTATCTTATTCTTACTAAAATCAACTGTTGACAATACACCATTGTTTTGAATTGTAGTAAAATCAAGGTTTTCTATATTATTTCCTAACAGATTAATTTGCTTGAGGTATGCTAGATTTGAAAAACTCTTTGGGTCAATGCTTATAATCTGGTTGTGGCTTAAGTCCAACTCTTCCAGGCGTTCTAGATTACTAAATGTCCCAATGTCTATTTGTCGTACACCATTACGTTTCATGTAAAGCCTTCGCAAATTATGTAATGTTTTCATCCCTCCGTGTGAAATCTTTTGGATACCGTTGCTTGATATGTCTAGTGTTCTCAGAGAAGGTAAATCCAAATCTGGAGATGGTGGTATTGGTAAAGTGGTTATTTGATTTTTATTTAGATACAATTGTTCTAACCCTCTCGGTAAACCGGGAACAAATTCCACAAGTCTATTTGAACTGGCATCCAATTCATATAAATTTGGCAAATTTCTAAACGTTGCTGGATGTATGGATACTAGACTGTTGCCAGATATATTTACATATTCCAACAGAGGTGTTTCCATGAAAGTAATCGGATCTATTATTGCCAGTTGATTATTACTTAAATTAATTCTTCTCAATGCTGGAAGGTTGAACAATAATTTTGGCTGTAAGCGTTGAAAGTAATTGTACGACAAATCTAAGCCTTTTAATGCCGGTAAATTCCAAAACGGACCTTCGTTTAAATCACTCAATGAATTATTGCTCAGGTGCAGTTCTCTTAAGGCTGGCATAGCTAAAAATGCATCTTTATCTATAAACTTGATATTGTTTTTATTCAAATGTAATCTTTCAAGACTCGGATGTCCTCTCAATGCTCCTCTTGGAATCTCTTGTAATAAATTCTCACTCATATCCAAGTATCTCAAACGAGGTAATGCATCAAGTAATGATCTAAATTCAGAAATGTGCATGATTTGGTTGCCAATTAAAGACAGATCTTCAACTCCGCTACCAGATTGTTGTAGAAATGATTCGGGATGTATTCTTATTATTTCATTATAGTTCAGATCTACTTTTCTCAATTTAGCTACCCTGTAAAAGGCTCCATGATGAATTATATTAATGTTATTATTTGTTAAATATAAAACTTCCAACATCGGAAGATCAACAAAGGCTGCTTCATTTAATTTTGTTATAATATTATCGCTTAAATTTAAAGTAGACAGCATCGGAAGATCTCTTGTAGCACGTCCGACCATAGATGCATCAGATATTTTGTTATTATTTAATGATAATTCTGATAACTTCGGTAATAAATAGAATGCTCGCATGTGTATGGTTGTTATCCCACAATCAGTTATATCAAGTTTTCGAAGTTTTGGCAAGTTATAGAATGCGTTCTCATTCAGATTCTGCAGGTTCACACTACCGCGAATAAACAGTCTTTCTAGACTTGGTAAATTTTCAAATGTGCGCTCGTAAATGGTATTTAAGCTGTTGGATTGTATGTTTATGTATTGTAACTTTTGCATGTTCATTAACACTGGAATTCTTTTCAGATTTTCAGACTGTATGGTGAGAGCTTGTAAGTTTTGTAGTTTCATCAAACTTTCAGAAGGTATGCTTTTAAGATCGCTTTCTACAATGAATATTTCAAGGAGATTCTTTTCTTGGGTTTCAAGCCATGTTGCTGATACTCGTTCCAATCCGTTCTGTCGTAACATCAGCCGTAGAATATTTAAATTCTGAAATATTTTCCCCGGAAGTGATGGTAAATAGTTGTTTTCTATTATAATTTCATCTATAGGTTTTTTTATGTATTCACCTATTTTTTGTATTCCTTTTGTGACTTGTGCCAGATCGCTGTGGGTACACCTGTAATGGATTTTCATATTTATGGACGGCAAGGTATAAGACAGTAACTTAACCAGTACATTGTTAAAAATTATTTAGTGAGTTTATAAGATTTAAATTTATCATTATTGCAGTTGATGAGAAACATCAATTTTTTACAATACAATAATGCATATAAATAGACATGGAAGTTCATTTAAATATTTTTTATCCCTTTCCTTTAAAATTAAACCACCCCATATTCCTATACAAGACTTTATCGCTAAAAGTTGTTGGAATAATAAGAATTGCCCATGTAAGAAAGAAAACAATTTTTTATACTATGCAGCATTATCATATTGTTACAGCAACATTTTTTTTGTTTTATTGGATTAAACATGTATCTAGCTAATTGTCAAGAATAATTAGTTTTCATATTTTTACCATATTTGTACATCTTCCTGGCGATGTGTGCATATACACGGCGAAATAGTCTCTGGTGGTGGGCATATTGTTTTTTGTCCTGACAACGAATCAAGAAAGACTATAATAAACCATAACAGTATTTTTTCTGATTTGAAATCCATCCCTTATGCAGGTTCATTGTAGCATGCTCGGGCAATATTGTTTCAATGCCAGAAATGTCCAGAGATTTCTGAAAATAATAAAGAATGTTATAGCCTGAAATTTAAACCTACTTATATGATAAAAGTTTATGTAATTGGTAATAAAAATAAGTACGTAGAATTTTTCTTTTCAACTTGAGATTTGATATTGATTTTAATTTAATATTTTTGTGTCCAAAAAATATAGTTATTCTTTTTTTCTCTTATTAATTTGACAAATTTTACAACTATATATAAATCTTGGAACATAATGTATACCTACATCCAATATACATTTAAAACATGTTTACAGAAACACAAAACGAAAAGCTTTTTAACTATAACTAGGTAATATAGCATTAATATTCCCAATAAAAGAGTAAAGGCAATGTTTTCGAAGGAAAAAATATTTTTTCAAACACAGAAGGTATCTAAGTACAGTACAATTTCCTGTAATACACAACCAGTAAAAATTTATCGTCCGGTTACGTCAAGGACCTCATGAAACAATAAAATTGGTAACAATGGTCAGTTGTATAAATGCACTTTCACTACTACGCTATTGTTCTTATTTACCATCGTACAACGCAGAACTTACGCCGAGATGTGTTAATCAGGTTGTACGGTTATGCAATATAAAATTTGAATTTCAAGCCTCCGACCTTGGCTGCATTTAATATGGATTATAGATTTTTAATAAAAGTTTTAATTTGATATTTCAGGACTTGTCCCGTAATTACATAGAAGCATATGTAGTTCCGAGCATTACTTTGAAGGAAACTAGTGCCAAAGAAAGAATTGAAGATTATATTGACCTCGAAGTGAACAGTAGTAGGTAAAAATAATTTAAATCACAAAAAAAACTAAAAGTGTAGAAAAATCGGTTGTTTGTACCGCGATATTAAATAGAACAACAAATATGCATTTTTGCTAGTTTTATATTGTACAATTATTATAAAAGCAAAAGATGTTAACAATATAGTTAATGATGAGAAAAATAGGGTGTTTTATAATGAGATATGTTTATACGTAAACCCAAAGGAATTTGCTAAATTATATTAGGTACAAAGGAAAATTAATCTAATAAAGAGTCTGCTTCTGTGTCTCTACTAAATTCGTTCTGTGTTATAAGTTTCTCAAGCTGAACAGAATAGTACCGATAATCAGCATTATTAATGATTTCAAAATATTATACATAGGTACAGTGTAATCGGAAAACTACTTTTAAAATAACCAAGACGTATAAATCTATTTAGTCTCCTTTTATTTTATATGTTTTATCAACAATATAACGAATATTTAAAACGTAAAAGGACCTACCGTTGACATAAAAGCTAATAAAACAATTTTCCAGCTTGTTAACCTTTTTTCAATGCTCAATTTCATTTTCTCGGCATAGATATAACATATTTTCTTAACCTAAAACCAGCGAACGAGACAACATCGCTATTTTGTTACAGTTACGCAGTTATCTCGTACATAACTGTCACCCATACATAATGGATAAAGCTATAAAGTGATGTAAGTCGCAAAATAAATAAGTTCCATTTAAAAATACGAAAAAAATCTTTTACAACGGCTGACAAAAACTCTATAGTCTATAGTAATACTGTTCTACGGTCAGAGCTAATTTTTTTAATATTCGACTAATGCCTTCAATGCGAAATTTGGTGAGGACGTATGGATGTTTAATTTTTCGCACAAAAACTACATACTTAAAGGATATTGTTTAAACCTTACAGTAATGTAATAGTTTAGGCATCGGAGTAAAACATAGGCTATAGGCATCGGAGTAAAACATAGACTGTAGTTTATCTCAAAATTACCTGAATTTACACCAGGATCAACTTATAACCATGGTGTTGTGTATGAAATCACTTGATGCACAGTCGCACAATATATATCTATTATGTCGCTACGGTTTTGTATGGTTAGTACTTTGTATTCATTATTTTAAATTATTATACTTTTCTTTCTGATCTCATTCTAAAGTAAACGCGGATGAAGTCGTAGTCAAAATCTATTATAAAATAAATTCATAATAGGAACGTGTAATGATGTAACTGATGCGCAGTTTTTACATGAAAGAACATTTTGTCAAGTTTTTTGCGGTTAACTATTGAACAGATTTAAATAAAAATAAATGAAATGTCGGAAGCTAGACTTGAATAATGCAAATCTAATTGAAGCAAGAAACTACGAAGTTAAATGTATTTGTATTAAAATAAAGAAGGCTTCCGTGAAAATAATTTCTCGGATGCTTCTTATCATTGGACATCAAATTTTCTCTATATAATTATGACGAATAAGACATTGTTACAGTATCAAGACATGCGACATAGGTGTAGCAATCATAATTTCATGCATCTGAACATGTCCCATATTTCATAAAACAAAAATGCTACTTGAGTAACTTTTTGCCATACACCTACTCCGATATACATAAACAGATTATGTTTTAATTTACGCATAGTTTTGCGTGTGATACATAATTTTAATATATAATTCTGTTAATATAGAAATCTAGTCGATGCTTTTAATTTATATTATATAATTAATTACTTATATACTTGTAACTTATTTTTATCTGCGTGAAAGATAGTTATGTACACTTAGGCTCAAAATTTGGAAGAAATGGTATAGGTATAGAATTTTATGTCTTAAATTAAAATATTTACTATAAATACGCGGTCAAAACTTTGTTCGGACTTAAAACTTGTGTATTTTAAATACCCAATAAACTGAACATTCTAGAAATTATTACCCTTTTTTTAAAATGACACAAAAATAATGTATAATAATATAAACTGAATATTCGTACGTATTGAATATTAATAAACATATGCTTGTTGTTTCTCTATATAAAAAATAAATCCCAATAAATTATGAATTGTAAATATTCACTAAAGTATCTCACATAGTTTTGTATGTTTTATATTTTCATCTTAACATAGTTTATATAGAGAAAGTATAAACCACCATTTTATTAGACATTACCGACAATGATATTATAATCAAAATAAACATCTATTAGTGACGCATAATAACATAAATAATATGAATGATATCTTTGCCTCAGAAAAGTCTAAAACAAAAACAGTGTAAAAAATTAAAATTCTAGTTAACGTAAGATTTACCTTAGATTATAGAAAATTCCCTGACTCGATTATTCTAGCACGGTGTATAACATCAAAAAAAATCTTTTACGTAACGAAGGCTCCACTTTTAAACAATCTTGACTGGCGAGGTGGTTCTGGGATAGTCAGAGCCGTACTGCATACTAGTCGTATTTCGCATGCAAACACCAGACTTTCGGTTCATGGCTCGATACGCACCAAGTCATTTATCTTTCACCATTGTGGCGCGTGCCTTCATACGTAACCTCAGCTTTTAACCGTAGACGTGCAAGTAGGTACAAACATATTTCAGACACACCGAAGAATTATAACATTCATTCTATTCATAATATATTTTTTATATGTTAATATATTTTTTTTATATAATAAGATTTTTTTCTCATTAAGATTGGTGTAATTTTTTATTCTGTCGATTGACATACTGAAGATTATTTACTCTATGACAGAGTTGCGAACAATTATTGCACAAATTTATTATCAAGATTAATCCTGCAATGAAGTAATGAGGAAGGTTCTAACAATAAAATTGACATTACTTTCGTTTTCTTATAATAAAAAAAACATTAATGTAACACATTAAAAGCATAAGTTTATGCATTCGATAAAACGTGATAAGCAATATCAATTTTAACGCTAGAAAAATGTCGTGCATCTAAATGCATACATATATAAATGTACTTATAGACTATATTATGCCTATATAACCAATAATGTATGTTATAAATAAATTGCAAAAATATTACTAATAAAACAACGTAAGGAATAAAAGTTATTTAGTAATCAAGGATAAATAAAGTGAAACAAAGACTTGTGACTGATGGTCCGTAATAAGGATATATCAAAACAATATACTTTTCTATAATTTTTAAAATTAAACCTTATTATAGATAAATATTAAGGTAAATCTCTTACTAACGACCTTAAACCTCAAAATATAAAAATGTATTAATTAATAAATAATAATCATTCATATGTAATAACAAGTAGGTATTCTTCTATTATTAGAAGTATTAAGTATCTATTGTGTAATATTTATATAAATATGTTTATAATATTACACAATAGATATCAGATTAATGTTTTATCGTTAGGGAACTCTAGTATGTCCGAATATATCATCTCATAATGTATATTCCTCTATGAGAAATGTATGTGCAAAATTATATATAATTATTTGTTGACAAATCTATTTTGCATCCCATTAGACTTTGAGACGATTATTTTGAAGGGTCTGAAAAATAATTTTATCGGTTTTCAATATGCTGCTTGTCCTTGCTATACTGTCAATTCACTCGTTTTATTTAGTTAAATTCTAAATTTGAGTTTTTTATCCTACGGATTTCATTGTAATCCCTACTAATATTATAAATGCGAAAGTAACTCTGTCTGTCTGTCTGTCTGTCTGTCTGCTACGCTTTCACGCCTAAACCACTGAACTGATTTTAATGAAATTCGGTACAGAGATAGAGTTGACCTTGAGAAAGAACATAGGATAGTTTTTATCCCAGACTTTTGAAAGGTTCTCTTGGAAACGCGATATAACCGAACTCCACGCGGCGAAGCTGCGGGCGGAAAGCTAGTTTTAGAATAAAGTTGAAGAGAAATAATAGAATGGCTATATCATTTAATTATGTCCCTTGTTTTAAAAAAATCAATTTTATTACTTATACTCTCGATTTCTTTCCAAAAGTCATAATAGTTATATTAAAAATAACACAAAACTACAATTTATATGAAAAAATATATGTATATACATATTTATATTACATTGACACAAACATTAACGAAAAATACCTTCCTTAAGTTCTATAATTTCGGCACTAAATGTACAATAGACCTGATATATGCACATAGGATTTATAATTATCGGTCTTTGAAAAGATCTTATAAAGTAACTCAATGGGAAACACACATTTTTAAACTATATTCTTCCTTTTTTCCTAGTTATGACGTTATTTCGTTATCAGAATTTTATAATCACTGCCTATCAATGTGATTTGCATTAATGCTTAACAAATTATTTGTAGCTTAATATTGTCTATGAAAAAGTAGGTAATATAATAAAAGTGAAATAAGACCACAGCCGGAAAACGTTAATACAATTTTTTATGTTGTTTTCATGTTTAAAAACACACAAAACTTAAGTTAAATTCATGAGTTGATATAAATAATATAGAACAGAAAATCTATCTACAAATAAAAAAACAGTTATCAGAGTGGACTAAACATATAATTGGTAATAATATCTCAGAAATCATACAATGTTTCCCATGTAGAGTAGATTAATATAATACAATTTCGACTTAAACCTAGTTAATTGTCCTGTTTCCATACGGCAGCATTTTGCTGGAAAACCTAAACACTCACACTTTTGCCTTATTCTTCAGTTAACACCATAATCTTTCATATTGAGTGCAATAAAATAATTACGTAATACTTTAGACGCACCTACTTCCTAAGCCAATAGAAATAATGTGACGTTTATGACTTTATGTGAACATTCACAGCGAATAACATATATTTGCCATCGACGTGGTTTAGTTCGTACAACCTGTTTTGAGACTGCTTATACTGCTATGCTGATCGCTCCCAGCATCCACTTTACAGTATCAAAACGATAAATACGGAGTGATAACGTGTTGCAGAATCATTAGAATAATTTATTATTTATTTTATTATTGATAAACTGAAATAACATGACGCTATTAAGGAAACTGAACTGCGCTCTCGCTGTGAATACAAGGAGGTACAGTTCGGCATTTAAAAATAAGAATTCGCCAAAAATTCTTATCACTGGTAAGTTGCGATAGGTTATAATTTTTTTTTATATGTTATGGGTTTTACGACTTTCTATCGAGGCGAATGAATGAATGAAAAACAATATTAAATCTATATAACGGATTTCAAAGGATTGTGTTTATTTTGACAATACAGAGATTTATCATTAAAAAAAACTTTATTAGAAAAAAAGTTGATTTCAGACTGGTTTTAGTAGATGCTTATTTGAAAGCTATTAACTATACGTTGTTCTTTCAATCTCCGAAAAGTTTTGAGTGTTTGTTTGTCGTCGTAGCTTTCAAATAGATTGATCGATTTCAATGAGTTATTTTGATTATTGAAGCCGATTTTTCTCAGTTGTTTGATTAATATTGGACCAGCAGTTTAATAGTATCAGCTGCTATCAAAAATACTGGCTGACGTGACTTATTTGTGCCAGTAAGATAGTTACATGACAGTTAATGCTTTTTTTTATTTAATTGAACTTTGTTATTTTTGTTGTTGTATAATTGCGGCATCATTAGTTTGTTTGTATTTTTTTGTTTAAACTATCCACGTAGTCAGATATTTAGGCATATTGGTGATAGAGTTTAATGAAAATATATAAGTAGTCTCTGAAAAAATAACTTCTTTCCTGCGTCTAATCCGCATATCAATAAATAGTATTTTATTCTTCAATACACAATGATTTTTTCTTACTTATTATATTCACAGTTTTAAAGTTTGTAAACAAATAAGAATATGAGAACATATAGTACCTAATAACTAATGACAACAGTCTACAGGCGCAATAGCAATCTCAAGTTGTAAACAAAATACTTAATAGGTTTTTTTTAACTGTCTAAACTCTAAATGAATGTTTATCAATGGACGAAAGACGTAAAATAGAGGTACGCATCTGCGCAGTTTTTTATTCATTTTGGCAACTATAAAAAAACTTTATATTACTTAATTATTGTTAAGTACTGAAAGTAGGTGCACAACTAAAATTTTATAGAGTGGAGCGCAAGGCACTCCATTGCAGTGTATTTCAATGCTTTGGGGAATCTTTAAGTCTTGTAACGATACACTGAGATAACTCAGAGTTAGTTTCAACTTGCAGTGATAAAAAGTGCTGAAAAATAAAGGCACGTAATTTATTTAGTTTCTTAGTCATAAACAAGAAATAATCTATTATCTAAAGTCATTTCATTTAACATTTTATTTACTCGATTTTAACTTCAATTTACTTCATATCCCACGTAAAGGGGTAAACTTCTTGAAGAAAATAGCAAAATAGCTTTGTATTATTGAAATTATATTGAGAAACTTTTTATGAACTCAAACCAAAAAGCTGAAAGCATGCTTTGTTTATTGTGTCAAGTGTCATTGTTTAATCTAGACAGCCTTGAAACTTGATTTCAATAATATACTTAGAAGAATTGAAACAAATTATTGTATAGAACATTTTTCCTCTTTTTGTATATAATATACATTTAGAGTTAAGAACACGTATACACAAAAATAAAATACGCATTAATATAAATTAGTATTTATTTACGTAGGGATACTATACAAAAACCATTACACGCGTGCTATTAAAAACAAAACAGTATGTTTTTCTAAGTATCAACTACGCAGCACCCTGTTTATATTACTAATACTCTGACAAACATATAATGTGTAATGGTAAATAAACAGGTAAATTTTCCTAGAAATGAAACAAATAAAATCGCTATTAACTTGGTATCTCATTTATCTTATTAAGGCGTCCTTAATATAAGAATGCATTATGAATTAAAATCCGATTGCTTTAAGGTTAATCATTCATACATCGAGCAAGTGAAAAAAGTCATCAGTTTTGGTGGTCACTATGCTTACTCTAAGTATTAAACATCACATTACTTGTATTTACATTATAATGAGTTAACAGTTGTTCATAAAGTTTCACACACTTGTGGTGATAGGCTATTGAATAAAAAACTTAGAATACTTCGTATGTAGTGTGATGATACAAACTTGTGATTAGTATAAAGAAAGGACGAAGCAATTTATGTAGGTATATTTAGATATTCCTATTAGTTTTTTTATTAATTAAAAACTTACATTTCAAACTAGGGTATGTACATTTAGAAAGGAATTTAATAACGTACTTCAATACAAAAATACTCGAGGATTTATAAATAAAAACTGTTAATTTAATTTAAGTGTTTGACAGTGACGATAAAACTATAAGACGTTAAAATGGTTTCATCAGTACCAACTTTGAAACGAGCCTTACGTACTTCTAATCCCTTCACTTTACGTGATGTAAAGGAGAATGGACATATTAAAATTTCTTTCTAATACTATTTATGTATTATTATTATGTTTTCATTAAATTATACGTTTAATTGCTCCATCTCTTAAATATTGAAATATACATCATATACACTTACCTATACATAAGTATCGTATATTTGGGTTTAAATATTCAAGAAACTTTTTGAGACCCAATAAACACTTGTTGGTACTTTTATGCCTTTTTAAATATAGTCACAACTTTGAAGTAAAGGTGACAGAACTAGCAAAAGGGAATGCGACCAATACTACTTCAATTAAACTTTTCCTGAGAATATTTCACATATGTACTAAGATTACATTAAAACAAGAACTGTTCCTTGACTTCACGTGCAGAAACAATCGCACATCACACTAATATGTAATTATGTATCTGAGTTTGGCCATGTCAAAAAACATTACCGGATCGGAAGCACGATTGCACAGGCGTCGCCTTAGATCATCTCTAATAGCTGAATCCTCCAATTTATACATTACTATATTTGAATGTTTCTATTGTTTACAATTTCAGTTACTTACATATTTTCATAAATGTAATATATTTTCACTTTTATGTTATTGCTAATAATGTACCAACACTATTCTTTCCTTTATTTGGAATAACTTTTATAAAGTTTTAAATATTTTTTATAGTTTAATCCATTAGCATTATATCTATATCATAAATATTTTTGCAAATCTATTAAACCTCCACTATTACCAATTTACTTTGTAGTTTGTATTCTAAAAACCATTAAACAATAAATACAATACTTTCTTAATCTATTTCTTGTATCGTAATAGCTGTACATTTTATAGAATAATTACTGCCTATATAATTAATTAGATTGTCCTAAAATATATTTATCATTATCAATCGCACAACTTCATCTCTCATCACTTGCAAGTCGACCTCGACGATTTTACATCTTTTACATCTTGAGTGACCATATATTATATACACTCAAGTTTTGCAAGTAAGAAGCGAATGGTAGCTTTATCTATTGCTAAACTTACTGCCAATTACTTTTAAAATTATTTTATCTTCACGGGGCCATTGAAATATTCTTCTTCCTTATATTATGGTTTATAGCAACCGTTAAAACCACAAAACCATGTCAACGGTGTCTCTTTAACTTAAACTCAAATGTATTGACCAATGAAATAAAATTTATAACAATAATATAAATGCGTTGATATTTATCATAATTGAATATACAGTGTAAACTCCATATAACGACACTCGATTTAACGACAAACTCTCTAAAGCGTCGAAATCATTTGACTTTGGTTGGTTTAGCTTGTCTACCATACAATGAAACACTCTATATAGCGTCACAGCCACTCTCAATAGCGACAAAATTAAGTAATAAAAAGTACCCTTAAGTTGTTAAAATTAGTAAAAAATGCGCAGCTGTGTACGTTTTTTTGTCGCTTTGTTATCCTACCCCGCAATAAACTCCACTGTCGTAATCATGCATACCAAACTTTCTAAGAAATTCGTTCTTCGCCAATATGCCTCAATATCGCAAGATATGAATAAAATACGTAAAAAATACAACAACATTACTGGTGCAGCAAAACACGTCAAACAAAAACAACAGACTTTATAACATTCTTTTTATGTACATAAGTACTAACACTAGTCTGAAACAAACTTTGTCTTTTTCTAATTCTGATTTTTCTTCCCTCTATTTAACGGCAACTCTCTATAACGCACAAAAATGCACGGTCCCTTCAGTGTCGTTATATAGAGTTTACACTGTATTTGTGTTCAGGTGGCCTTGGACAACTTGGTGTGGAGTGTGCGAAATATTTACGAGGAAAATATGGAAGGGAAAATGTTATTCTATCTGATATTATTAAACCAACGACCGAAGTGTTCAATGATGGACCGTATATCTTCGCAGATATTCTAGATTTTAAAGGTCTCCAGAAAATTGTTGTTGACCATAGAGTGGACTGGTTGATACATTTTTCCGCTCTGCTTAGTGCTATTGGCGAACAAAACGTACCATTAGCTGTAAGAGTTAATATAGAAGGAATGCACAATGTTATAGAATTAGCAAAACAATATCGTCTCAGAATTTTCGTGCCAAGTACGATCGGAGCTTTCGGACCAGACTCGCCGAGAAATCCCACACCTAATATAACTGTGCAGAGACCACGAACAATTTATGGTGTTTCTAAAGTGCATGCGGAATTACTTGGTGAATATTATTACTATAAGTTTGGACTGGATTTCCGTTGTCTGAGATTCCCTGGAGTTATTTCCAGCGACCCTCCCGGTGGCGGTACAACAGGTAATTTGGAGATGTATAATTGTAGGTCAAACTCCAAAATTTTTCCATTTTTTGATTGTAAATCAGTAGTGTTAGAACAACTTAAAAAAAATCTTAATCTTTATATTCTTACAAAGTACTTTACAGTTAACATTACTTCTTAAACATTGTTCTCTGAGAATGATTTCTCGTAACGTTGTGGTAATAGACATAATAAAAAATTTACAAAATATTTTCTTGTTTAACATGTAAGACCTACAGCAGAAATTATTACTGTAATGTAAAATTATATTTAGAGAATACTACTATCACGTTACCGTATTATAAAAATAAATGTGAAAAATCTCATTATTTAATATTATCTCCGAAGAAAAAAATTGCTCTTTCGTAAGAGACTGTCGAAATATGCAAATAAGAAGAATATGAGTTTACTTGTCCACAACTCTACCTGTATTTATTAGAGGTCATTTTTTGTTGGTTACCGAGCACTCCGAGGCCTTGAACTTCCAATGGAATTCATTGTCGTCATATAGATATATGTCAAAGCTTATAAGCATAACACGTAATATAATAATATTTACGTGAATATAATATGATAGCCACTGGTAATATTCCTTTCAAAATATCCATCAAGTCTATATTTTGTTGGTCTTCCATAAATAGTTGATAATATTGGATGAATATAAATAAATATTTTCACCAACAGACTACGCAATCGCGATATTCCATGATGTTCTTCGGAAGGGTCGCTATGAGTGTTACCTAAGGCCTGACACGCGTCTACCAATGATGCATGTTAAGGATGCATTACGAGCTCTGTCGAACTTTCTGGAAGCCCCCAACGATATGTTACAAAGACGAGTATACAACGTTACCTCAATGAGCTTCACGCCTGAAGAATTGGCAGATCATATGTTCAAATACATACCTGATTTTAGTATTTCGTACAAACCTGACAGTCGGCAGGATATCGGTAAGTTAGAAAACTCGTTTCTGTTTCAAATTCGTCTATCTAAATGTTTACACTGATTTAAATAATATTTGTTTTGCCGTAAATAGAATTCCTGTATCAGTGGAGTTGTTGACTATATAAATTTCAACTGTATTTATCCTCTAATACGCTACCTATTTCATTGTTCTTTCATATAATATAAGTATTTTTATAAATGTAAAATTGTATAAGTGCACCTTCATTATTTGTAATTTAAATAAATTTTATTTATATAATAAATTATACGTATCAAGCAAAAGCAATTACCATGGGAAAAGGCTTCGTAAGAGCATCTGTACCAAGATTTTTTAATGTTTGTCTGTCTGTCGATACTGTTTTATCGGAGCCAGTTTTTACGGACTCGTATATCATCATATATCATAAACCTCACTAAACATATTTGCTTACTACGTCCATTTATACAAAATAATTTATTTTCACAATTTTAATTAACCGTTCCCCATGAATAATTTATCATTCCTACTTATATATGTATGCTAAATACATTTGCTGATTTAATCACATTTTTTTAAATTTTCAGCCGACTCCTGGCCTCAAGTTTTCGATGACAGCGAAGCCAGACGAGACTGGAACTGGAAGCCGGAAGTCGACATGGACAATTTAGTTAAATTAATGTTGAAAGAAGTTAAGGAAAAGATAAACGATTACGACTATTAATACTAATAAATATATTATACTAGATGTTGTTCATATTATTCTAAAGGCGTAGGACGAAAAATGTTTCTTGGTTATAATATTAAGCATCTATGTATTAATGTTTACCTACCTGAGTTGAATTTTTTTTTTTATTGAAGAAAAAATATGATTAAGTTCAAAATATTGATGTAATGTCATATTACTGGATGAAAAATAACTAGTAATTATTTAAATTAAATAGAATTAATTGAATAGAATATTAAACAATATTAATCATCCAAGAAATAAAAACCTTGACATTGGCAAAACATTTCACGAATCCAGGGCGAATGAAGCCTGAAGATGAATTAAAAAATATATATCAATCAGTACCCTTAGCTATAGTTGTTATACAAACATTGAACTTAAATTTTCGCACATGACAACACCGACGTAGGTTTTATAATTAAAGAAAAAATGACTCTTTGGTTTGAGTATGCGATCTATTCATGAGAATACTGATTTGTTTTGTTTCTCAATTAAAAAAACTTAACTAAGAAACTTTTCAATCAAAATGCTCAATGGCCTTTTCATCTCTTAAATATATTGAAATGTGAGTAAATAGTAACGTTAAATTTTAAAAAAATATAATAAAGAGAAAGTGTTTTAAAATTTTGGTTAGGTATTAAAAGATATCAAGTAGTTTCTTTTTGTATTTTGAAATTGAATCAGATTATATTTTATTTAGAATTAATTGTAACAAGCAAAGTAAATTGGCTAAAAATTAGAAATGATCAAAATTATGACAATTCTTAAATTCCAACTGCATCTCTTTTTTACATTTACACCGGGATACGACGAAAATTATGACTTCTAGTCTTCTATTGCTTTTACTCACTTATCCACACTTTCAGAAAGATCTCTATTACAAATCCCATCATTGCCCAATCAAATTATATTTCGACAAATCTTCGCTTGAAAAAACTCAACACCTTCGAGTTGCTATCAAACTACAACCAACAGCGTTAAAAAACTTTTACACCAACAACCATTTAAAGTTACTACATGCCATAGATTTAATTGTTGGTTGTTAATTGTTACTGACAGAATAAGTAAGATTCTGAATAAACTTTCATTTAATCTATACTAATATTATAAAGCTGAAGAGTTTGTTTGTTTCATCATCATCATCATCAGCCAAAAGACGTCCACTGCAGGACATAGGCCTCCCCCAAGGATCTCCACGACGACCGGTCTTGTGCCACCCGCATCCAGCGGATTCCCGCGACCTTCACCAGGTCGTCGGACCACCTTGTTGGGGGCCTACCCACGCTGCGTCTTCCGGCTCGTGGTTGCCACTCGAGAACCCGTTGGCCCCATCGGGCATCGGTTCTGCGAGCGATGTGCCCTGCCCACTGCCACTTAAGTACTGCAATTCTTCGGGCTATGTCGGTGACTCCCGTTCTTCTGCGGATCTCCTCATTCCTGATTTGATCACGCAGTGAAACTCCGAGCATAGCCCTCTCCATTGCCCTTTGAGTGACCTTGAGCTTTCTAATAAGGCCCATCGTGAGCGGCCACGTCTCAGTGCCGTATGTTAGCACTGGCAACACACACTGGTCGAAGACTTTTGTCTTGAGACACTGCGGTATTCTGGACGAGAAGATTCTACGTAGCTTCCCGAACGCAGCCCAGCCGAGTTGGATTCGACGATTGACCTCTTTCTCGAAGTTGGACTTACCTAACTGGACCGTTTGTCCCAGGTATACGTAGCTGTCAACAACTTCGAGCGTAGAGCCTCCGATCTTAATAGGAGTCGGTACAACATGGACATTAGACATGATTTTCGTCTTCTCCATGTTCATCTTAAGACCAACTTGTTCGGAGGCTCTATTGAGATCATCGAGCATTGTACTCAGGTCCTCCGCGGTCTCAGCCATGACTACGATATCATCAGCAAACCGAAGGTGTGATAAGTACTCGCCATTTATGTTGATGCCAAGTCCTTTCCAGTCCAGAGCCTTGAAGACGTCCTCCAATGCAGCGGTGAACAGTTTTGGGGAGATAACATCCCCTTGTCTGACACCACGCTGCAGAGGTATTGGTTTCGAGGTCTGATCCTGTAATCGGACTGACATGGTGGCGTTTTCGTACAAACCCTTCAGCGCTTCAATATACCGGTAGTCTACTTGGCACCGCTGGAGAGACTGCAGTACAGCCCAGGTCTCGATCGAATCAAAGGCTTTTTCATAGTCCACAAACGCCAAGCAAAGAGGTAGATTATACTCCTCGGTCTTCTGTATAACCTGCCGCAGCGTATGTATGTGGTCTACTACACTAAAGCCTTTTCGGAAACCGGCTTGTTCGGGAGGCTGGAAGTCGTCTAACCTGCGTGCAAGGCGATTCGTTAGGACTCTCGAAAACAGCTTGTAGACATGACTCAGAAGTGAGATGGGTCTGTAGTTTTTCAGCAGGGTGTTATCACCCTTTTTGAAAAACAATACCACCACACTTCTGTGCCACGCTTGTGGCGTTTGTCCTTCGAGTATGACGGAATTAAACAATTTCTGAAGGGCCCTAAGGATCGGTTCTCCACCCGCCTTCAGTAGCTCGGCCGTTATTCCATCATCACCCGGTGCCCTGTTGTTTTTAAGCTGTTTGAGAGCCATTCGAATCTCGTGCAAGCTGACGTCCGGGATATCTTCGGAGTAATGTCGGGTTAATCTCGCTCTTGGGTCGTCAGCGAGATTGGAAGCGGGCTCTCTTGTGTACGTGTATAGCCGTCTATAGAAAGTCTCGACTTCCCTCAAAAGCTCAGGCCTCGACGATATGATTCTGCCATCGTCAGTCTTCAGCTTGTTTAACCGGCTATGTCCAGCAGTCAGATCTCTTGCAAAAGCTTTGAAGTCTCTGTTCCGCTCTATAGCATCTTTGATATGTTCGGTATTATACCGACGCAGATCGCGCTTAAGAGACTTTGAGATCCGCTTGCTGAGCTGCCGGTATCGACAAGCATCACTTGACGAACGGAAAACCATCTCACGTCTTTCCTCCATGAGCTCGAGAGTATAGTCTGAGAGCTTTCTGGTGGCATTGGTACGGCGGGTCTTAAAGTACTTGGACCCCACCGTACGGACGGCTTCTACAAACCCGTCATTGTACTCGTCCACATCGCCATTTAGGCATTCGAAGCGATTTTGGAGTTCAAGCTGGAAACTTTCGCAGTTTTGGATTTGGATGGGTATAGGCCGGAGAGTAGGCTTCATCAAGCGAGATCTCTCGAGCACGATATTAAGATTCAATGTGCCTCTTACCATGCGGTGATCGCTGCCGCACTTAAGCGAGTTGATCACAGAGACATCATTGAATATGTGCTTTTTTGTCGACATGATGAAGTCCATCTCATTTTTGGTTACCCCGTCGGGGCTGATCCAGGTCCACTTTCGCTGTTCGGCCTTTTTGAAGAAGGAGTTCATCATAAAGAGTTCCTCCTTCTCCATGAAGCCAGCCAGCATGTGGCCCCGATGATTCCGACTTCCAAACCCAAAATTTCCCAGTCGTGACTCTTCACCGCTTCGTTTTCCTAGCTTGGCATTGAAGTCACCCATGACCACGCTGTAGTGGGTTCTGGAGTTATGTAGGGCTCTGGAGATGTCATCATACATAATTTCCACCTCATCGTCTGAGTGTGCCGAGGTCGGGGCGTACACCTGAATGACCTTCAACGAATACCGTTTGGTTATTCTGAGTATCAGGAGCGCCACCCTGGTCGACACACTCTCGATCTTCACTACATTGTGGACAAGGGACTTGTGGACGAGAAACCCGACACCACCCTGGGACTGATGGTCGCCTTCCCGGAAATATATTTGTTTGTTTGAAAGCGCTAATCTCCGAAACTACTAGTTCGAATTGAATAATTCTTTTTGTGTTGGATAGTCTAGTCATCGAGGAAGGCTGTGGGCTATATAACATCACGATTCGACCAATAGGAGAAAGATATAGTGGTAAATGTATAAAAAACGGGAGAAATTATTTCATCTTTGAAGCCTTCCGTTGCGTGCGCCGTGAAAACGGTTCAAGATACACAAAAAATATGTATTAATGAATAATCTCTTTTAATGATCTAAAAAACAGTCCGCGACAGTATATGTCTATCTTTTAAGATTAACTCACAAAAACCGTTTTTATGATAAGTACCTAATTTGGTCGAAATAATTTGTTTAAGTTGTATCAACATTATAATATTAATCTTTATTCAAATAAACAAATAAATATGTTGTTGGTTAAGAGTAGGTACTTCATTGTGAATAAAAAAAACATAGGTTTTATCCTGAAAATTCTACGGGAACTCGATCATTCCGAAAACCCCGCAAGAACGGGAACTATGTGGGAAGAACCAAAAATCTGCCGGAAGTCACTATTCCACGCGGACGAAGTCGCGGCAAAAGCTAGTCAATATATATGTAGATAACACCGAAAATTGACTTAATTTGTGAGAGGTTAAAAATATCATTCAAATAACAAAAATACATCAAAAATAGACAGTCTTAATCCAAGGACGTCAGTTCATATAGTTACGAACAAACCATTATAAGGTTTTTCACAAACCGCAAATGTCAGGAATACATATATTTAACAAAACAAACAAACAAAACAGCCTATTCACAGTGAGTATACAATCATCAATATTATAAAATCCAATATCCACACTGCAAGACCTCAAGACAAGATTGCCATTATGCTTGCATCCTGAGCAGCATCCGAGAAAACAAGGAATCATTGGTGAAAACAATCACAAGTTTATTGAAAGTCTGACGAGAAAATGGAATGAATTTCGTTTTTCCATAAATAGTGAGCATTTATCGAATCTCGAAAAATATAGCTTATAATTATAGTGTAATACCTGAAAATATAGTTTTAATTTTAAAAAAATATATTATAAAACTATCATTTGTCTTATTATAATTACAATAAACACCCAATTAATTAAAATTATAATAAATTAACAAATCAATAGATACACACGATTATACTGATAAATCATATAGGTTTCTTAAATATGGAAAATCTATTTAAGAATTAATATAAATAATTTCTAGAAATCAAATCAATCATTACCTCATACTTATAACAATACACTTTGATAGCTTTTACAAGTATTGCACTTGTTCTTTCCTTATATTACATGAAATATATATAAAATTTAATATACCAATAAAATTTAATAACCCATTTATTTTATTTGGACAACATTTGTACATTTTGGATTCTTTCCCTCCATGACACATTTAATTGTTACGGCATACTTGAAATGAGTGAAGAAAGCAAATAGATTTTGTATGTTTATCCGTCTAAGTTCGTATTGCCACAATTCATAAGAATCGTTTCCCTTTTTTCATTCCTACACTACTACTATAGTAACGTTACGGTGGCAACTTGAATTAAGCATACTAAAATCTAGGTCAAAGATGACAAAATAGTATAAAATGTATAGGTATATAATTGTTTTTCTATTTAGAAAGACTTACAGATTGTTGGTCTTTAGATCGAATGCATATTTCACAGTTTTGCGAGGAATCCGCGGATCATTGTGAATGTAAAGAAAATACTTTTGTTTTGTAAAATTAATCTTTATTCAAGCGTACAATAAATAAATATATTTATTGATATACGTGTAAGGCGATACATTTATTTGGTGTAATAAAACACACTGGTAGTAATGACTACGACCACGTAACTTAAAAAACACTCAAATCATTGATATATGTATATAACCTATTGGTTATATCAAATTTTTGATTCGAGTTTTATCAAATTATATATTATTATATTAAACGAATTCTTATTCTCTATTGTAACGCCAAAATGATTTCAACCGGACCATAAGCTATTAGTTAAAAAAAAATCAAATTACATTTCAAATTCAAAATGATCGGAATAAACGCCAATAAAGTTTTGGCGGCAAACGTCAATATAAATGTATGCGTCACTAACAACAATTAACATATTCAACATCTTATTTCTTAATATATTTGTAAGCAACCTTCATCAGTCTTCCCTACTATCAGTTGTTAGTTGACTACCACCATACAAATGGACGTATTTAGTATATCATAAGCCTGTGTTGCTTATACTAGTCAAACCGTGAGTTATTATTTATAGTCACTACACTAAAACAACTTTATCTATTACTAAATGTGTTTTAAGATCAATTAAAACCTTTCTAGTACCAATCTAAGAAAGCGCTTAATATAAAAATACGATAATTATCACACAAATAATTCATTATGACCAAATAAAAACAGTATTTCTTTTATAATTTTTGGTTTTATATTTAAAATCATATATTTGTAATATTTAAACAGATTGCATGGCACTTTAAATGTATGCAAAACCTTTATAATTATGTAGTATTGAACACAATCTCTCATATAGTAGACCAAATGACAAAATACTTCCTTATTTGTTATATTTTTGTATATTCTATTCTCTATCTATTAAAACATAATATATACTTCGTTGAAATTAATGCCAATTATGCGATTTTTTTATTATAAAAAATAATCAATACAAAATAAAAATAACACATTCCTGCAATGAGATATCACGAATTAATAATATGTAATTATGACTTAAAAAATAATATATATCAATACAAGCTAATATTAATGACTTAGCAATAAAAGCAAGACGAAAGCTTCGTTACAATTACTTAAGTACTTTATCATATAAACATCAACACGTGTATACAAAACAATTACTATACAAACAATTTTTTTTTCATCTAGCAAATTACTTTTTGTGCTGTAAAAAAAACAACATATTATGTGTTCCAAATTCAAATCGCAAATTAAATGTCAAATATTTTTAAACGTCATTTCGAAGTAAAATTGTCTGACAGATTATAACAAATAATATTATTAATGGAAAACCAAAATCCCTTCCATCCACCTGTAAAATACACCATATGAATCCATAAAAGATCTGTCTTAAAACTGTAGATTAAAAATAAGTTAATATAAAAAAAAAAAAAGTGTTACCATAAGTATAAAATAGTAACAATTTTGTTAATATTTTAAACCAAATAAAGAATACGCCGGAACAAAATTTAGAAGCGATGTTTAATTAATAATTATTTTTTAACTTACATTATCTTACAATACGTATTGCACTAGTGTTATGGCCGTTGGCAATAATTGACATAGAACTGAATTTACACATATAATATAATTCGCGTCAATATTGTAAAATTTACAATCATTTAAAGTCCGGCATTAATAACAAAAAATATAAGCAATGATTTCAAATGAAACCAATTAGAGCGTACAATAGCTATTAGTACATTATATTAGCATTTAATGTTACAAAATGAATTATTTTTACTATGGCTGATATCTTGAAGGCATATTGGTTTAAATCTCACTCCCTTTTTAGATGTTTCTGTTGTTCTCTCTGCATATTCTGTTCTTTGAGTCGCTGCCGAAGCTGTGCTTTCTTGAGATTTGTCATAAGTTGTGTTGATTGATACAGCCATGAACCCTGGAAATTAGCAGATAGGTTTCTTAATAAATAGAAGCTTTTGAGTTATAGTGAGGTTGTTAGAAAAAATTTTAAGTGTCAAGTGACGTCATAATTTTTGTTATGTAATGATGACGTCATGATGTGGTTTATAGGGTTCACTGTGAATACTACTATGTCCAATAATAACAATTAATTTAAATAACCTTCTTTATATTTTGTTACTAATGTTTTGTTATAGTACACATAGTTTTAGGTTTAATGATTTTAATAATTATTCTAAGAGTTTGAGTAAGTTTTCAAATTGCATACTAAAATTTATTAAAAATAAAAAATATATATATCTCAATAGACGTTCAATTACAGCAATGAGCAAAGTCAAATGGAATTCTTATATCTGACAAGTTTAATTGGTATGACCCACCGAAGTAGGGAGAGGGGGGGGGGGGTAATTCTAATAACTTAGGTATAAGAAATTTTCAATATAATACAAACGAAATAATCTCATTTTCATTTAATACTCGGTCGCATCAAAATTAAAGCTATGGCTAATTTCACCACGTCAATGTTTATGATTCATTGAAACTGTTCCATTTATATCGAGATAAAATTACTATTTTTATATTAAGAATACGGTACAGTGCTCCGATAATATTCAGACAAGTCACAGGTTGAATTAAACACAGGTACTATCGATCAAATAGCCTAACGAACTATCTAGGTCATAAGAAATGTACTAGAAGGAATGTAAATCGCCGTAACTTGGAATTTAGACTTAGTTAACATACTGATTAAACTTCGTATGTTTTAAATTATATTATTACTTGCGAAAAAATATATTCACGGTCGAGTTGAATTTTTAATGAACCTGTTATCTTGGATGAAATGACATTGAGATTATTGTTAATAGCGCGGAATAAAACATGTTGTATGACTTTGAATTAAAACCGTTAAATTTTTTTACTATTTACTAGTCATTATTCTTTAAGTGAAACGAAAATATACAAGACTATATTCTGACGTCATATAAGAGATGAATTTGAATTTTATATAGAAATAAATAATTACTTAAATAAAGTCAAAACATGAGTATTGAGTAGTTCTCACGAATTTGAGGAAAATGAATTCGAATAATAATAAGTATATAATTTATAACTAATATACATATGTATGTGTAATATTTTCTTTATAGTACAAGTACAGTGGTCCTCAGCTTTTTTCGATTTAAATGACAATAAAGTTTTGTCGAAAGAAAAAATTCATCATGAGAGAAGGATTTAAGTGAGAGAATTAGTTTTTTAACGCTGTCACTATATTTAGATTACTTTAACACAAAAAACTTCTTTATGTTCAAACGTGAATTTACTTCATTAAAACCTGTTTCACAACATTTAAACAAAAATATAAATTAATTTTTACTGAGATTCTATGTTTAGTTTGGTTATTTTATAATATTAACGTATTTTATAAAAAGTTTGAGTTCAATTATGTTATTAAACTATTATAAAGAAATTAAAAAAATATATTATAGAATAAAATGATTCATTTGTTCATTCAATTATTTTACTAACACTCAATTAAATAATTGAATTTCTAATATTTTTAATACATTCTCATTCCCTGACAGAATAGTAAAGGAATTATCGTGAAATAACATCTGACAACACATTTCTTCACGCCTTGTATTAACTTAAATTTATTATTATAGCTTATAACTTCATTGACAATGCTGCCAACTGCAAAAAATATATAAGTGCGCTAACCTATTATCCGATTAAGTACAATCAATCTCGGTTTTAATAAAAAGTAAGCAAATGACCCTTTTTAGGGACTTCGATAGAAATAAAATTTAATAATAATTTCTTAGTCGGTACCTAATGAAAAATGTGTACATATGTTGAAATGCACTATTTTTAATATAAGTAATAATCAAAGCTAGTCAAATTCATAAAATACTATTAATGATATAATATAACTTAATATTGAGTCGACGGAGAGGAAATACTATTTGGAGTATTCGGTTACCTAACATGTATTATTGTGAGCTCCAAATAGATGAAATATGACTCGAGTAACTTTAGTAGTATAGATTTCGTAAAAAAATACAAAGTTCATAATATACAAAATTGAGAATGGACACGATTTTCGAAAACTCCTGAGAACTAGTCACATACGTACCATAAATAAACAAAAAGTACAATTGATTAATTCATAAATACATATTATAACATAATATAGGCCAGCTCAAGACAAATTATGATAAGGTATAATCACAATAATGATATGATACTCAAACTTACCACCATAATCATACAATTCAACAGTATCGGTATACAGAACACCACTGATATGAAGAGACCCTTGCTGTCGAAGTACTGCTGCCTTGAGAAAAGACTCCAGTTCCTTGCTGCGACTTCGTTTATACTCTCAGAGAAATATACCAAAAGTACTGGAAAATAAATAACTTTATATACCATAATGATTGATTGATGATGTACATAAAGGATATATAAAAAAAACACGTCAAATAAATCACCATCTACCTACTAATATTATAAAAGCGAAAGTTACTCTGTCTGTCTTTCTGTTACGCTTTCACGCCTAAACCACTGAACTGATTTTAATGAAATTTGGTACAGATATAGAGTTGACCTTTAGAAAGAACATAGGATAGTTTTTATCCCAGAATTTTGAAAGGTTCTCTTTGAATCGCGAAATAACCGAACTCCACGTGGACGAAGCTGCGGGCGGAAAGCTAGTATACATATATATATGGGACATTCATAAATCCAATCCATATTTTATTTGGCATTACATTAAAATAATTTTAATCTTATTTCTCAATCTGATACACGGAATTTGGTTCTTCAAAAGTTAAGCGAACATTGTTTCAAAGCATTTAGTTCTAAGTAAACTTTTATATTGTTATTAAAATACAAATGAATACATAATACATAACATGATTTGATAATGACTACAATACACAATGGAACGAGTCCGTACTCCGTAGTAATCTTCTATGTATATAAAAATGGATTGCTGTTCCTTAGTCTCGCTAAAACTCGAGAACAGCTGAACGGATTTGTCTTATCTTAGTCTTAAAATGTTTGTGGAGGTTCAGGGAAGGTATAAAAGGTGAGAAAAATTGGAATAATTGCCGGGAAAACCCTAAAACCAGCCCTTTTCTATTTCCCATACAAACGCTTTTTTTGACATTAGATTTGACAACTAACTAATATGTCAATCATTATGTTTGATTGAAACAGGAAAAACCTGATTTTTTATGGCCTCAAAAACGGAATAGAGTTCACCTGGTCAGCTATACATATATTACTAATGACGAAACTAACGCGGACGAAGTCGCGGGCAAAAACTAGTAATTAATAATTATATCAACAATTACATTGACAGCTGTTATGAATCAAGCAAATGTTTATCTTGGCGCTCAGCAGACGAGTCGTATCTGTACCTTCATATCTTTTATATACAGGGTGACTGGTGAATTACTATCAATATTTAAGGAGGATACTCGGTACATGATTCTCATTCGAATTATGTAAAAAAAATAGGTACTTAATTTTTGACCAAATTTCCGTATAAATAAATAAAGTGTGTACACGTTCCAAGTGTTCCAAGTGTGGACGTGTGCGGCGGCGTGCTGATACAACACTACGCCGCCGCCGCGTCTGTGTGAGTGTCAGTGTATACCTAATCTGTAGGGTGTTCACACGATGCGTAATTAATTACATAACTTTTGGTTAACTTTACTTAGAAGTTTATTAATATTTATGTTATATTAATTTTTATTTTGTCATATATGATCGTCACAAATCACGTCCTCAAATATCGATAGTAATTCACCAGTCACCCTGTATAAAAGAAAGTCGTGTTATATACACATCTATAACAAAAGAACGGCTTTTCGGGTTATGCTTAAAATTAGTGGAGAGATAGATTAGAACGGGTGAAAGAATATATCATACTTTTCATTCGATTAAAAAAAAATGTTGTTCAAATCCAAAATCTTCTTATCTACTATCGTTAAGGAGGAATATAGTTATAGTTATACATTTAAAATTAATTCTGAAACGCAGACGAAGTCGCGGGCAAAAACTAGTATTTAAAAAAAATCGTATGTAATTTTCACTGGCAATATGATACAAATGAAATAATTTATATATTTTTCTTTACGTATTTCGATTCGTCTGAAGACACCTTTAGATCTGAGAATGTTTGGAAATTAAATTAATATTTTTAGGTGCTTCGTAACTTTTTCGTATTAAGACCGTATAACCGTTTCGTATAATATACATTACTGGTTGACGCTTTTGAAGTTAAACTTCAATCAATGTACAGATTACAATTACGTAGTTAATTTCCGAAGAAAAATGTCCTAACTCTATGACAACTGGTGATGTGTAGAGCAAGTGCAGATTTATTATGGCGCAGTCAAATAACTCGTAAATTGCCAAATGATTCAATTAATACTGAAGTTTATTCTTGCATCTCGCCACTGTTCCAATCAATTCAAGTACTAAATGTATTTTTGATAACAAACAGACATAATTTTGATCTTGGATGTTTAAGATCAATGCAAATTGCAACCTTACCACCAGACTACATTATTACGAACACACGCACAGTTTTTAGCTAATAATTACTACTATATCTACGTTAATGCTATCATGTAGACGTATAGTAGATGAAAACTACTAACTATTCTGTTTTGTTTACTTTGAAAATTTATGGCTAGTTCTATTTATAGGCTTTACTCTTGGATGTACTTTTTGTGTGCAGAAGTTTATGTCTACTAGTCTACAGGGTGACTGGTGAATTACTATCGATATTTGAGGACGTGATATTTGACGATCATATATGACGAAATAAAAATTAATATAACATAAATATAAATAAACTTCTAAGTAAAGTTAACCAAAAGTTGTGTAATTAATTACGCATCGTATGAACACCCTACAGATTACTCTACACTACACACTCACACATACGCGCGCGGCGGCGTGTTGTTGTATCAGCACGCCGCCGCACGCGTCCACACTAGGAACACTTGGAACGTGTACACACTTTATTTATTTATACGGAAATTTGGTCAAAAATTAAGTACCTATTTTTTTTAAATAATTCGAATGAGAATCATGTACCGAATATGCTCCTTAAATATTGATAGTAATTCACCAGTCACCCTGTATATTCTAATTATCTAATAATAAGAGGTATGATGACGATTAGGGAGGCCTATGTCCAGCAGTGGACCTCATTTGGCTGAAGTGATGATGATGATGAATAATACCTAGTATACATTATGGTACATTTATGTCCATACATTCGATACTTTTAGGTACGTGAATAAGACCTTGGGGCTTGGGACGACCTTGAAGTCCCCATTATACTCATCTTTAGCGTCTGTGCTTCTGTTTATTTGGTAAGTGTTTGAACCGATTTTAACGAGATTTATTGTCTTAATATGAAGACGAGGTTAAAAGTACGTAAATATATACGTATATTTTCTTCTTTTTTTGCTGTTTAGTCACTGACCGTTACTTACTAATCAGCCGAAAAAATATTGAAAAGCGAAAAATACATTTATTTTCTGTATCCTGAGTAAAATAAGTAGGTAGATTTCCATGTTTGCTGCCCAAAATTAATACTCAATTACAAATTTAATTCCATTTAAATTATAAAGCATTATCCTACAGCCCACAAAAGTGTAAAATTTGACGTTTACATAAGAAACTATTAAGAACTCTTTATTTAACACCAGAACCAGACATAAAAGCAAACGTATAGAATCAAAGGTCAAAAACTTCGAAGCCGAAATATAATTTACATATATAATTTATTAATTATATACTTTTTGTAATTTGTAACAACAGTATCCTTAATACAAGTTTTTAGCGTTACACTACATACGATGCGTTTCCCGTTTCTCAACCAATAAACTTTGTTAATACGTGTAATATTATCAATGAAAAACTGTTAACGCACCCTACGTAGTGTGACGATGCAAACTTAGTAAGCGTACGTAATCACCAGAACTCGTATTAAGAGTTAAAAAACAAATTTCGTTTACTACATTGAGTGTCAAGTTTACAAACTGACGCCATTACAAATATTATTACGATAATAAAAAGAACTAATAAATATGTTGCTAATTACGTACACGCTACATTCTCGTTGCGTATCAGTTACGAAATGGCAGTATTTTTATACAGCATTATCTTAATTTATCATAATTTGTAAAACAAATCAAAAGTTGAACAATATAAACATTGCACACTAAATAATAATAATCGATAAAAAAAGAGTATATAGTGTAATTTTTTTAAATTTAATTTAGGAACATTCTTTTTTTAGTTGATTCTTTAGCTTTAAAATGAAAAATGAACAGACACAGCTTTTTATTGATCTTATCATGTAATAATAAAACTTTAATTGTTTTTATAATAAGCGAGTAGTTTTTATGTACCTATAAAATACTTATGTATCATATGTTTACGATTCATATATATAATTTTTTTTAAGTAACTGCTATTCTTTTATGTATATTATTTATTTATTATTATCAGTAAGTTAATAGATAATTCTATACAAAACAATCCTTTTTATCTTGATACTCTAAGAAGGATTTGATTAGTTAATTATAAATATTTAATCATGTTTGATATCCAATCTTCAATAGAAAAGCCATGGATTCATTATCAATATTAAGGTAAAATTATTATTTACAATGCCATCCCATTACTTCGTTTAAGTATATAGTATATACCTAATGGTATATATAATATTACAACACTCGCTTTTGGAATATAAGTTGAGATATGAAAAGAAAATTTCTGTTTATATAATGTGATCTAATATTTTCATTAATTAATTATTTAATTAAAAATAATATTTCGAATTACTATGCATTATTACTTAATTTTTCGGTTACTTTTCAGCAAACATGATTGCAGACAGATGAGATTAAAAGTTTTGTTTATATTTTTTATCATATAACATTTACATAATATGTCAATGATAAAAATTATGTTTCTGTGTCTGAAGGTATGTATATAAATTTCCTTATATACACTTTTAAAGTTATCTATTATTCATGCTAGGTTTAGCAAGATTTGTTTAGCCTGTCTGAAGACAGAAAAAACAGATAGATAGTGAAGAGTATTAAAAAAAAGTGTTTTGTTTTTATAAGAATTCAACAACAGCCTATCTCATCATAAGAGATATTTTAAATTGACAAGACCTACATATATTTGTAAAGAGCTTCATGTACTCACTAAATACTTAAAATTATAAGCCGTCAATATAGTTAAATTAAATCACACATAGACAACCTATTCCACCATTTCAGTTTACTTAATGTTATAAACATATATTTAAAAATTGTGTTAAAAAATTTAGCACATTTAATACTCACATAATGTGATGAAGAGTATAATTTGAAAATTTCCGTAGTTTCTAGTGGAGAAACATGTGAAAGTTACAAGGATGTGAAAAGATAAGAGAGCTATTAGCCAAGGATCCCTCCATTCAATCTGAAAAAAAAAAACTTGTTTCTGAACTATCAACTTAATTTGAATCTACTAATTAAATCTGGATACTGCAATACTACAACAAAATTAAAGTTTTCAATAATTAATCTATTATATATTTGCTTTTGTTCCCCAATTTTATATGTTAAATGCGTTGATGCATATTAATTATGCATTCTGATGTTCTCAGCTACATTAATACATATAAAATGGTTTATTAACATGTAAATACATATTCTATAAATCTTTAATTCGGACTCGAATTACTCATTTCATATTATAAGACGATTAAAAAATTCCATATTCATTTTTAAATTAAGTTTGTACAGTATACTTATTTTTAAATGACATGCCGCAACTGCTATGAATAATAAACAAAAATATTGCAAGTACTTACACTCTTTATATAAGATACGAAGTCTGATATCTCTTTGACTTCAATAAATCCTTCCATTTTTAAACACAGAATATTAGACTGGAAACTTTTAAGTATCAACAAATTTTTTTTGGAACGTCTCAAGGTAAAAGGACATCAATATTGAATCAAATGTCATACACTCATACAGTCAGTAAGTGCAGTCAAGGGAATGAAATACAGGTATTAAACGAATCCTAAATTTAATATAATCTATAGTACTGTTCACCACAGAAGATGAAAAAATATTTATAATTAATGTTAAATAAAACTAAAAAAGTATTCTTGAACACAAACCACGATTATTTTTAGCAACATATATTTTTAAATAATCGGTTATATAATAAAATTTCTACATTATCTGTTACTGCCTAAATTCGCTTTTTAATTTAAACTGTTTTATTTTTTTGTAAGGTCTGTGGTGAACTAAATTAAGTACCTATTTTAAGGTAAACCAGCTTCTACAGATTATGACAAAAACAACAACAATCCTTTCTTTATGTCATTGTCTTTTTGTTAGCTGTTCAATGTTAACCATTCATCAGTCTTTTAACTTTTGAAATGATAAAAATACATGAATAATAATATAACTTTCTCTTTATTATGAACGCAAATAAGTGTAGTAAATATCTTAGCACATTATAAGTTTTAAAACTTTTATTTCACAGTAAATAATGTTTATTTAGAATACGTTAGTTATCAGAATATCAACTTCAATAAACCGGTGCATCAACATGTGTTGCATTGTATTTATACAAGTCATAGGGGTTTTTATGACTTCCCTGTTAAACCATGTTCAGTCTGCTCAAACCTTGGATACTTATAAATCATCGAAAGAAAGATATGCCGCAGAACTAAGTGAATGTACCTTGTTCCAAAAGCAATGTTTACACCTCGACGAAGATCTCGCTCTTCTGTTTTGTGCTTTAAGCACTACACACAATAATAAGACGCAAGTTCCTTTTTTGTGTCAACACAAAATTTGGACTCATCAGGCTGGATTACTTGATAGTACATATCTTGAAAATAAATTAAAGGATCCTTGTCAGGAAGAACCAAATATTCTGGATTGTCTCAGTTCAAATATAAATACCATAGACTGCATATTAAAGCAAGCACCAATTTTGAAGACTAAATCTTGTGCAAGGGTGGTAAATAAAATTGAATCTTTAATTTTTAATGATTGGCAGATCACAGGTAATTTTTTGAAAAATTGTCTGGATGATGTTGAAGCCCATGAATGTGGAAGAATACCACCAGATCCTACAACTCTGTCTCAGACACATACACTAAAATGCCTTCAGAAATTTGAGATGTCACTTAACCCCAACTGCCAATCTGAAATATCCTCACTCAAAGAGATGAAGTATAATACACTTCATTTAGATAAAATGATATTTGCTGCTTGTAATTTAGATCAGAAAAACTTTTGTCCTGATGAAGTACCAGATTCATTATTATTGTACAAATGTCTTGTTAGACATAAATATGAAAATGGTGAATATTTAATATCCTTATTTACTTATTAATTTCACAACCTGTTTTTCCATTCTCTTTATTACTTTTGTTGCAGGGATGTCCAAACGTTGCCAGGATCAATTATTTTATACACAACGAACAATGGTGCAGAACTATAAAATGAGCAAAGGCTTGGTTAAATCCTGCAAGGAGGACATTCGTAAATACCACTGTCGAAAAGGTGTAGTTGAAGATAAAGATGTCCGTCTTGCACAAATTTTACTGTGTTTAGAAAATGTTACCCGCAATGACAGCACAAAACTCTCTCCAGAATGTGTTGCGGAAATGACAGATCATAGAAAAATGCTAATGGATGATTACAGGTTATCACCGGAATTAATGAAGAATTGTGCAAATGACATAACTATGCTATGTAGAGGTATTGAAACTGGTGGGAAAACAATTCATTGTCTAATGGACCATGCAAGGCCGAGGAGGAGAAAAGATAAAAGGATCAGCTTAGCATGTCAAAGGTCTTTAGAAATTCTTGTACAAGAAGCAGACCCTGGCGAAGACTGGCGAGTAGATCCGATTTTACGTAAAGCCTGCAAACCAGTTGTAGATACAGCATGCAGAGAGGTCAATGGTGGGAATGGCAGAGTTATGTCCTGTCTTATGGAAAAACTGGGAACTGTTCTCATGACTACTGAATGTGAAGCTGCTTTGATGCAAATACAATATTTTATTTCTAGAGATTTCAAATTAGATCCCCAGTTATATAAAGCTTGTAAATATGATGCAGTCACCCAGTGCAAAGCCAAATTGAAATGGTCTGATGCAAGTGAACATCAATCTGAGAAAGATCCTCTTGTGTTGCCCTGTCTCTATAACTATGCCTATGACTCAAATCTGAGGGGCATATTAAAACCAGTTTGTGAACAGCAAGTAAGGAGAGTCATGAGACAAAGGGCCGTCAGTGTTGATTTACTGCCTGAAATAGCTGATAATTGCATGGATGACTTAACAAATTTATGTTTTGAAAATACTGGTAAAGGTGAAGAAATATTGTGCTTACAAAGTAAAATTAAAGATCTAACTCCAAAATGTAAAGATGTTGTTACAAATTTTACTGAAACTCAGAGTGGTCATATAGAGTTAAATGCTGTTGTAAGTATAAACTGTAGAGTTCCAATAGAAAAGTTGTGTTCCTCTGAACTAAAGAGTAAGAAGGATGAAGATGATATTTTGGAGTGTCTAATTATGCACAAAAATGATGCAGAGATAAAAGCCAATGTTAAATGCAGGGCAGCTATAGAACATGAACAATTGATTTCACTTAAGAATTATAGATTTACTAGAAAATTTAAAAACGCATGTAAATCTTATGTAGTTAGGTTTTGTCCGAAAGCACAAACAAAATTACAGGTTGTTATGTGTTTAAGTGAAATAATAAGAAACGATACTATCACGAGACGAAAGCATACTATTTATAAGGAATGTCGTCAGCAGCTTCGAAGTCAACTTTTCCAACAAAAAGAAAATATCGATCTCGATCCTGATCTAAAAGAGGCTTGCAGAAAGGACTTGCAAGAATTTTGTCCGACCATACCTCATGGAGAATCAGCTGCTTTAGAATGCTTACAAACAGCAAAAGTAAAACTAAGCGAAGGTTGTAGAAAAGCTTTATTTGTTGTTAGGAAACAGGAATTTGCAGACAATGCTATCGATTACCATTTGGTTAAAAGCTGCAGCGATATGATAGACTTGTACTGTCATAATACTGAACCAACAGTCCTATTAGATTGTTTGAAGGTATTTATTTGTAAAAATTATATATATATATATATATATATAATGTACGAAAATTTTCTATTAATATAATATTTCCACAGGCACATCGACAGGAAGACGATTTTGATAACAACTGCAAAATTGTTGTCATTAATAGAATGATAGAACAAAATATGGACTATCGATTTAATAATAACTTGCAAAATGCATGCGATGGCGATATAAAAAAATATTGTAGTAACGTTATTTGTAAGAAAAACTTTTAAACTCAATTATTTTATACACTAATGTGCAGATTTATTAAGACTCATATTATTATTTTTTTGTTTGCAGTAAATGAACCAAAAGATGTCGAACTTCGTGGAAAAGTTCTTTATTGCTTAAAAGAAAAGTTTAGGGAGTCCAAATTAGAAAAAAAATGTGAAAACGAACTGGCTAATGTCTTGAGAGAACAAGCTTTAAATTATCGCTTAGATCCACTGTTAGGGAAACTTTGCAAAGCTGAAATTCAAACAATATGCGCAGTACCCAATGACTCCATAACAAACTCTGATGGTCAGGTAAAAACTTTATTTTAGTGAGTTGTTAAAATATACTGTACTGATATATGATTGGTGTGATATATTACAAGTTAAATAACATCATGAGGGATATAAAATATAGGTATAATAATTATCTTTAGGTTGAAGAATGTCTAAAGAATGCCCTATTGAACCACAAAATAGTGTCTGCAGAATGTGCCCAGGAAGTTGTTCAAATTATAGAAGAAACCGAGGTTGATATTGAAGCTGATCCTTTATTAGAACGAGCCTGTGCCTTGGATCTGCTCAAGTACTGCAAAGATCTCGAACACGGAGCTGGCAGACGTAAATTTTATACATTTTTCTTCAGTTTTCTCTTTATATATAGTTGAAGATAATTGTTTTTTAATAAATAATATTATAATTTCAGGATTGAAATGTTTGAAAATTATCTTAAATGACAGCAATAGAAAACTAGAGAATGAATGCCAGAAAGAATTATCAAGTAGACTGGAAATGTATAGATATGTTGCACAAGTAAGTATAACATAGTTTGTAACTCAAGAAATTTGTTAGCCTTTTTTTTTACTTTCTTATTAGGTGTGTACAGATATAAATATTTAATTCAGTGATTTATACAATGCATATATAAATCTAGACCACTTAAGGTTTGGTAACATTACTTACTAAATATTAAACAAATTTTTTTTCAGGTAAATGTAATCGAAAACTTGGGAGATGTCTACACTGAAATATCATCTTCACCATCTAAGAAATATTTTCTAGTTGTAGGGATATCAATTGTGGGCTTAATTTTTATATTTGGTTTATATTGTGGTCGTATGACAAAAAGGGCTATGTATATAAAGAGAAAATAGTGATATTTTAATTGTAAATAATAATTATTAATAAATTTCCAACTATGTTCATTTAATCTTTTCATTCAGTTATTTCTTCAAAGTCCATATCTTCTAAACATTCTTCTTTTTTTATGTTAATATTACTAGATTTAGTTTCTTTTTTGGGTTCCATCTTGACATCACCTTTCATTAGTTTCTGGCTCTCTTCAAAATATTGGTTTGGATGATTTATTCCTATACCGAGATCTGTGTTGTGAATCGCATCAAAATATTTGCTGCAGGCGATCTGGTAATGACCCTTTTTAGTCATATCTACAATATCATTGGCTGCTGTAAGTTAAAATTTTATATTGTTAATTTTAGTTATTATTAAAAGAATAAAAGAAAATAAATTGATAAAAAATACTGTTTCTGTACCTTGACCTTCCAGTCCATAGCCTTTTAACTTATTCTTCAGTACATTTAAGTCGCTGTGTCTAAATGGGCAGCCATGGCATTCACCAGGTCCGACATTTGTGTTGATAATTTTTAAACAATTAAATGGTGCATAGTTCTTCTTACTGCCTTCTTTACCATAGTTGTATCTTATGTTATATGCATATTGTTTTTCAAATTTATCTGACTCCATAATTTTGGTAAATTCTTCCCTCCAAAATCTTAATGAATCTTCAAGGGTAACTCCTATGCCCTTCAAGAATAATCCATACTGAAGCCTGCCACCATGCTTAAGGTGATGGACGGAGCGCAATTGTTCATGTAATTGACGCATACAAAAGGGAAATGATTTAACAGATAGGCTGTTAATACTTTCAATAGGAATAGTAACTTTAACATCACTTATATAATCATTTCCTGAATATGACTGATGCAAGCCTTTCAACAAAGCTACTAGCCTTTCATCTTGCTCAATTTCTCCTAAATGCCGGCAAGCAATGGCGAGGCTTTGACGCAAATGCGTCCTGTATTGAGCAGAAAGTACGGATATGAAATCTTTATGTGGTATATAAGCATACCCAGCATGCAAATAAACTTTTCTAGCTTTGACCAAGTCTAACACTTCATGGAATCTTACTTTATAAAATTTAAAAGACTCAATGTTTTGGTTGCTTTGATAGAATGTTGAATCTCTTAGATAAGGCATTATTTCTTTTTTTTCATCATCTGATATATTAGTATAGCTAAGATTATTTAATTTGAAGAAAGTATCAACGGCATCACTTTTCATAGTCAGGAATCTCATTTTGAATAACTCGAGTTCTCTAGCTATAAACCAACGACGGAGATCCTCTGTTCTGCAGTAAGCCAGTCTCAGAATAAAATGAGCAATATGATCTTTCCTTCTGGCCTGTAAATCAACTTCTTGTGTTCCACAACCAGATTTTTCACAGAGTTTAGAGTAATATTTTAAGCCTTGACTTCTCAAGTCACTTAAAACGTATTCTGTCCACTCGTCCGAATACATTCTCAGACCTTTTAAAGTGGTTGCTGTAGCTAAACATCTTAAGAGTGTGAGTCTTTCCAATGCCAATGTTTCAAATTCTTGTAACGATATATTTTCAGTTGGTGGAATCTTGTAGAATTGCAAGTCAATGGGATACGTGTCTACAAGACTACCAGTAACAATTGTCTTGGTAGATTTTCTTTTAATTTTAAAATCCATTGTAAATATTTGTGGTCATGAAATTCATTAAATGATTAGTATTGTTTTCTTAGGTCCACTTACGGTTTGGCGCTAAATTTGCTGTCAAACAAAATACAGTGTTATCCTACACAATCATTTCAAACAATGGGCTAAGCGCTAAATACAAACTTATTAATAAACAGTATTAAATTAATATTTATTTTGTATTGTTTATTTATACTCGTTAAAATAAAAATGAATACTCATATAAATCATTATAAATGTATAAAATCTTATCATATTATATAATACATGCTATTGTCTCTATATGTTAGTGAAATTCATTATTGATATTATCAAAAATATAATAAAACTTACTAATCTATTTTTTTCTCTATTTTTGGCTAAATTGAAATTCCTCAATTTACTACTTTAGTAAATCACGAGAAAATTATATGTCAAATTAGACAGTAGTAAGGACTCGTGTCATATCATGAGTGTTCAGTATTGTAATTTGTATTTGAAGCATTTGAATTCGGTTTTCTCGAATTCCAATTAATTTATTGATTAGGATGGTTGTTACTTTATAGGGATATAAATATGTTGACTCGTAAATAACTTCCCGGTTCTAGAAGTGTTCTTGTTTCATTGAAAAGAATTAAACAAGTTGTGAAAACATGGTTTCTAATAAGATGCAGTCGTCATTAGACGACTTAGTTCAATATACACAGTTATTTAAGCCCGTGGCTACTATTTTACAAGGAACAATACTGCCTTTTTTGATAATCTACCCGATTGTATTCTATTGTTGGATCTTCGTGTATGGTTTTAACGAAAACTTTGAAGCGGGTTTTGTGACTGTCGCTATCGTAGCGATTATTCAGATTCTCATTTGTCTCTGTTGCTATTGGAGTGTTCATATAAACTGCTTTCTGTCTTGTTCACCTGTAAGTAATTTTTAAAAAAATTCACATAGTCATAAAACTGCAAATAAATATATCTATTATTTAAATTTTGCAGGTTAAGGACCCCTTACAAGCTTCAATTGTGAAAGTAGTGCCTACCTCGAATAATGGATTCTCTGAAATTGTTCGTCTTCACCATACCAAGGTTGGTAACTATTTTCCCACATATTACCTCTAAGCAGAAGTGACCTATATTTTAAATAAATATTATTTATCCAAAAAATATAAGATTTCTGACAACTATGACTATAAAGTTGAGAACTTATTTCCAATAATTTAAACTCACACATTTATTTCTTTAAAAGTATTGCTTGTTAATGTAGCTCAGTCTGAGTGTTGTTCATCTTTTCTTTAACAATCAATATTTCCCATAAATTAACCTCTTAAACTTATTTCCATTTCAGTCTATGAATAAAAGTGAAACTAATCCAGATGTTTGGTTTATATTTCAAAAAAGTAAATATGTTTACGATTGGGACAAGAAAACTTTTAATACAGTTGTTTTCCCTGTTGACAAGACATATGAAGAGTATATTGATTCAAAAGGCCATGATGATGAAACAATTTTAGCTGCAGAAAATGAATTTGGAAAAAATGAAATGATAATGGTAAGTTACTTGACCTTTAGTGGTGACTTTTAACCTCTGCTTTATTTAAATCCTCCGATATTTGAGAATTGTTGCATACAATTAGCTAATTGTGCTGTCCCTATAGCAATACAACACATTTATAATAGTTAATGAAATGGAATCAGTTTTAATAAGGATTATTTAAAATTAATAACTGTGGTCAATACCTAGCATACAAAAAAAATCAATATTATATAATAATGATAGTGTAATTTTATTAAATAACTGGTTAAAAAAATATTGTCAAAGAAAAGATCTATGTTAAACACTGATGGCATACTAAAATTACTTGAATGTTTATAATAAAAATTTTATTCCCCCTCAATTCAATATCAAATTTAAAAATTTAATTCTGTATGGGAATTCTGCATGTAACTGTGGTATAGACAAAGTGTTTGAAAAGACAGTGTTAAACAAAGATTAATATAATGACACCTGTAAATTAATTTTAAAATAATATACTTGTATTGTGCTTGGGAAATGGAATGTGGCTTGGTAGCCTGGTGGGTTTGACACTATCTGCTTACACTGTCATAACTCATATCATAGTAGGTACAGCTTAAAAGAAACACTCCTAGATAAAATATATTGCGTCATTAAATAGCCTTCTTCACTGTGGTAAGATGGCATTTCTGGTAAAATTATTGCTTACCCTAGATTTTCCATGTTTGAATCCTGGTCTTGGTGATGAATTTTTCATTTAATATTTTCCAAAAAACACTATTTATTTATTTACTAATAATTTAAAAATTAATAAGGTGGTGAAAACAAAAAACTACTGTAGTGGTATGCAAAGGTAAAAAAATAGGTCACAGAAAAATGTTGTTTATAGAAGAAACTGTTATTATATGCAAGCAATATTTTAACAAACAAAATGACTGTAATTTTGATGCATTAATATTGTAGGAGTAATAAATCTTACATACAAAACATTTTTGGTAACATTGTGTATATTTTTATCTCAATAATATTCTTATACTTTATATTTTTCTTAAACATTATCCTTCTTAATAAAAATATCTGTATTTTCCAGGTTGTTCCCGAGTTTATGGAGTTATTCAAAGAGCGAGCGACAGCTCCGTTTTTCGTGTTTCAAGTATTCTGTGTTGCACTGTGGTGCCTTGATAAGTACTGGTACTATTCCATCTTTACGCTAGTCATGTTAGTGATGTTTGAGTGTACTCTAGTACAACAACAACTGCGAAATATGGCGGAAATAAGAAAAATGGGAAATAAACCATACAACATCAATGTTTATAGAAACAGAAGGTGGCGACAGATTGTTAGTGATCAACTCCTACCAGGTGATATTGTCTCACTAACGCGCTCTTTAAATGACAACCTAGTACCATGTGATATAGTTTTATTGAGAGGTTCGTGCATAGTTGACGAGTCTATGTTGACTGGTGAAAGTGTTCCCCAAATGAAGGAACCATTGGAAAACGAGAGTGACTTGAAACAAAATTTATATGTAGAGGGCGATGGTAAATTACATATGTTGTTTGGCGGGACCAAAATAGTTCAGCATTCGTCACCAAACAAAAACGTATCATCTGGTCTTAAGGCTCCCGACAATGGGTGCATAGGTTACGTTATCCGCAATGGGTTTAACACGTCACAGGGAAAGCTTTTGAGAACTATACTTTTTGGAGTCAAAAGGGTTACTGCCAACAATCTGGAAACATTTGGCTTTATATTATTCCTTTTGATTTTCGCCATCGCCGCTGCCTCATACGTTTGGATAAAAGGTTGCGAGGACCCAGAGAGAAACAGATATAAGCTATTTTTGGAATGCACTTTGATATTGACTACAATCGTGCCTCCTGAATTACCGATAGAATTATCCTTGGCTGTTAATACTTCCTTGTTATCTTTGTCAAAGTTAGCTGTATTTTGTACAGAACCATTTAGGATTCCATTTGCGGGGAAAGTAGAGATCTGTTGCTTTGATAAGACTGGTACGTTGACTAGTGACAATTTAGTGGTAGAGGGAGTGGCGGGTATTGGGGAACATAAAGACGCTACTGTCATACCCTTATCAGAAGCTCCCATGGAGACCATACAAGTTTTGGCGTCATGTCATTCCTTAGTACAGCTAGATGATGGAGTCGTAGGAGATCCTTTAGAGAAAGCTACTTTAAAAGCTGCCGAGTGGAATCTCACTAAAGGAGACGCTGTTGTACCTAAAAAAGGAAAATCACCAGGGTTAAAAATTGTTCATAGAAATCATTTTTCAAGTGCACTTAAAAGAATGTCGGTTGTAGCGGGATACCAAGTTAATGAAAGAGGTTTTATGGAAAATCATTACATAAGCAGCGTCAAGGGCGCCCCAGAAACAATAAAAACTATGCTGAAAGAAGTTCCTAGCCATTACGATCACGTTCATTTGACGTTATCGAGACGGGGTGCGAGAGTATTGGCTTTAGGTTATAGAAATTTGGGTAAAATGAGTTCTCAAGAAATTAGGGATCTATCTAGGGAAGAGATTGAATCTGATTTGACGTTTGTTGGCTTCGTTATAATCTCGTGTCCACTGAAGAGCGATTCTAAAAAGGCAATTACCGAAATTATCCATGCATCACATTCCGTAGTTATGATAACTGGCGATAACCCTTTAACGGCGTGCCATGTCGCCAAAGAACTTAGGTTTACTCAAAAAATAGAAGTTCTTATATTGACCGAAAATAATAATGAATGGAATTGGACGTCCGTTGACGAAGAACTTAAACTTCCTATCAAACCGTTTAAAACACCAAAGGAATTTACCAAAAATTATGACTTATGTATAACCGGGGAAGGTCTGGCATATTTAAATGAAAACCATCATAAATTTTTCCTAGATATTATACCGCATGTAAAAGTTTTCGCCAGAGTTGCACCGAAACAGAAGGAATTTGTAATAGTTACTCTAAAGTCCCTTGGCTATTGCACCCTTATGTGTGGCGACGGTACTAACGATGTCGGTGCCTTGAAACATGCTGATGTAAGTTTTAATATTATCATAACCTGATTTAACGCTATTTATTAGTACACAAAAGTTTTACCACAAAAAATATATATATACAGGTTGGTGTGGCTATTTTGCCGAATGCTCCCGAACGTGCCCGGGAGCGTAGAATTGAAGAACGTCCATCGGAACCAGAGCCTCAACGTCGACCGAGGGACCCGCGCGAGGCGGCCAGGATTGAAGCATCAGCACGATTAAAAAGAGCCATGAAGAAACTACAAGAGGAAGACCCATTACAACTGGTTAGATTAGGAGATGCAAGTGTCGCTGCACCGTTTACAAGTCGTCTATCTAGTATACTATGTAGTAAGTGTTATTAAATATGACTTCTTAAAATAATTTATTAATTTGATGTAATTTCACATAGTTTTATAATTTATTCAGTCTTTACTCTTATCACAATTACATACGAAGCTTTTTCAATTCTTCATTCATTCATTCATTCATTAAATCATAAACCAATTTCGATATTACCATCTAAAGTATACTAACAAACACTAGCGTAATTGATAACAGATTTTAATAATAGGGTTGAAATTGTTATATTGTACAACAATCTGCACGTTTATTAATATATATTTTTGTTTTTCAGTCTGTCACATAATAAAGCAAGGTAGATGTACGCTGGTGACAACACTGCAAATGTTCAAGATTCTGGCTCTCGACGCGTTGATATTGGCATACAGTCAGTCAGTTTTATACCTGGATGGCATCAAATTCAGTGACACTCAGGCAACCCTACAAAGTCTTTTATTGGCCTCCTGTTTTCTCTTTATATCTCGATCGAAGGTAAATTAAAAGGAAGCCTTAATAATATCTGTACTTTGATGTTAAATTTAATCTGTGCTTAAACAAACACAGAAATAGTTATAGTGTTACAATGCCACATACAATGGAAAAAACATTAAATCTTAAAAGAGAGTCGTGTTAGTTATATTATTTGTAACTCGGGAATGAGTGTTCGGATTTGAGTGAAAATTGGCGGCGAAGTAGTTTTGAACCAGGAGACGAACTTAGGATACTTTTCATCAATTCGATAAAGAAAAAAAACTTAATACAATCCAAAACAATCATATTTACTGCCTCTAAGGCGCAACACAGTTCGCCCTTTTATACATTTTTATATCTGAAACTGACCCAGATGAAGTCGCGAGCACAAAGTAGTGTATAGCAAATATTACATTTCAATCATGAGTAAATTAAACAAAATATAATTTTTTCATTTTATTTCAGCCATTGAAACAACTTTCAAAACAGCGTCCTCTACCGAACATCTTCAATGTTTACACTATAATGACGGTGCTAACACAGTTCTCAGTACACTTCTTGTGTCTTGTATATTTGGTTAGTGAAGCTAAATTGCGATCACCCGAAAGGTAATAAAAATGATTATTTTTGAAACTCGTTTACTAATCAATAAAGTGAAGGCGTCAAGTATTTTAATGAGGATTCGAAGTTATAATCGTTTTTTATTTTTTAAGGGATAATAAACCGAAATTGGACATGGATTTAGCTGAGGATGAAGAGCATGTATTCAAGCCTGATCTGGTCAACAGTACTGTGTATATTATATCAATGGCGTTACAGATATCAACATTTGCAATAAACTATAGAGTATGTAACACAAGACACATATTAATTACTTACTTGACTAGTTTTTTATTTATTATCATGGTCTACTGATATATAACTATGTATAATCATTACAAATGATCTATCGTCTTCATTATTTTGAGAATGGCTGTATTAAATATCTGTTTAATACTTTTTGTATGCTAAACTAGATACATCCATCATTTCATAGTGTACAATATTGATTAGATTTTCTTTTGTACTATCTCAATACATTAATTTATCTTAACACTTGGAAATATATTTCCCTAATTATTACGAAAATATTTAGTTTCTATAATATGTATGTATGTACTATTTCTTTCATATCCTATAGTTTATTGTTGTAATATTTGTTGATTTGTAAACAATATTAATATGTAATAGGATCCCTTTGCATAAAAATAGGGTTGTATGTTGAGAGTAATTATAATAAGAGTTATTATTTATAGGGCGAGCCATTCATGGAGGGTCTTCGTGATAACAAACCTCTGCTATACAGCATCGTCTTATCCGGAGGGCTGGTATTTTCTTTGGCTACTGGTGTGATGCCGGACCTCTCCAACATGTTCGAGATAGTTGACTTCCCTAATGACGTGAGTTCCTCGTTCAGTAATATATTATTGACAGAAATTATCTAAAATTTTAATATTGTAAATATATTTAGTATGAATAAATATTATGAGTAATATGATAAACATATAAAAATGTTATTAAGAAATTTAAAGATGTAAGTTTTTATGAAATTCGTATGTGAAATTTGATGGGAGAATAATATTACAATATTTATGTTATACCCAGAGGACTGTAAATTTTTTCACTGCCAGTTAAGGTTTAACAATCCTTAATGTTGTGAGTATAAGGTTGATTTTGCGAACATAAAGTATATTTAAAAATTATATGCATACTATTATATATGGGCGTATATAAAAATCGATTATAAAAACTCATATATCCAAAGGATTATACCAAATATCTAAATGATTCTAAATGATAGTATAAAATGTAACTGCACTATTAATTAATAGTTAAACCAGGTCAAAACTTAAATACGCAAGAACAATCCGGCAACACCGACGTAGAACGTAACATTTACTATGTACACGCTAATTGGCTATTAGTACCGTAATACTGTAATTATAAACGAAGAGTAACGACTAGGTCTCGTTAGTTGGTAACTGAAATAATATTATCTCTACGATATACCTCATTATTGAAATGTTACCGGGCGCATTTATTTTAATATTTTATTGGAAATATGTTCAGTGAGTTTGAACTTTTTAATTATTTACGTTGTCGGTCCGAATCGAAAGTACTCAACTTTTAAGTGCTATGTATGTATTACATACAGAGTATGTATAATTATTATGAAGGTATTAAATATATTTAATTTTTGTTTTTTTTTTTCAGTTTCGAGTTATATTGGTTCAAGTGTTAATAGCGGACATGGTGTTCGCGTATTTGGTGGACCGCGTCTGTCTGTGGCTGTTCGGCGACGCTCGCGTCTCGAACGTGACGTAACGATTGTTTAATCTGTGTACAGCTCAAAATATGCATTTATTGTAAATGTGTAGGTGGTGTGATTAAATGTCTGTAATAAATGATGTTTTATTTAAATAAAATTATGACAAATTTTATTGTTTACATTTATTTGACAACTTAATTATATATACAATCATCTATAAGGATTCTCGCCAATGAACATACTGTTGTGCACGGACAGTATGCTCACATACGAAAAATCTATAGATTATTTATTGGGTTGCTTGTGTTTAGTGTCCGCCGTAGCCGTGTCCGAGACCTCCTAGATCATATCCTCCGTATCCTAATTCTAAACCAAGACCTAAGTCACTCTGGTATCCCTCGTATCCACCGAGGTTGTAGTCATTGCCGATAGAATATCCGTCTGTGATCGGCAACGATACGGAATCGTAGACCGACTCTTGGATCGGTTGGTAGACTGGTTGCACAACTTCTTTGACAACCGGCCTAATTGTTTGTGGGTGCGAGGCCTGGCCGATCCGCTTGACTACTGCGTTGAAACCGCGAACATCATCAGCTGTGTACTCCACCACACGTATAGTACCGTCGGGTTCAGCCAATGAATATGATCCCCTCACGACGCCGCCTTCCCGGGTTTCAGACTGGGACTTGTTGTCGCCGGTACTTGGATCATTCACGGCGTAGTTAAACTCATAACGTGGTTCGGTCTTGAGGAAAATTTTAAGAAATAAAAATCGTGCTCATCATCAAATTTAATTTCATTATTTAGTTGAATACTTACATAACCATCGACAACAGATATCTGGTCGTAACCGTAACCATAACCTCCACTTGGAGCTGCAGCTACTACTCCAAGCACGCAAGCAACCTAAAATATACAGCAAATATTAATTTCACTTACAAACAATGATCTATTTCCAAAAATTTACCAAATCTTATAATAGTGTAAAAGTAAAAAGCAATTTGGTAATTAATTGACTCACCGATAAAAGAATATGCATTTTTACACGCGATTTATTTAGCGCTAAACAAGTTGATCAACAATTGTACATATGATAAAGTTTAATGGCTGCGACCGATTTTATACCCGTCACACCTCTTCGTTGGTTAACTCCTGGACATCCTTCGCTTGTTCACGCTCATTGATTATTCACTTATTAATACAGTTGTTCTGATGATGTAAATGTGTATCAATGAAGAACACTGCGTTATAAGGATCATACCTATATTGTAAATATTTTATATATTTTAAACTACTTTGTTATTTCGTAGTAAATATCTGTAAGAGCCACATATTCTCCAAAATATATGTTTATTTTATAATTTAGATATCCCATTTAGCAATTCTGTGCGTCGATTTTAAGACCCTCCAACTATCAAACTTTAGCTTGTTGATGTTATGAACTATTTTTAAGTTGTTCTTTTTACACAAGTATAATCATCCTGTTGATAAGTTCATGTGCTCCATTTATACCTTTGTTTTCCAGAATAAATCTAGTAACCTAGACTCTGAAACTTTTTCTCATGATATTGCAGGTAACAAAAATACCTATATCAATAGATTTTGCAGCTCTTAAGCGATTCTTTTTTATGATCTCTTGTCGCTTAGTAGTCATTGCATTACAATGGGACTACAAAGAATTCTCATTAAGGAATTATATTTACTTCGATATTATATAACAAGCACAATTTGTACATCATTCAAAAATCCGAATTCAATTGGAATGGATAATATTTAAATTGCTTAACATTTTTAACCACTTTTCAATTACCACGTCATTTATGTAACAGATATTTTTTATGTGAAAGAAATAGGTATTCAGTTTTAACAATATTGTTTACACTTACCCCTTAGACTTTACTACATATAATTATATTTCTACTGTTTTGTATTAAAGGTAATACTATTTTTTAGCGACATAACTAAAAAACACTTCATAAAAACAAACAAGAAATTCAATTGGTAAGTGAAAACTTCTTATCTGAAGAACGTTAGAGAAAGATTTTTTTAAAACTTTCCCTTCACAAATATTGATTCAAATTATTTTTGAAAAAGCGTTGATGCCGCAGCCTATAAATAGGCATTTTATAACGAATTGTAATATTAAATTGCTTAAATTAATGGATTTAGTACTTGAAAATTTATTCAAACATTTAAAAAAATGTCCTGAGCTACATTAAGCCTGTTTCATGTTATGTAGTAAATTTCTATAAAAACTTTTTTTTAATTAATTATGTTTAACAAAATCTTTGACTGGTTAGTAATCTGTAGCAGAGCCGTTATTAAAAGTAAACCTTTGCATTAAGTATTTATTTTCGCGCCTGAAGAAATGTTTAAAAATTAAGTACCTATTAAATCGTTCTAAATAGTGTTTACGTTAAAAGACAAATTCATATTAAAAAATTATTATGACACAATTCCATGCATAAAACATTTGACTAATTATGACCGAGTTTGCAATGATAGTCGGAATTTATTCATTTATGCGTTATTTACATTGCATTAAAGACAGTTGCATAGAATAATTTTTCACTTTCTAATATAATAAAAAATATTCAACAAATACTCATGAAGTATGTGAAATTGTGAAGGTATATAGTTTTAGATATTTTAAAAATTAATAGATATATTTCTTTTGTGAGAACAAATATGTGAATAATATTTGTGTGGTCATAATACATATATTGAATGCCTCCTTCTCAGAGTTTTGCTCAATTATATGATTCTACGCTGTTTTGTCGTTAGTAGGTACATAAGTGCAATTGTGTTTAGGAATAAGTGTAGTATTTAAACTGGCCAATTATTTTATATGCATACATATTATATTATATTTTAATGAAAAAGTATTAGCGTTTATATTTTTTTCTATTCAAATAATAAGAATTCATTTAAATCGTTTGACTTGTTTTAAAACAATCTGAACAATTAGAACAGCACCACTAACAATCATCCCTGAAGGATAGAAATAAAATTAAAAAGATAATTTTTGCCTTAGTAACAACTTTAATTAGAACAAATGATTATATAAAAAATCAATCTCAATTTTATTTATAAATATTTACAGGTTTTATGTGTTAAAATATTTAGGTATATATTAAGTGTATGATATTTCATCATCATCATCATCAGCCTATCAGAGCCCACTGCTGAGCAAAGGCCTCTTTCTCACGTGGAAAAGGTTTGAGCATTAATCACCACGCTTGCTCAAGACGGGTTGGTGATTTCAAACTTATAATTGTGAAACTATAAGTCCAGGTTTCCTCACGATGTTTTCCTTCATCGTCTGTCAGTGGTGTCTAAATACTCTTAGAAATTACATATGACTCGGAAAAATCATATTGGTACTTGCCAGGACCGAACGTGTACGAGAGGCGGGCCCTTTTACCACTAGGCCACCACGGACTTATGATATGTATTTATATATTTTTTTTATTTCTTAAGAATCCAGACTTTATCTTCCTAGTATAAAATTTAAATAAATATAAAGTTTATTTAAAAAAGTTACTGCATTTGCCTAAATTTTTCATTTTAAGGTCCAATAAATCTTTAAAAATAAATTGTAGGCTGATAATCGTTTTGAAGGAAACAATTTCTTTTATTACATTAATATACTTGTACTATTTTATATTTTAATATTATCAACACTTTTTAACAGTTTAGGCTCGTTACCAAATCTATATTTTTGAATAGTATTTACTATATCCCGTACTATCTGTTTGAATAATTTAGCTGGTTATCTTAAAACCTTTTTACTATGAATCCAGACGTGGGACGATAAATAAAACTGTTAATTCATTTTTATTCATGGAACTATCTCGCAATAACCACTAGCGTCCAATGATAATATAAATTCTCATTTTAATTAAATAAAACACATCAATTATCTACTAATTAGTGCTAGTACTCATTAGTGATGAGCGTAACGAAGGAGGCCCGTCAATAACTTTATTAATACAGGTATAATGTACCTATGTAACAGAAATGTATTTATTTTGAAATAAATATACTTTTACTCCTCATCATAACGTTGATAGAACTTAAAATGGATTGTGGTGTAGTGTAGTAGTAAGTAATTCGGCTCCTAGACCGCCTCATTACCCCTTTTCAGTAGAAACACTCTTTCCAGACACAAATTCACATTTGCAATCAGAGCCCGTAGAAAAGTTCCCGCCACCCGCGGCCCCGCTTCCCCCACGCTGCCTTTAATTAACAGAAAGTGGTTCATTAGAGCTTATTCATTAAAGCAAGGAGTAATTAGCGAACTCTAATGAATGCTGTAATAATGTAAGAGCGGCCGCTGCGGACTGCGGGCCGACTTCTAGATTAATCTAGAAGCTGGTATAATTTAGTAATGGCTTTAATTTATTACCGACTTGATTGCGGGATAAACGATCTATTAAAACTTCGGCTATAGCTTCAATTTATATGTTGTTTTATTAATTCCAGATCTTAATAAGACTTGATGACGTTACTGTAGTTCGTAATTCGTATATGGACGAATATCATTAGGTACTTCATGTCTCCATATAACACTAAGCTTCACTTAAATCTGATTTCTTACAATTCCAAACAATGTAACATATAGCAAATATGACTAAAGAAAAGTTTTCTCTATTATTTACGAAGGATACCTGTTTTATTTGTCTTCGTATAACCGAAAATGTAACAAACGTATGTATTATAAAACAATCAAGAGATATAAGACGTGGAAATACAAAATAATGTAAAAGTAGGGTCACAAAAAAAGTGGATAATTTAAATTAAATAAATTTATTAATAAAGTAAAACTCTACTGTGGTATATAATATTAAAATTAAAACTGTTTACTTATAGACTCTAGACTGATTTTTATAATATTACATACAAGAACAAAAAAAAACAATAACACAATTTGATATACCTATTTAAGCTAAAAAGTTTATAGATTTTTAAATTAAAATTAATAAATCATTTTTAAAATACCAATATATTTGATTTTCTAAGCTATTGTGAAACTAACGACGTAATATTTGAATTGTTAGTAATATTGTTAAAGGATGTTGTAATATTTTAATGAGACGGGTTATTATTCCAGTGGACAATATTGGGAATGACCCAACTATACACAATGCTATAACGATGGCTACGGGCAAGATCAAGTCCCTTGTAAACATGCTGCTGTTTATATTAACATTATAATGTTTTCATGACAAATTTACTCAGTTCATTATGAATATTGTTATATACAGGGTGTCCCAGAACTCAACGTCAAACCGAAACGGGGTCACAGGATTGACTGTTACCATCATGAGAAAAAATACAGAAAAAAAATTATTCCATGTCGTTTGAAAATTAATTTTTGTTACGTATAAAGGCAATTGAAACTTATTATCTAATTATTATTTAATTAATAATATTAGGAACAAATTATTTCGTATACCAGTTACTTTTTCACTTTTGAAACGTTTTAGAGAAATTTTGTTTGGTCGACTCTGTGACACTAAAAGCGGTATTCACGCAATAGAATATATTTGCACCCGGAATGGGATGAACAGTTGTAAACTTGATTAATGCTTGTACACACTCACTGTCCAAGTTATATTTCTTTTTTTATAGAATAATTACGATTAAATAAAGTTAAATTATATGATTTGTGTCTATGGATTATTTTCTTACATAAGTTTTATTTTTTGGCCTAGTTTATCTTTTCTCATAAAACTCCATACACACGTAACAATTATTGATAAGCTCACATGGAATTTATTGTCCAAATTCCTTTAATCTTTACGTGTAATTTAAAATTGAAATATGCATTCCTCAAAATTTTATTAGATTTTCTCTTTAGGTTTAATAAATTAAAACTGTCTACCTACGTGAATAGTGAATAATTCGATTTCTTTTAGCGTTTCAAATGAAAATTCCAATATTTAGTGTTTTTATCCGCACTTGGATTCACAAGCCTACTAAAAAAATATTACTCTAAAATTTTACAAATGATGCAAGAGCTTAATATTTATAAATATTAAGTTCAGTTCTCGAACCACATACATCTATATATATGGAGTTCGATTCCCGGTTGAATATTTATTAGATATATCAATTCCTGTCTTCTTGTGAAGGAAACTTCTGTAGCAACACTTTAATGGCATTTTTATACCATATTTTTTTAGTAAGATAACGTGTTTTAATTTTAATCATTTAATGCGTCTACATTACAAATATTTGATGGATACTCAGATAATTTTTAATTAAACTTTTACTGTTCTTTATTGAAGTACATAAGTTTTAGGTCTTAATTGAGTTTCCGTTATTCAAAACTTTAATTCATTTAAAAATTATAATTAGCTTCTTTCATTAAACCGGTTCTAATATCAACATCACTTCCCTTTTAGTTTCAACTTAGGTCCGAGATTTTAGAGGCAGGTATGGCCATTACTATGTGAATATTGCAGGACAGCCCGCAGCGATGCTATTGATTAGTGACTGGCGTTCGGTGGCTATCATTCATTCATAGATCCACACGTTCGTCAGGACTCAACTCACATTTTTCCTAAGTCGTTTTTTCGCCACAGCTTCCAGTACATATTTGATGCTGTCTGTCAGGAAGGAAGCACGGCAGCGTAATTGGTCCTGCCGCCGGATAGAAACTCACGAAAATTCTTTTGAAATTTGTATTCTGGTACACGGCATCATGAACGCTATTATGATGAAGATTAGTTTGTTTCAAATCATGACTAGTTTTCATAATTGTACCTATCGAGTAGATTTATTGTATTGAATATATTGTGACAAATATTTTTTACACAAGGACGATTTCCCCAACGATATGCGAACAATGAGATAATCCAATTGTAGTGACTGTGTCCAAAACTCGTGCCCAACACCCGTAAAGTGCGCTCAGATGTACGCGTTCACATAAAGATGTATTTAATATATCATTGAATTCAATGTTTACAAAAATGAAAAGACATGAATTTTAAAAGTACCTAAAGTTTTTTCATCATATATTTATCGCTAGATGTTATAGAGGTGTAAAATTTTAGACACTATGTAATCAAATTAAAATTATAATTTGAAATTGACATTATAAGAAGGGTCAAGCAAAAGCATTTAAAGAGCAATTTAAAATGAACATTTTCTTACGCTTTGAACGATACCATCAAAATATTTTTGAATAATAATTAAAGTCCTCAACTAATTCTGTCATGATGCGGACAAAAAAGACATCAGAAAGGCTTGTTTACATAATCATTCAATTTGCAATGTTAAACAGGGCCCATCTGGTTTCTTGCTTTTTAATTTAATGCAGAAAAATTGAGTTCTTCAACCAAATACCATTACCGTTTTCAGCATTTAATTACAATAAAATAAACAATGGGCCGTTTGATGTTTTAATTAAAATATGTTAAGTGTTGGTTTGTTACAATGATCATCTTTAAAAAACTTATTAAATGAAAATATTTTGTTAAAGTTTAAGTACCACCTAGGAATTGATGTTCATTTAAACATCGTATTAGGCATCTCAATGTCTCACATCGTTTTTAAGCATGGGATACTCGTGACCTTATAGACCGATATTTACCGAACAGCTATGGACGACCACAAAATATGACTTTCAAATGGAAAAATCGCATGGAAATCGGTCCATTCATTTGAGAGATAATAGTCCAGTCATTATAGTAAGTTCACCTCGGAATTCGAGATACCCAGCTGTAAGTCTGTAAATAGTTGTATATTTACACCCTAAAAGTTGTCTCAAAACCTACATATGGTAGGGTGTAAGCAACTATTAAATTTCAAGGTCAAAGATCACAAAAATCGGATTATTGCGCTTTTTTTGGAAATATCTCATTTCCTATGGGTTTTTTGCTATTTGTATTTATTATCAATATTGTAGAATACTAAATTCTCTACAAATTTTGGTTCAAAATTTTTTTTATACGGTGTACCGTTTTCGAGATAGAGGGCGGAAAGCGCGCGGTCACCGCATCACTTCAGGTCAACCGGTGCCTCCGGTCGAAAACGCGCCATATACCTATAGTTGATGAACTATCAATAAATCAATAATTATAAATATTTGTCAATTTTTATTAACTATTATATTATATTTTATCATTTTCTTCATGCATTAAATCTATATCTATTCAATAATACTAATAACCGTTTACTAAATAAAGTTACTAAATAACTTAAAATAATTAAGACAATTTTACCTGCTCCAGAAAATTTGCTAAATAAAATTTTCTGCAACTGCAAAAGTGGTTGTGGTTCGCGATGCGGATGCAGTAAAGCGGGCTTGCAATGCTCTTTAGCTTGTGGCCAATGTAATGGGCAAGCTTGTCTCAATGCTCAACCATATCAGAGCGACATTAACGAAGATGGAACCTTTGATCCCGAAATCATGGAAGAACTTGAGACAAATGTCGTTGAAGACGATAATGAAGACCAGTTTGAAATTTACCAGCAGCCAGAAGACGACGATGAAGAGGAAGAAGATGTTTAAAATTATAAATTGTAGTTTTTGTACCCTTTATTCCATTTTTTTACTTTCAATAAAAAATAATTTATTAATAGTGAATAAAAAGTGGATAAGTTAGGAAAAAATTATAAAATATAATATAATAGTTAATAAAAATTGACAAATATTTATAATCATTGATTTATTGATAGTTCATCAACTATATATGGCGCGTTTTCGACCGGAGCCACCGGTTGACCTGAAGTGATGCGGTGACCGCGCGCTCTCCGCCCTCTATCTCGGAAAAGGTACACCGTATAAAAAAATTTTTGAAACAAAATTTGTAGAGAATTTAGTATTCTACAACATTGATAATAAATACAAATAGCAAAGAATCCATAGGAAATGAGATATTTCCAAAAAAAGCGCAAAAAACCGATTTTTGTGACCTTTAACCTTGAAATTTAATAGTTGCTTACACCCTACCATATGTAGGTTTTGAGACAACTTTTAGGGTGTAAATATACAACTATTTACAGACTTACAGCTGGGTATCTCGAATTCCGAGATTCTTACCTTATTTAAGCTTAAATGACTGGACTAATAAGCTGCCAAAGATACAAACACAGTCAAATACGTCGACGTCAAACTTATAAAACTGGCGTTTTACGTCTGGCCTTAAAAATATCAGTCCACCTTTTTTAATTGAAACGTATTTAGGTTTTACTTAATTATTATAAGACTGATTATATTAATAAATTGTATAATTGTCTCTCATACTTCAGATATTTTTTCATTTTGTCTATAGCGCTTTATAATTTTTTTATTATATTTATTTTACGCCTCAAAATAGTTTTAAAATCTTGTTATTTTTTTAATTTAATGTTTAATTAATAAAGAATTACAGGAAATATGTTAAAACATCTTATGATGGTATTTTTGAATGAATATTAACAGTAATAAGGGTTGAAGAGTAAAACAAGTGAATTAATTTACAAAATTTAATTTCTCCTTTTTTCCTTTTTCACATCTTAGGCTACAAAGTCGTAATGTGTATTGTAAGTAATGGTAACACCAACAGCGGTTCACTTAAATTGCCAGACGAGAGAACAATTTTTAAACCTTACTCATTTTTAATTAATTGTCTGAACAATATTTCTTTATAGATGGCAAGATTCAGTAAACGCTAACATTTTCAGAGTATCGTATGTGATACGTGATATTGCTACTACTATTTTAAATAGATATTCTTTGCTCAATTAATATTATATGCTATTTAATATCCATGAATATGGAACATGGGATTTTAAATTGTCCTACCTAAGGGAAAGGAATGTTAGCGTTTAAGATTACTTACATAAGACCGATTTCAGTTTGCACTCTTTTTAAAATATATCGTCTCTTCATGATGACGTGTAAGAGAAAAAGATTTTGAAAAACCAAAGAATGCAAGCTAAAATAGGTTTTTGTTTACATCAAATTTGTTCATATGAAGGTAGAACATACGAGTCTTTATATACAGAGAACATTTAGACGTTGGCATCATTATTATTGCTAAGATTGCAGCCTATTACTTTAGGTACCAGTGTCTAGTTAAATCTAGATTTTACTAATATGTACAATATTGATTAAAACGAACGGGCTATTATTAGAAAAAAATAGTAATAGCTCGTAAGTTTTTCGTTTATAAACAAAATAACAAATATATTCGAGTTATTTACAAAGTTAGCAAATCACAGAGCATGCGTTTGAGGAGTTTTTTTGTAGATTTAAATAATGTTAAACATAAAAGGTACATTTTGGCAAGAATTTTTAATTTTACGGAACATAGCGACAAATATTGGAAAATTTTATATAAAATATTTGATTAAAAATGTATAAATATAAGTAGCAGTGCAAATAATATTACATACATAGTCATAATGATCTAAAATTCGTGTTTAATTCAAAGCTTACAAATGTTATTTCATTAAAAGGGTAAATGTATAATATTACATATACAATCATATTGTAAATAGAAAGTACACCGAGTGCTAAAAGAGCAGAAAGTTAAAAAATCGTAACGCACTATGTTTTATCTTAATTATTCTTTGTATGGAGCTCTATTAGTACATCCTTAAATGTATGTTTTAGATATGCCATATTCGTTTCTAATGTACATTTCTTATCATTTTAAATAGAAACAACGTGTTTAACACTTCCCATCCACAATAACTCTATAACTATTCAAAATCGTAAAGAAATTTACATAGCAGCGAGTAAGTTTTACATAAATTGCCATTTTCACAACCGAAATTAAATATTTAGTGAGTACAGCCGCCACCACAGATTCATACGCTATAGTTTACGTCTACAGAAGTGAACTTTGTGGTGCCGAGTGTACCGTACAACTTAACAAAGGCGCCGCGAATTATTACTAACTGCAGATTCGTTGAACACATTAGTTCGATGCTGAGAGTAATAATTAACTGTAGCCAGTAGTTCCATAGTTTGTGCACAACACTATCACTCGGAGTCGTCTTCGGACGACGGAACGCGAGACTTCATTGACGTGGTCAAGTCCAATGCTGGCTCTGAGATGGCAGCGCTCAGTGGTAGCGATGGTAAGGGCGACGGTGGTAGAGGTGGTACCACAAGAGGTGGTACCACCAAAGGTGGTAGAGGTGGTCGGTTGAAGGGAAGCATTCGACTTGACTCAGGCTCAGGCATGCAGTACGGCGGAGTCCAACACCCGGTCGTCGAAGATTGAGCTTTGACTCCCGATGCACTCAGATATGAGCACGCCATCATCTGAAAACAATGATACATCCCTTGTCAATCATAACATAGAAGAAACTTTGTTAACATGAGTCACAAAACAATAATAAATCAACATAAAATATGTAACAACGAAGAATAGGTAGAGAATAATATATTAGAACGAAATAAGGCAAGGTCAGACAATATAATTTATTAAGAGCTAGGAGCCATTTGGCGTCAAAAGATCCTATATTGTGAATGTAATCACTGTGAAAGTATATTGAAGTAGAACAGGGCTTACATAAATAATAAAATATGTAGGTATTATGAGATGAGAGGCCTAAAGAATTCGCGAGTGGCGCCGGGCTCTCTAATCACGCTAATGGCCAATGCGCAAGCCCCCTCGCAGGCTTTCAGGCTAATGCAGAGTGGGCGCAGGAGCAAGCCATTTAGTGTTAAATCGTATATGTGCGCCGCGACGCCGCCTCGCAACTTTCTTATACGCGTAATAGTAATAAAGATGAAGTGAATCAAGGAAACATATGCATAAGCACTTATTATTTTTATGAGGACACTAACAATCATATATTAATATCTACGTATAAGGGATGTTTTTATGTATCGTAAAATACATATAGAAATGGCATTGACTACGCCGTTGTACGAACATATATTTTCGAGAACTTTTCCAGTGTTCATAATTTCATACGATTAGAGAAATGTTTTATATTATTACTGATATTATTTTCGGATATAATCATTATATCGCTTGTGGATTGTAATGTATCATAGTGTGCAGCTGGTGTCAGCGAACATTTTTCACATATTGTCGTTTAAGTTGACTACGCAGCTATCCGTTTAGCTTAACCACTCACAATTACCAACACGGTAATGCTAAACTGTAAAATGTAATATGCACTCCATCCATACATAGATTTCAATTACCTCTATTTCAAGGAACGCTTGGATTTAAACGTGGATTTGTTATACACTATAATAACACTTTCATAGTTAATGCTCCGAACAAAAGGTCTCCACACAATTGGCAATACTTCGTGGAAACAGCTGCGCGACAATGCGGAGTGTTCTAACAATGATATTGTAACTTTAATATTTATTGCACTTGATGAACTCAGCCGAGTTAGTGCAAGTAATATAACACAAGAAACTCTAGCATACTGATAAGCTGTATTAAAATATTTTTATAACATAACGTACAAGTGACGGCGGGCTCACGAAACAATGTGTAAAAGTTAATTAACTTGGGTGTATTGTGCCCAAGCTAAAGCGTATAGTGCATAATTAAACCCTTCACGTAAACGCTTTAGTTAATATGTTTAACGTCGGTATTGCTTTAGGAGACCTAAACTCTCCTATGAGAATAAACAATCGCCAGAGGCAAGTCGATGGCCGAGGCCTGCTACACAAATGTATTAGTGGTTCCCCCGCTGTAGGCACAAGGCGACCCCCTCCCAGCTGTGTTGAGATTAAAATATAATTAGGCGCTCGCAATTGTTTCGCCATCGGACCAGGTGGCTAGGGAAGGTAAATTAAATAGCCATACGGGGTTCCGATATTGGCCACGGATATCGAGCTCATTATTTAATAATAAGCCTCCAACAACCTCAGGTTAGCATCGTTGATCACACTTCAAATGAATAAACTTGGAAAGTGTGCCGGAATCGAGTTCTGATTGATAAATACAACTGGCTATATCATATATAATGAGTTATTAATTACAACACTACTAATAATAAATCACTTAGTGTGTAGTGAATTCAAACGGGCTGTTATAATTGCGTACCAAATTACGGGAACGGAGTCTAATTTATCACTGTCGGATTATGAATTAGGTACGGAGGTAATTAAACATGCATAATATTTGTGGAGGCGAAGTATTGTCGCGTCCGAAACAACGAAACAATTACGTTCAGACCAACATCGCCGTCATTGAAACTCGCTCGAGCGTGTTTGTGTGAGTACAGCGGGTACTAGCTTGTGGTGTACGTGTAAATTATTTGAATATACCAAACCAATATACTAAAAAATATATTATACATATTACATAATATTACAACAAGTTAGCGAAAGTTACAATAAGTTAGCGAAAGATTGAATAATATAAAAATTGTGAACAATAATTCAGTTTATCCTAATTATGTTGAACGTAACACTATAATTTGTATGATATGGACAAAACACTGCAAAAGCAACCCATTTTATTACATGCCTAATTGAATTTGTTAGTTGAGCGAGCTACATACCCCCTTGGGTCACTGAATTTACTGTGGAGTATGTTGAGGGAAATTCTTGTAGGAGAATACGTATGCTTTATTAATATTCTATGTATTAAATTATATCAAAACAATACTATAATGATTCTTAAGTATTGATACGATACGCATATAGGTACATTGAAAAATGATCTTAAAAGGTATAAAAAATATGCGTCAAAGTTGTATGAGAAAGTTTATAAAGCTGTACACACGATGCAGTATCGTGTGCAGGTCGTTATGGAGCAATCAACATCACAGTCCGAGACGGGTCCGGGTCGCTGTCGCTCTTGAACTCACTAAATTGCTCTCGCAAACTAATGAAGCTGTAAAATCTTGTATGTTTTAAATATTTACCCTATTAAGTGTGATTTGAAGCAAACATATTTAAGTTAACTATTCATATCGTTTCTGGTTAAAGTTGAAGATATTGATTCTAAGCGGAGGTCCCTAATAGTCATTTTATAAATATATATGTTAACAATTTGGGTATTATAATACATATAATATGAATAGTTATTTGTCATTGTAGTACCCAAACACCGTACAAAGGCAGTGAATCACAAGTTAATTGTTTTACTATAACAGTTTGTTTTAAGTTGGTAAGGGATGTGCACGAGTTTACACGCTTAATTTAATATCGCCGTTGAATAGAAAACGTCTCGACGCTTACAATAGTCAATCGGCATTCCATTAACTACTCGGGCAAACATTGTGGGACGCATCCTAGTCGTAAGGGTACGTACACAATGGACAATGATATTAAGTTATAAATATAATTAAAACATGTGCAGTAAAATTATTATTATCCCTAATTATTTTCTTACTTTGTAAAATATAAGTAACTTAAGTGGCTTTATTTACAATATTACTAATATTAATCACGTGTAAGTGGAGCAATCGTATCATTTTGTATATGCAGGTTACAATCGATGTACAAATAAAGAATGATTTAACAACATACCCAGTGTGTACTCGCCCTTACTAAACACGAAACGATTGCAAGCGATACGCTCGGGACATTCGTATTCGATTGTAACAACACTAACGACTGTTTATATTGGGACGGTGCTAGTAGTACGAGACAGGACTGCGGACATCGCGAACCAATACAAGACTACCTAAATAATATAATGGCTGTTTGCGTTAAGCGGTTTGTAAACAGCCTACGTGTTAATACACTGACGATTTCCTTAGACAGAGCTATATAATTACTTGATATTATTTATATATTTACGATTTAAAAGTTTTAGAACAACACAGTATAGTCAGTAAGCTAAAGAGGTAAAATTACAACTAGATAATTAAATTTAAAATGAAGACTTGTTTAAGTTTTTCCAGATCAAGATAAGTATTAATCCTTTCAAGAAAAAGAAAAGTATAGGCTTCAAGAATAAATAGAGACTTATCTTCTTTGGAAATATTTCGAGCTGACGTTATAAGCCTAGAAGAAATTGTGACATTCGTTGGTGTTAAATATATTGTTTTAAATCTTTATAACGTTTAATTGTTGCTTACGCTAAAAACTTATTATAAAAAGGATGCAAAACAGTATTAGATAGAAAAATATCGTTGACAAAAATATATTTTTATATCGATGTAGTCTTTAAGCTTTATTAAATAAAGCATAATTTTCTATAACATAAATGTAAATGATTACAAACGTTACTACTAAAGGAATACAGAGAGTAATCTACCACGCCGCCCCAATGCGGAACGGCAAGTTTAATTAAACATTTTAAATTGTATTTCTTAGGGATCCTTTAATAAAAATTATCTAATAACAGTAATGGTATTTAGGCAACGTTATATTAGAGGCATTAATTATATGACTGTTATCCTCTTAGGGTATATTATGATTGTAGGAATGTTTAATTGTATATCTAAATTGTTTCAGCCGTAAGTTTCACAGATACAGAATGTCAGTGAGCAGTGATAGAGCTCGGGTAGCCATAAATAAGGGTGGGGTGATTTGCGTGCGCGGCGGCCGTTTGTCGCTTCGCGTGCGCGCGCGCTCATTTCTTATTCATGCGGACGTAGCACGCGAGGCTGGCACGCATCTATCATCTGAGTTTTCTTTGCCACAGTTTCAGATCTGAATGAACGCTCGCCAAGGCCTCCATTTTTCTTATTGTATATACGTTTTTAAATGCTAATAACGCTATTTAGATCAATGGCGTTGTGTCTACATGAGAATGTTATTAATATAAATGTTTTATTAATGAATTTCCTATACCTAATCGTATTTTAATATACCATTGCTCTCTATATATGAATTTTAAGTGTATTATAACTTTATGTTGCTAGTCGGTGCGTCAAAGGATTTTGCATAATTCTCGATACTCGTTATCGTTCAAGTTGCTCTTACTTCAAAGCCAACGTTTCAGTTACAGTTTATTATTAATAAAATGTTATGGGTACAGTGTGCGGTATGGGACCGGGGTCTGAAGGGACCTGTGGGGTCCACGGGGTCTACGGGGACCACACGGTTCCGTAACGAGCCCGTCCACGCTCGTTATCGCCAGGGCGCTCCCGACGGTCAGCGCCGCGGAAAATTCGCCCGAAACTGACGCGCGTGAAAATTTAATGAACGGCCGGACGCTAGTTAACTAAAAGGTAAAGTGCACCCTCTTGACGTGTTCGGTAAATATTAATAGTGAGTGTGCTAGCGTGAGCCATTAAAAATGCACGAGTCCGCGGGCACGGGCTCCAGGCCTGTTCATTAGCCTCTTTACACGCGTTTCCCTCCAAATTAACTATCGTCTATGTACACTGACCACTCGGAACAAGATCGCGATGTACGTTCGAGAACTATATTCTATTTTCCGGCAGTTGCACATTGTGATTATCGAATTTGTCCAATAAAACGTCTTACAGTGCCGAAGTTCTAGCGGCGCACTCGATCCGGCCCTAGAAACATTTTCTTAACGGGACAAGTTTTGTATTTCAGCCATTTTAAAACTCTTACGACTACTACCTAGGATAATGGAAACAGTACTGTTTGGAATTGAAGAAATTATGTTGGAAGATATAGCACAGACACGTTTCGTATTTCGAGTAGGTATATTGGTAAAGTATGAGACAGACAATTGGAAGTCCTTGTAGGTTAGAAGGTCGTGTGATATTTGTAAGTCTGTAATGAGGATCGTTAATTATGTATCGCAAAGTGCGTCAACGTTTCAATTCGGAGCGGTTCGGCGTGGTGGGCTCTCGCAAAACGAGGTCAAGGGTTCGTCAACTCTCAACTCTGAGGGGCTGCCAAATTAATGAGGCACTCCTTTGTAATAAAGATATAACAAGAATAGCGCACGCGAACCCGCGCCTACCGATATCATTAAAGACGTCGCAAAGTCTCAACGCAAGTCGTTATCACTTCTTGTCTACATAACTGGGACGTATTCATTCTAAACAAAATTCAAATTTGACATTTTTTTAAATATCTCGGATGAAAGAAAAAAAGAAAAATATACAAGTTTAAAAATCTAAACATCAAACAAGAAATATTTTTTCCTCCAAAAATGAAAATTACTGTAATTTTTTTTTTTCTAAATATTCAAAAGAAAATAATTATTTATAATCATAAATATTAAAGTGTAATAATATGTCATGATTCTATGTAATTTGGGGAGAAATTTTGAAATGGACAGCATTTTCGGAAGAAGAAAATTTATCAAAATACATTAACTAGAAGCGATAGTTTAATTAGTAGAAAAAATGAGAAGTCACAGATTTGAGTTTTCTCGATTACAATGATAATTTAATGCATTAATTATATACTATCACAAATAATTGTGAGAAGTTGCAATCGTTGTATTTTCAGTTTGTTTGAATTTTAAAACAAATAGAACATTTGATAATAGATGATATAATGATTAATCTTTTAAAAGTGCGTCCAGGTCCGGGGTGATATAGGAGGTACGGTAGATTACAGCGGCTTGCGGCAATGCGGCCGGGTTTCTAAATCGTGTCTAATTGGATGAACCGCCCGGCCCAATTAGCACCGTTGTGATTCATTTTAATCGAGCACTCTCCACTCATGTCGGGTTTCATTTGAAAGAATTTCTCTTAAAATATGGGACATTTTTCTGAATTTTGTTTTAGAAAAATATCATCCTAGAAGTTTATCCAAGAATTTATAATAAATTTTTATTATATATTTGTAATGTATTCGTTAATTTCAGATTTCATTTTATGCTAAAATAAAATCTGTCGATAGTTTCATAAAAGAATAAACCAACCAATGGAAATTGTCAATCGAGTAAAAACAATTTTAGAACGGATTTTTTGGCAGAGTGTTTTGATTCGATTCAATATAGGCATTTTCCATCAATGTATTCGATTTGAGCAATCAAGTGTACGTCTATTAACGGTGCAAGTTTACAAAACCGAGGCGTGCGAGAGTGGGACAACACGACAAACCACTTCCGAGATGAGATGGCGCACTTCCTGTGATTGAGCGCCCGCGAGCTATCCTTTCTCCCGAAATTAGCTATCAGTGAAAACATGCCTAAGTGCTGGAAATATTTATACTTTCATACTTAACGGCTGCCACTAATAGTAGCGGGAATAAAAAAATGAAAATAAAAACTTTAAAATATACATATACGTATACGAGGTTCAGGTTGAAATTATTTAAATTTAAAAAGAAACATATACCTAAGTACAATTTGTTTGGAAAATTCAAAGTATTTTTTATGAAAACATATATTCAGTTAATAATATATCTAGTTAATTAGAAAGTAAAAAACAAATCATTAAGTAGTGAAGATAAACGGCTGTGTTTTAATAATAAACAAATTGAAATGACAACATAATTGTAGTAAGCAATGGATGTTCCGCACAATGTGTAATTTCCGTTGCATTCTAGCCCGTCTCTCTCGCTCAGCTAAGTAACGACTTAGATCCATTTCCAGATAAATAGCAAATTGAATGTGTGCCCGTAGTACGACCACCCTGTCCGTTTGTACCCCACATCCTTAATACAAGTGTTGGCTTGTGTGCGTGTTTATATTTTATTGAGATGAAATTTATGCTCTAACTATATCCTCTTCTCAGAACGGAAATAGAAGATAATTGCACCTTTTTTACTGTAACGCTTAATTCGTTCGTTCTATTTTTACAAGGCAGTCGCAGAATTGTTATACGGAGAGGATACTTAAAAGGAGAAATAGGTAATTCGAGCGCAACAAGCACCGTTAAAACTATGTTTTAAAACTAATTCCACGGTTTAATAGCTGGCTGCGTCGATAACCTGCAAGCATTTACAATGTTTTTGGCTGCTCGTATTTTTTGGCTTGTTTTACGGTCGTGGAATATGAAAAGTTTTGAGAGGCTCTCGCCGAAAGGCGTAAAGGCGGTTTACGATGCGTCTTCAAGTTGAATGCGCCACATGTTCGCTTGTTTCGCTGAATTTCAACGCCGTGTAGCAGCATTATACGTGCTATGACCTGACCATGAAAATTTTAAACGTCGCAGTTCAAACTAAACGCTCGTCTGTGGCAATCAGCTCTACCGTACACTGGAAGCTGAAACTTTCTACGAAATATTTAAAGCAACATCAGACACTAGCATCGGAGCAGCTGCACGTTTTTCTATCCGACAACAATAGGGCGTCTGTTCTTATAAATTCTCAATTAAATTTTGGATACAAGCTCCAATAAACACAAATTTCTAGAGTCGGTTCAATAAAGGACGCCGTGCAGCCGCGTTAGGAGGCCATAAACGAACGTATTATCCATGTAAGGCGGAATAGCCGTTGCACAATTAATTGTTTCATTTTGGGAAACAATTCCCGCTCCTCATTCAATTAAGAGCGGCGAGAGCGGGCCGGGGGTGCGGGGAGAGGGCCGAGGGTCGGTGGGGGAGGCGAGGGGTGCCCTCCCGCCGCTCATGAGACGGACGTATTAATAGCGCCTGCAATATTGATATACTCGTATCGTATCCTGGTACCGCCTCGAATACGATATTGTTTGTTGGCAAATTCGATTTGTGTCGATCATAAATCTTGCGCCTTATGTTGAATTCGGAGTTGATTGAATTCCACACAGAGCCGAAAGAAACAAGTTGCTTAGCAATTTAACAGTATGCTCGTCGATCGACGCTCAATGACGAACGAGCTGTGAGCTGTGAACGGAGGCAGCAACCGACGGCACTCAATTAGCAAAAACACACAGAATTAAGAGATACGAACAAGTATGTAGACACGTGACGAGATGCCCTCCTCAATACGAATTTTATATCACGCATTCGTTATTCATTATGTTTGCCGAGAAAATTACTGTGGACCTTTTAATATAAGTTTGCGAGTTTCTGAAGCAAGCTACAAATTGGAGTTGGCGGGGCAGTTTTGCAAAAGTCACGCTTTAACCTTAGCGATTATTAGAAGCAGCGTGTCAACCGTGAAACAAAAATTGTCTCCTTTACGACGATCGTTCCGTATAATGAGATTTATTCATCTGTGTATACAATCTAGATAAAATGTATTATAAAGTCGAGTTTCTTAATATAAACAACGAATTGCATAAAGGATATTAATTATTATAAGTCGTAATTATATTACCCTCAATCTTACTTCAAATAGTTGAAGTTGCGGGTAAACATTATTTAATGTCTCTAATTAATTAAAAGGCATTTCCTTGTAGAAAGGCTTTTAAATCAGCGATGTTTTCTAAAAATTGAAGAGCAATCTGTTAGATTGGTTCATTAAGGTCTCCATTAGTGAAGTAATGAGTCGCAATGCATACGAGGGCGGTGCAAACGGGCGTTTTGTATTAAATATAAAGTGAAAATAATTATTTGAAAATATAATATTGGTGTACTAGTCTTTTTAATAACTGTGACCAAGTGTTGCGGAATCTGTAACGGTCCGGTGATTTCTCAAACCACCCACAAATCAAGCATAACGGAATCGCGTAAACAAGCCATAAAATTAATTATGTTTCAATAGATTTTATAAAAAGAATTTGCTATTTAGCTGCTTGTTTGGGTTTTTAAAAATAACGATTACCATGCTTTTTAGGCGGTGAGAATTTAAATAATATGCCGTAGCGAGAGAAATATTTGAGAAAATACATAAAAGAATGTTATAAATACTTTTATATAATAAATTGACTATCGTGAATAGAGAAAAAACCATCCGTCTGTGATTCACGGAGACGTTTAAGACGAAAATAAGCTGCAGCTTGAAGGATTTGGAAAACGAATGCAGGTCGGATGATGTCCATTAGCATAATTGAAGTTGCGGCGAGACTTGAGGGACCTTTGTTACGGATTATTTGTTAAGGTTAATGAATTACACTCCATTACTTATTTACACTGTGACAATATATACATATGTACATATAACCATTTTATTAAAGACTATACAAATTTTATAAACGTATTCGGAAGCATATCCGCACAGTGGTTCTTAATTAGCTGGTAAACTAGAATGCATCTCTAATTAAAGTCTGGATAGGATAGGTTCAAGTTTGGTGCTTATGAGTGAATGAGTGCATAGAACGTAGTAAAAGTTGTTAAATTATTTTAAGATGAAATTAACGAGAATATTATAATATCGTATTAATAAAGTAGTACATATAAAAACATTTGAAAATGGATTTTACTAGTATATGTGATTATAGTTTCGACTTCAACAACAATAATACAAAAATGTATTTTATATTTGATACGCTATAGAGGAAAGTTTTGAGGAATATCCATAAGAACAAGGTAATCCTTTTAACGAAACTTAGAACTTGAAGTCAATCGTAGACGAACTGCACCTGCTATACTAAGAATTTAACACCGACTAATATTTTTTTGCATTGGACATGAATTTTTAAACATAGTTTTAAAATAAAAAAATATTTATACATATTCATATAATATTTTATTTCATTTTTGTAACATTTTAGTGGATTGTGTATGATGGTGAATAACTATTTTTCATCAAAGCTTGTTTTAAATGCTTCGATATTGATAAGATATTTTTTTGTGGGCGTCAATGTTCTTGTAATTAACAAAGAAATTAAACAAAAAGACAATTATGTGACTAGGTCAAATTGGTATATTTATTGGAGTACTAAGCAGGCTTAGTGCTCACTCAGTGCCTGCAGTGAAGACGCACCTTAAAGGCAAGTCACAGTGGCGGTTCCGTGCGGGCCGCGGGCTCCACTAATCGTATTGTCGTGTCCTCGTTCCATCGAACCTCAACTTAATTGAACCCGTGGATACTACACGGTAAACCACTTGATCGGTTTAAGTACTACACTTGTTTCGTCGCTAACAAATAGATCATGACAACTTTCTTAAAAAATATCTTACAAATTTAATTCAAGAAAGTGTTAGTGTGATATAAAAGCCTACAGTATCTACTGGGAGTCCAAATAATATAGCGGAATGTCCCAAGTTTCTTCAGGCAATCAGGGCTTAATATCGTAGTGAAGTTTAAACTTTGAAAATTATAGGGAGGGGATTCGGGGAGGGAGGTCCGCGGCGTGTCATCTCCTAACATCAAAAATGCATTTAAATTCCGCGCAATAAAAAACAGCGGCGAGAAGTTTCACTACGGCCAAGGGATTGAAGCTTGCCGCCACACTTTAAAATATAAAATATTTAACAATATACATGTACCTCCACACTCGGTACACTTGATGAATAGTGTCAACTTATACCGAGGATGTAAATAATGTTTCTTTATGTTTCAAATAAAACATTGAATCTCATTTATTTCTATTTCCAAAAGATTGATGATCTTATTTATTTATAACGACTTACAAATATTTTAAACGAACTTTATATTATGAAAACAAAATACATATAATAACAAAAAATATATAAATCGACATATAATTCATTCTACGTAATATTTTCATAAACTGTCTTCACATCTCTTGGAAAATGGTACCCACTGTAGTGCATTTGGTTAATGACATTAAAATGCAAATGTATACAAGCTGAATGTCAATTACATTTTGAAACGTCTTCATTGAATAAAACAGGGTGAATTTATGAAGGCGGGTAGTGTTGCCCGTTAACATGGCCCGGTACCGCTGATGTAATAATTAGCCGGTCTGAACGATCGCGCCACCGATACTACCCAAACGCACCATGTTTATAGTACAATTCATTGTTCATATATTTCTTGGCCGCGTCATGTAATGGTTTATGCCCTGTGAAATATGATCCGGCGAAAATGTTTAAGTACTAAACAGGTGGATATATTTCTATGTAAATTTATGAACGAATATTGTTATGAAATGCTAACTTGACACGCGGACATTTTATGAAATGTATAAAGCGAAATTTTATTAAAATTTTAATCATTCAACAGAATAACGAACGGTAAATGGGCACACGGTTAGCGGTGACATTATATAAGTTATGCATCGGTCATAAATTCATTCACACCGGTATAATGCGACAATTTAACAGAAAATTAAAAGAGGCGCCGCAAACCGCGGACGTCAATTCGCGATAGTTTGTCCAATTTATCAGTGCCGACAGCCGACAGCCTAGAGTCGTTCGGAAATAATCGTAATCGAAGCGAGCACTGCGCGAACAATATGGGCCGATGTCGGCCTCTCTAATTGGCCCTTACCTGGAGCGCACTCGAGAATGATAAAGCCCCCATTAGTCGCCCTATTATTTACCTACTCGTCATTAGCGTAGACTTCATTAGGATAACGAGATAACGGAGCCAACTCGAGTACCGTGTATTTTTGGTGTTTTTGAACGGAATCAAGGAATTATGAAGAGCACCTATCGAGCGGCGAAGGAAAAAGTACGAGCTAATTATTTACGAACGGGACCCTCGGATGAGTCTCGGAGGATGGGAAAAGAGACAATCGTGAATAAATAAAAGCTAACGGACCACCAGCGCGTGTAAACACGTGTCATTAAGATGACTATCGACGGTGATAGGAAATACATGTTGCATTGAGCCCTCGACGGTCCACAAAAAACGAACCGAATTTATTGTTAATTATAAAAGTCCGGCGTCGAATATTAACCCGGAGATGCGATGCCCAGATAGCCGCGAGCCTATTTATTTATTATTTAGATATCCGCCGCGCCGTACGGTCACGACTCCATATTGTTTCGCCGTAATGGCATTAATGACCTCGGTTTAAAGTTGAAGTGTTAATTTGATTTAAAATTATGCCCGCGATTACAATCTTCACGTGGAAGTTTTACCCTAAGCTTTAATTATGATCCTCGATCGAGTACGCCAGATACGGCTGGTTGAAGTCATTACAATATACTTGATGTAATATTCGATGATATCATATGTTATGGGCGAGGTGCAATACGCGGATTCATTTAATACATTATAGTTCATATGTTTTTTAGAGAATCATTAAATAAATTACTTATACTTTTTCGTAATTTTTTTGTATGTAATTAGGAAATAAATATTTTTTTCAAGGATAACTTCTATAGTCTAGAAAAAGCAACTTTATAACACTAGCGTAGAAGTTCGTGTAGGTAATCGGTGTAAAAAGAAATACATATATACAAAATGTTAATCTCATAAATGTTTATTAGTTGTGATATAAAATGTAATAATAATAACATATTCGTATTTAACGTATTCTACTTTATAACGGTATCGCGAATGAAATACGAGCGTCGTTCATCGCGATTATCAAGTTAATTAGCATTCCACTAATGAGGAGTTATGGTGGTGTAATAAAGTCTTGCAGCCGATGTATTTATTACAACTTCATGTAACTCATTGTTAAGCATACATTTTTTATACAATAATTATATATAAACCTTATATTTTATGTAGTTTTTGCAATAGATTTACGTGTTGAAATCATAAATTGCATTAATCGATGTTAGTTATGTGTAAATATTTAATTAATTTAATTGATATATATAGAATCATTATACAAATGATCAGAGAAACCCTTTAAGGGCTGTATAAGTGTGATTCGTTGTTCGATACCACGAAAGAACAAAGCACATTACCTCTAAAGAGGGCGCAAAAAGACGTTAATAATATTCGTCAAAGCACTCTGGTTACATTAAATCAATTTGCCCTTTCCGCGCGGTAAGTAGCGAACGGTGTAATTGATAAGTTGAAATCCTTGTAGCGAGAGGCCAGAGTTTGGCACTGCCGACTGTCTCAGTCTGCCGCACGCCGCATGCCTCGTGTCGTTATATCAATTATGTTTTATAACTCCCATAATATTTTATACATGTTGTATTATATGCTAAAGTTTGATGATAAAGTTTGTTTTAGTATTATATAATTTTCAGAATAGTAAATTATGGTGCAACCCTATGATAACACTTTTAGAGACTTAGCAAGCTTGAATATGACGTCACAAAATAAAAGTAATTTATCAATTAATAACAATAATATAAGTATATATTTAGACATATTCAGACATATCAAATGCAACTTCTCGTATATTTTTCTGTACAGCTCAATTAAATTAATTGATTCTTGTATTTCATAGTAACACTGTATATATATATTATTTATGCCATCATATAAAATAACACTTTTAATTGCTTCGTAGTTTTATTGAAGTATTTATTACATGATCGTAAATAGTGAATATAATTTCTATTGCAAGTACGTACATTTGAAGTGAAAGCTCGAACCAGTGAGACCGGTCGGTGCTTGCATTACGATTTAACTGATTATACAGATACTTATTCGAATAAATTATTCATTCGCAATAATGAAAGTCAGAACATAGAATAATAATGATATTAATTATATATGTAATTTATTTTTGTATAGATAAATAATCGTTAGTTAATAGAAAATATGTCCGAGATAATTGATTTATGTATGTATTACCAAAAAGAAATAGACACGTGTCATATTTATACATTTTAAAATGTATTTAATCTATATAGCTGTTATAAGGAAAGGAAATATTTTTATTTACTGAAAGACATTTTTGTTATTTTATATCTGAGCAGTACTTAATCAAAACACCTTTATTCATACGTAAATATATTTTAATGAGAGCAATAAGCTCTATTGTCTGTTTTCTAGAGAAGTTTTGTATCTGGTCATAGGAACTTTAAAACGTGGTGTAATAGTATGTAGCTTTTAATGTTTAAGGTGTTGAAATTTTGAAAAAATACTTCTCAATATAAAACACTAATAAAAAAAGACAGCTGTAAGTAGGTAGATACAGAAATCCTCACTAGAAGTCTACATTAAGCTTACTTAGTAATACAAAACTATGGTAAGGTAATATAAAAATTACAGGCAATCCGGAAATTAGCTTGCTTCTTTACAAGTAAGTAAAAAAACGTACTGTAATATAAATAACTCTAATGTAACGTAAATAATTCTAATCATAAAAAATGTTGGGTCAGTAATTTTCAAAGGACATTTACGTTCAGTTAAATCCATACAATACCGCACTGGTCATAAATTATATATTTAATAGTTCTTGTTGTTCTATATGTATTTATTGTTATAAATTACTATTAACATTTTTAACATTATAAATAAGTTTAAACAATGCATTGGTGAAATTTAGAATTGAAATAGTTTTCTTGAAAGGAGGTTTTATATGTTTTTTTTAAATCTCGTCGTCTATTTCATAAAAGTCTTATTTAATGGACGCTAACAAATAAATGTCACTGTAATTATACCCTAAACTATACGGTGCTTAAAGATACGGTGACTCGTATAAACTAAGTTATTTATAGACGATCTATACTTGTCGTTGAACAAAGAATACTATATACCTTGAAAAATTTAAGCTCGAAATTCATTAAAGAATGATGTAGCATATTGAAATTCACGTTAAATCTACAGAGGATTAGTAAAATGATTGAGAGGTAAGTAATGAATGTGTAACGGCTTTATATTCGTAAGACACAATCACATAAATATTTAAAAGGTATCGATTGCGGAAGGAGTGCACCGGAAGATATCGCACGACAGTCCTAATTCAGTGACGCGGCTGTAATCCATTAGCGTGCTCCTCAGGGCACCCTTCGTGTCATTTGTATCGGAGTATTTCATATGACTAATGGAAGGGCGCATTACAGAGACATCTGGTTATTGCAATCAACAATATGATTACAATATATGTGATTGATTTTGGACGGGTGGCTTTATTGTTGATTAATTTTAATAAATTGAAATGTCACATAATATTTATTTAATTGAATTTTTTTATTTACATGAAAATATATTTAATTAAAATTTATTTCTATGTTCGTGAAATGCGAAAATGTAAATTAATTGAGAAACCGCCTGAAATGAGTGAAAGTGATAAGTAATAGTGTACATTTTATACTAGTTTTAGAGCTACAAGAGAAAATTTTCAAGATAAATACGTTCTTAGTTATTGCTTACAAATTATTGTATATGTACCTAGTGCTCGATTATTCGTTGTCTTGGAACTACCCTCTAAGCGTGTCAGCTGATCGAGCGGGATTTTAATATTGATGAAAGGTACTCGAGTCTTTATTTATAAAAGCAGTTGTAAAAAAGAACATCATAAAAATTGAATAAAATTTGATTATATAATACATAAGTAATAAATGAATGAAATCATTCCAAACGTACAATTAATTTTCTAAATGAGAAACATGGATTTTTTTGTAACATTTCATTCTGTTTGCCTTCTGAGCTTTAATACACTTACCTATCCGAATAGACACGGGTAAAGCGTTTTCAGAAAAATTAAAGAAAGTAATCAACGGAATTACGTTGGCTACTAAAATATGTATTCGTCATAAAAGTATGCGTCGACTTTCTGAGGATAAATATTCATTACGGAGGAACGTGGGGCGTTTTAGCGGGATTAAATGATATTAACCCACGACGCGATGCTCTCTCCGAATCAATCGACTCAGAATTGATGCCTACCATACATTTTTATATCTGAATCGACTTTTAAATAATGTGCTAATACTGTTTATGAATGTAAGATTGAGTGGAATTTAATGGATGGTTATGAAAAATATCGTAGGTTTTAAAATGTGTTATATTTTTTATATAAATTTTATTCTATAATGATTTTAGTATGATAAATATGTTTAGATTGCGGTAAAGGCCAGCTTTAGTAAATACTCCTAATATGAGAGCTATCCGCTAATTAATTAACTAGCTCTCAATTAAATTACGAATAGGGTCGTCCACTCACACAGACAGAGCACGTTAAATATTACTGGTGTTTTTTTTTCTTTTCTTTTTATAAATGAAATATATGTTATAAAAAATATTCTTAACATTCCAAGAGAGATAAAAATATCCACAATACACTCTTGTAATGAAAGAAAACTATTGAATTACATAAAGTTCGTTATAATGAAAATCGAACATCAATTTAGTGCCATAACGCGATTTCAATCAAACAATAACTGATTTTATCGATACACACGATATTACTTTTAATAACTGTTTAGAAGTGCAATTTACTGGACGAGTTCTGTTTGATTTTGTTTTTATCGATATTCACATCGATGTCAAACACTGATAATACGTCGATTGAATAGAAACCCCTCGATGCAATAATAGCAATTGTTTTTAATTTACACTGGAAGTATTTTCAACTCGTTACCCGTAATGTGTCCACTGTCCATTATTCTAATGAAATAATATAAACAAAACTAAATTACAACGGAACATAATTAGGAAATTATATTTTAAATACAGAACACTAAAATTAAATTGGCCACTCCAAACTACATAGTTGAGCTGAGTTTTAAACTGCGCCCTTAGGGGAGGGGACGTTTTAATTACGGCGTTTAAGTAAAAGCGGCGTAGCATCTAGCTAGGTGCATTACACAGATTCAACCACCAAAAGCCTCCCACTTAGCTAATGAAACATGTTCGTGTATAGTGTTTTAAGCGTCGTCGCAACGAGAGGCCTTCTGAGCATTGTGAACAAAACTCGGCGAGCGCTTGCGGATTTGGCGGAGTCGCCTCCGCAAATCCTCATTTACTTGCATTATTTTAATGGAGCTATTGTGGGCAGATGTCCTTTGTCGTGTGCAGATGCGGATGCGGATGCGGATCCGGGGAATGTCCCGGTGCATAAGTGCATCACTGGCCTCATTCGGCCGCTCGATTCCGAATTAAAGAGCAGAGGGCTCCGTTTCAGTATAGGCTAATTGAATAGCATTCGTTATCATTGTAACGGATGGGTTTATTGTAATGGACATCCGGCTGGTGGACACGGGCTAGTCCGGGATGGCGAGGTATCCATTTAACTAATTAACTGGGTCGAAGTCATTCCCAGAGCAGGTCCTTCGAGAGATCCCTCGTCTAATAACTGGCTTCCCTAATAAGCTAAGAGGTTGTCTTGCTCCTATAAAAATGCAATCGACGGCCCGAGACCCGGGTCGTTGAAACTTTTCAAATTTTCTTCAAGCGTTACGGTATTAATTCTAAATTGGAGATGAACAAAAAAATTAATACGTCATGGTGTTCAGTATTTTTATTCTAATGCTTATACTTTATAATTAATAGAAGACTGTATTCTTATATTATATTGACAATTTAATTGACTTATCTGGCAATTAACTTTTTTATAAGTAAATCGCCATTATTATATCAATGCAATATATTAGAAACGTAAAATGTTTAATATACCGTGACTTAAGATAAATAATTTCAGCTAATTAGTTTTTTAAGTGTGTATTAATTTTGTGGTTTCATAAAAAAGGTTTGTTACGCATTGCTGTGTTCCCATTAGTCAGAGTAATGTTCGTTTAAGTGTCACGACTTGATTAATTTCTAAGCCTTCTGACGCCTAAACTACCTTCGTAATAACTAAACTAGACACGAACCCGGGCCCAATGAATAAATTAAAAACTAATTTCTTGACATACTTTGTATGAACCGGATTACCTTGCCCGTAATAGCATTAATATGGCTATTATAAAACTTTTAACAAGCTACTTTATAAATATTATTTATTTTTATAACATCGTTTTTATATAAAAGTTAGTAATTTTATTATAAAAGGTGTCCGAGAAAAACTTGTTGCTTCTAAATACTTTCGAGTCCCGTCACGGATTTCGGGGAATACTAATTTTTGAAAGATTTTACTCGCTTAACAGCCATTAAGAACATTGAGTTACACGAACATTGATCCAATTAGTACTTTATAAATTTATAATCAAGGCTTTCCGAAACGGATAATTAGTGTAAATATGATTATGGCGAGAGCAAAAGAATTCGACACGCAACAGTAGCGGGTTCGATAGCCGACAACCTCTAACGAAGGGCGACCAGTGTTTGAATTAAAGAATTATGAAGTTATTACCTTTAAAACCATGTAGAAATGTTAAAAAACATGTTTCATGTATTAAAATTTATGAAGTTAATTTTATTATTGTTTCTGCAAGTATAAAATCAAAGAGAGCACATAACAAATGGCACATCAACGTGTTGTGTCGTGTCGTACTAAGTGCTAGTGCTACAAACGACCTCGCGGTTGCGTGACTCAAACCCTCCTGGTATATAGAATTAGATTGCTAATAGATAGTTATCAGTCATTAATCAAAATGTCCAACTTTGTAAAACGATTCTCGGATACTTTGAAATCGCATAGCATCCACGTTTGTGGTGAGTTCAAACAAATGGCTAACTTCGGTGGCGTAGTGCTCGCTCTTATCCTTTGACAAAGAGTTGAAGATCTCACCTGTCCAGCGCACGACGTCAGACTACTGAGATCAGAGAGGCAGGCGCCGAATGTAGCCCCGGGATACACCCTTTGTGAAAGATTCCCAAAGCGGGCGAGAGTACACTTTGATGTCGAGCCCGCCGGGTAATTCGGAAAAACGTTATTTAATTAACTTTCGACTAGTTGGAGTAATCGTGTTACAAAGTGCCAGGTTAACGGTCAAGTCTTTGAACCTGTGCGGGAGCGAACACCGGCCACTTGATTTTTACACCAAACGAGCACAATAAAGGCGCTGTCATTTGCAGGTGTTTTCCAATTAACATGACGCCTTTGACCAGCACCCTTACAAACCGGGGCTTTGTTTTGTAGTTTACAAAATACATTTAATAAATATCAACAAAGGCTTTCAAATTTGCTCCCGGAGGCGTTTTAATAAAATACCTATTGACCCTAATTGAATTATACCAATAAATGTTATAATAGTCCTCTAAAGCGTTTCCATTAATAGGAATGAGCAATAGTTTTGAGTTGCCTAAGTAAGTTTGGGGATATTTGAATTGGATAACAGAGCATTTTGTGAGAGCGCCGTAAGCAAGCGTCGCACTATTCCAGCCTGGCCCGCGGCGGTCGGACGTTGGTCGCCTCTACCAGATAATTAACTCTATAAACTATTCCTGCTAGAAGTGCTGCAATTATAAATCGTCAAAGCTTTTATAAACATCGTTAGGGCTATTTCGAAATTTATTTAATATAATTGAGTGAAAGAACGCTGGCAGGTACGGTTTAGTTAATAAAATGTGGTCGGTGCATTATAATGGTGTCCGAAGTTTCCGCGTTCCGAGCGAATGAATTGCTCATATAAACAAAGAGAAGTTTGTGCTGTTCAATGAACAGCTTAATTGCGTTTCTTCATTACTCCCACGCCCCTCACACATCTCACTGTGGAATTAATACATTAAGGTTTTTTAAAACAGATAAGTGCTCTTTAATAACGCTCTTTGAAATTAAAATTATTTCAATGTTTTATCAAACATAATGTTTTATAATACAAATGTAAGACGTTTCAATCTCTAGTATTGTCAGGTTTTTACTATATTCCTGGAATAACAATGTTGTAAATGGGTTAGTAATCCGCAAAATAGTCCTCTACGCTCGTTTTCTTGGAGTGTTGCTGTAATTTGGTCCCTATTTCTATTGGGGTAAGAGCTTTGACAGCGAGCATTTAACAGATGCAAATGATTTGTTCACTCTCCCTAGTCTCCATCCGTCAGTTTCGTTTATGATTCTTGAATTTTTAAAATCACTGAAAGGACATGAATTTTGTATACATCATAATTAAAAAATGTTACAGTTTTTATTAAAATTATACATACAAAACGTATGTGATTTTCTTCGCGCAATTTCTCCATTAATATATATGTATATACGTATCTACATATAAATTTCAATAAGTATATAATATTATCATTATACTTTATATTTAAACTGTAAATATATAAATAATGATTAAAAACAGAAAATCTAAACGCATAAGAAGGATAAAAGTAAAAGGTTATTATTAATTTGCAGATAATGTGATTCTTGTTGAACTATTTCTTTAAAGGGAACCATTAAAACGCATATGAACATCATAAAAACGTGTTCACTTTAATTAAATCTAATTACTCATGTCCGTTTTATTATAGCATATTGCTACCGGAATTAATTAAATATTTTACGTGTTGGGTGCTTTAGTCACGGATAATAAATGTCTCGAAATTGCTTGACCAAAAATTCATATCTGTTTTTGCTATTATCGTATCATAGAAAGTAATATAAGTAACGTCACTTGTTGTTTCATTAAAAACAGCCAGTGTCATTTATATGAAACAATGAAATTTTAATATAACAGAATCGAGTGGTCGCGTCTTATGTGATTTTATCAAAATATGGTTACATTTTTTTATTTGGGAATAAAATGTATGCTCTCATTTTTGCTTTAGTGGGTTTTTGATGACGAAATGAAGCCATTAATTATACAAAAAAATGACAAAAATATCTTCAGTTTTTTTTTAAGTATCGTTGAAAAATATAATTAATAATATATTTTAAGTCCCATTTGGAGTTATATTACATTTTTATACCGTTACGTTACGGATATGATTTTAAATATGCAAAAATATGACTAAAGCAGAGTTCACTAAAAATAACGGAATTGAGAATAAAGATAAGTGTGGGTTAAAATAAAAGGGAGTGGTTTTATACATGAAAGTTGGTTTATTTGTAAAAAAAAAAAACATCCTTAAACTGTTTAACGTTTCATTAACGAGTTACTAGGGATGTTATTCTAAATTTTCTAAGATTTGAAGCAGTTAACTGTATTTAGAATAATACGTATATCAGATTTTGCTAAGGTTACGTTTTAAGGGGGAAAACGACAGAGAAAAGATACTGTACTCTCTTAAAGATATCGCGACATCATTAAAACATCGATATAGGTCATTACAACATATAAAAAATTAACAGTGAACAAAACCTACATCGGATAAGATTTTAATATGATTCATTCATGACATATTCAATAATGCATACGGAATAGATTATCCTGAATGAACCAAGTAGAAATCCACTCGTATTGTGTTTAAATAATAACCAATTGTAAATGTAATAGATACCTAATTTTATCTAACTATACACTAAGTCTGCCACGAGAAGCATTGGTATAGTATTTAATGAAATTAATTATTTGTTTAAACATTTTCTATCCAATGTTTTATATAACATTATATCTAATATTATAGATACATTTAACACTTTTAAATTAATTTATATAATCATGTTTATTTTAAGTACCAATTAAAAAGTCTGGCCTTGAGTCGAGGACGTTAAGAGACAAGATAATATCAGTATCAGATTTCTCAACGGTTTCAAGTTAAAAAAATCAGATTGAATACAAAGTAGATGTCCTTGGGATGGGTTGAAAAATGTGCTGATTACGTATATTTGATCTTTAGAACTTATTAGTATATACTATATAGTTATATTAAAGTTATTTAGTGCTAATAATCTCGAGTCTTTGGGGTTAATTTCGATACAAGATGTATATCCTTTCTTACTCTTCTACCTGACAATTTTCCCAGCCTTCGCCAGGGTCTGCCTTGCATGTTGTGAATAGTTTTGGCTAATGGTTTTTACGACCGGCCACCTGCCTGACATCAACCCTCTTTGGGAATGCATTAATCAGTGATGTCTAAATACTCTTAGAAAGTACATATGATTCGGAAAAATCACATTGGTACTTGCCCGGATCGAACCCGCGCCCTCACGTATCTAACCACTTTTAACCACTAGGCCACCACTGACTTTGTGTATACCCTTACTATTACAAGTATATATATTATTATACGCTGCATGTGAGTTTATCGATTAGTATACAATTTGTTTAATTTAGAATGAAAATGATACATTATTCGAATCGGTGACTTGTATCTCAGATATTGGATAGGTCAGATTTTAAGCCGTTTTTTAAGCTTAATATTTAAAAACCCCATTGCACGTCAACAAATAAAGACTGATTAACCAAAATAATGTTTTCAATGAATTGTTATCGTCCCAAAAATAGTATAATCAGCATTGTTTTTGTTTTTCATTAATACTAGACACATTTAGTCCATTATATCAAACATTATTGTATTCAAACAAAGTTAATGATCGCCCGGAGCTGGACGGTCTTTGTCTTAATCCTAAGAAACAGATCAAGTTTATCTCTATATAACTAATCAAACAAATATAATTAACTCCATTATAAAACAAACAACGCCGTATGTTTTGTATATTTCACGATTATAACGGTCATTATATCTCAATCCAATCAGCGTATCTATTTCAATTTATTGATTAATCAGATAATTGTGACACAAATTGCAATTAGAATGAATGAAATCATTACAGTTGTTAGTGTTCAGATATTAATTGAATTTTCGAAATGATAACATTATATTAATTAATGTTCCGTTTGGATATTATTTTGAATTGTGTAATTAATGATGTTAACATTTTGTGCCGTCGATTATTCAATTAGATAAATTTAGATATTTTTTTTATAATAAGACTAAGGTTTAAGCTCATACTCATATAATATTGTTTGTATGTATTATGTTAAGGTAATCTCACCTCTTCATAGTCTCTGTGAGAGTAATGCGCGGGCGCGGGCGGGGCCGGCGCGTGCGCAGCCAACGCTCATTCGCGCGAGCGCCGCGGGCGTCCCACCTTGCCCTTGCGCACCGGCGCGCCGGTCGTCGCCGCGTTCGCGTTCTTCATCAGCTTCTGCCAATCCTGCTCGCAGACTAGTGACCCCGCTAACATGTAGTACCTATGAAATTATTAACAATATTTACAGCTATATCCACATATTGCATTTTACTTTGCTATGTTCTATTTGGAGTAAGACAGGTTCAGTGATGTTTACTCTAAAGATGCCCATATGTATAATTAAGTGATAATGAAGAATATTTTTTATAGTTTGTATTAGAGCGTAAATCTATTAATACATGCCATTAAAATAGCATTATGTACATTTTTCTTGTACGTGAAGGTTTTAAAGTTCTATTATTGATTTATGTTGGTATCAATGTTACAAGCACAAATCGTCCGTTCATAATTTGTCTCAAATAATACTTTGCTGTATGTTAATAGTTTTGCTGTTAGTTTGTTCAGTAGATGATCTTACCTGTCGCCTTGCATGAGGTGTGACCCGCATTTGGAGCAGGCGAAGCACTTTATGTGGAAGACGTGAAGGGGTTGTTGAGGAGCGTTCGTTCTCATCACAAATTCACTTGCGGGGATGGCCTGACCGCACGCTGCACACGCACCGCTTGAACCGAACATTCTGGAACAATACATAAAAATACAATTATTATTAGATCATTAACAAAAATATACATACATATAAAGATAAATTTTCATCCTCATATCATACAATGGAAAGCAATTTGCCATTTATTAAGAGAAAACACTAGGATACACTTACACGGCTATTATAAAATAATTTAAGAATCCAAGTAACAGCGATTACAGATCGTTAAGTTTTGACAAATGGGTAATAAAGTAAAATAATGACATCGATAATAAATCAATGAGGGCTACGGTCAAAAACACGTGTTTGTTTTATATGGGTTTGATTAATTGTCTATAAAGTATAAAACCGTTTTATTATGTATTCCGTTAATTTGTGCTTTAAATGTATGAACCTCGATTGTTTTTAAGACGTTAACTTTGAATCATTTGGTTTTAAACTTCCTTTTCTTGGAACAGTTGTTTCATGACTTGTTAAATTACTTGCAATTTTATGCAAGAATGGAATGCGTTGTTTGTAGCCTTTAGTAAAAAACAATTGAAGCTGATAGTTGTGTAAGACTGTTTGAAGTGAATTAACATGGTATTAGATCCAGGGGATAATGAATTTATAAAGATATGGTTAGAAAGTAATTGTTACCATTTTATAAGGTAAACTATCTGACAGCGAAAAACTCTTATATTTTAGTAAAATATTTCAGATGCACTACGTATGTAGTTCCTATCAATACAGAATTCACATTCAAAATACTCGGTATTCATAAATAAATTAAATGGGAATGTTATGTCTATAACAAAGCCTGTATGTGGCAGGAAATATATGTCCTTTTCGTTATTTTAAAAATGACTTTCATAAAATGAGCACCAGCTGCAAAGTTAAAAGTTTAAGATAAAAACAATTAATCGCTATTTGTATTTATAACATGCGTGTGAAAACATTGTTTTCAAAACGCATTTTTTTTATAACGCGGCATTGTCATGAATTGCCTTGAAATCGTCTCATTTTATCATTAACTATTGCCATTGTACAAATTGATTACAACTAAGTAGAATGCAAGTCCATCGATTTATTTGTAATATTAAACATTCTGAGGTTCTCTGTATAAATCTATTCCGTTAAATACACCGTTATAGTATTACTGAAACGCTACCGGGCTATTAATGTTCGCTGCAACTACTCTGTAATAGAAATGTCTAATTAATTTAACTGCATCGATATCAGGATATTCGCCTGTAGCGGAGCAAACAATTTAGATCAAGTCGCTCGCTAGCTATGACCCCTTGTTACAGCTGTTTCGTTTAATGGTCTCATTTAATACTTAATGAGCAATTATTGCAATGGCTATTAGCGTCGCGGACGAGCCCGTATTATTTATAACCGGAATGAATATTAATAAATCGCAACAATCTGTTCGAAAGCAATCAAAATTTAATTACCTGCGCGTCCCTGTCCGTAATAATTCGAGGCAAACATCGCTAAAAGATAAATTTGAAAGTCTTAAAAGATAAATTTGCTTCAATCACTCGCGGCAAATAGGGTTTCGTTTCATTTACTCCGGTAAGAGCGTTTTCAATTAAGGAACGCCCGACAAACAGTAGGTATCGGCGTATGAAGGTAAAATTAATTAAACCGAGCCAAGACAAACATGTACGGATCTATTTGTGTAGGACGATCGCGAGTGAGTTATCAATAAAAATATAGGGACGTGATTCAAGCAAACTATTATGTCTTTCATTGAAATTTATTGTCCTCACAAAAGATGTTATCTATAGTATATTTAATGGTCTAGGTCAATAGGACGGAGAGACTTTATTGACCGCTGTATGTCAATTATTATTTCAAACCCATTTGTCAAGATTTAAACATCAGTTCAAAGTTAAAGACGACAGTCAAGGCTGCTTTAGAGTGAGTTTCAGAAAAAGTGATTTATGGAAATTTTCTCTTTAAGTATCCTTTTAATGTGACATACTTTCATTCATTTAATATATAACTTCAGATACTATTCATGTGTCCTTTTTATGTTCATAACTTCAAGGGTTATTGAACGATTTTAATCAACGTGAAAGTCAAAATTACAAGAAACTTAAAGGACTTTTAGATTACTTATTACCCTCATACGAATGTGTGTTAGGAGTTTATTAGAATTCGAAATCAGAACTAACTTTTAGGTTTCCTTTCAAACTGATATTAATTAAGACGTGTGTTTAATGAGGAAGTTCGGTCCCGTACTGGCTGCTACTCCTAGAGCCGAAGTTTATTTACCATCGTTACGTGTAAAATTGAATACGTCGCAGAATCCTCATTAATTTAAGATGAAGACTGTATCTTGACATGTTATTTTATTCATTACTGAAATGTCTCCACTCTGAATATACACGTGTCGAGTTTGGATTGTTATAAGGAACATAATTTAAAAGCTCTCGGGAAGATCATTAGTGGAGAGGGAAGTAGGGACAGGTGAGCTGAACATTTTATGCAAAACACCTAAACCTTTAATGCGACTCGCGAATGTAAAGAGAACTCTTCGCTTACATATTTAATAGTTGTCTTGGAATATCACAATAACGTTTATGATATACTATTCTATTTACTCTTAAGCCATTTAATGGACAAAGTTGTCACAGCCTACTTACAGTGTTCTTAATAAATACGCTTCAAATTAAATAACAAATCAAATTAAAACTTTAAAATCCTTGCACCGTAAGCCGCTTACCAACTTAATGAGTAAAACTTTTGACGCGAGTTCATCCCTAGACAAGAAACAAATGCAAGGTAAGAGCAAATATGAAAATTAGTGCAAAAAGTGAGGAGATCAATTGTCCCGAATACCGGAACGGCTGACAGCGAACGGGAGCTAACTTGTTGCTTCGTTTCGCATTTGATGCTAAGACGGTATTAAGTTATACTTCATCAATGACTGATGGTTTTATTACACACTAAATTGTAATCAACTAATTGTTTAGTAATTTAATTATTATTTATTTTACGTCATTATGTTTGTTTCTATGTATTTGCAGTTCCAAAACCAGAAGTTTGTCGTAATAAAGATCGTTTACATGCTGTATTAAAGCCGGAGAGTTATCGGATGTCGTTATAATCACAATGCATGTTAGTGAGGTGGTGTATCAAGTTAGCACGTCGTTAGCAAGAAACTCGTTAGCGGCGCGTGGCGTCGACAAGCCAAGAATTTGCTAATGACGCGTGCTTGCAAGACGCGACCGATACACTCATACTGTACCCGAATACTAAAAGCATATCGACTTTGGGACGCGAATATTTATTATTATTGATAGCCATTGATTTAGATTAATATGACATATTAATAGACATTTTCTTATATTAAGAAATATATATGAAATTTAATTGCTAGGCCATAAAGAAGAGTAACTAGTTTATTTAAATATTATTTTTACGCTTATTGTATTCCATATGGTTGAAGAATAAATATTACAATATTAATTTTGATCTCAGTACATTTTTTAAAATTCTTTCAGGATATAAAAAAGTAAAGAAACCTGAATTGAAATGTCTAAAAACTTTTAACACGATTCGATACAATAATAGTTATACAAATAAAGTAAAAAGAGGAGTCTATGTATGAAGTTTAGCTTTTCATTAAAAATTATAAAGTGAACTGCTGTTAAAGGTACTTGTTAGTAACTATCTTAATTTCCATATGTAGAACGCTGTTAGAGAGACGATGAGCTAGATAAAATTAGATAAAATATATAGACTATTAAAAGATAATAAATATTGAAGTTCGTTTTAAAAAACTAAAGAGAACGAAGTAGGAGGTAAGAGCTAGCTAATATTTTTAAACTATAAAATAAAGAAGTACCTACCTAAATTTAAATAAATTAATTGAGCCCAAAAGACATATATTAAAAAACATAAATAGTATAAAATTAAAACATCATAATTAATAAAATCAAAATTAATATTGAAAATGAAATGAACTAATTAATCTTAAATTCATCAACTTCGATCAAACCTAAGTGTACCTAACTTAAGAAAAATCTTAAGTACTGGTCCCCAATATATATTCAATATCTAACCCAAATATTTTATATTGTAAAAAATAATATCTATATTTTATTAGTACACTTCATAATTATAATATCAATCCATCATGAATGAATTACTGTAATCATTTAATTTGTTTGTTACTCGGAACATATAATCACAATACCGACTAATAACACAAACGAAAACGTAAAAAAATAGTTTTTTACGTACATTAAGTCATAGCAGTGAAGCAATCTCGTATTCAAATTGACACAGGTAGTAAAACAACAGAGCCTCCGGACTAAGTTCCATAAACTCGTTTCCAACTCCCCTCTACACACTGTATCGGCGATTTTTAATTAAGTCCCTAGCGAGCATCGAGCGAGCAAAGTAACACCATCAATTCATTATCCTAAACTCCGGCCCGATTGTTCCTCGCTCGCTACTTACGCAAACTTTCATTTTAATCAAGCGTTTAATTAAAAATTATCCGAGAAAAACAAAATAAGCCCGTTAGGGCGGTACGAAACTAATTAAGGCGCATACGATGAGCCGACAACAGCGGTGAGGTGAGCGTCCTTTAATTAAACGCCTTGTTCTACTCCAGTGGCCGCTTAGCGAACTATTACTAGCGGAAAAACCTTACAAGTGTAAGGGGGCTGTGTTACACCCCCGATCACACTATTAATGTAACTTTCGGCAATTGTATAATAAACGTCATTTAAACCTCACCAAGTATATTATTGTTCCAGGTGTTTCAATTACGTTATAAGTATATTTACTTATATTAATAGGTTGACACGTCATGATTTAATACAAGCACAAGTTACAGGCAGACCGTACCTAAAACCGATATCTCCAAATAAAGCAGAACCTCCTTGGAGCAGACGCAAAACTTTTCTAATTAATGTTAATTTATCAATTAACTTGCGCTAAGAAATAATTATCTCAGTATTACGATCCCTGACTTTATTAATAAACTTCCACTAATCAATCTTATGAAGTAGAGCTGTGTACATCTAACAGGT